CGCGGCGACGACGACGACGACGAGACTCGCCGAGCAGGAGAGGGAGAGGGCCCTCCCTTCCTATATACTCGTCCCAATGGCCCCAAAAGGCCCTTCTGCGGCTGCGGTCCTGTTTCCTCGGGCGTATCATGCACCCGCCGAAGCCTCACCACGATGCTGTCGTCAACTGCGAGACGAAATGACTCGGCTCTCCTCTTCTCTCTCTGCCACCCTCCCACTCACATGCTGCCCAACCTCCCCCCAAGCCAAACTCTCCTGGATGCCTGCCCTTGCCGCATTACGAAAGAGAAAAACGGATGAGTCGCACGCGTGCTCGAGCGTCTGGACACGCAGCCTCGTCGTAGGGCTGGTCTAGCGGGAGGCATCATGATGGCCCTGAACGACGACAGACGACGACAGACGGCGACAGACGACGTTCATCTAGTTTTTATATGTACACTTCCCCCCCTCCCCCCTTCCGCTCCCGTGTGCGACGCCGCAATCCTTCCCACGAATCACTCTCTTCGCAGGCTCCAAGCAGGCAAAGAAGGCAACTCGCCGGGCTGTGCTCACCCGACGTCGCACAACACCTGCCAGCGACGCGGCCATTTTACTCAATGGCGGGCAGCCACATTCTTCACGCACCGCCGCCGCACCCCTGATGCGGAAGTACATCCGGGGTGCAGTAAAAAGCAAACACAAGGCACGCCTCGCGTATCCCCCCTCTCCCCACCCCACCATCGTCTCCCTCCACGTGGGAGAGACCCTGGAGGGCCACGCGAGAACGCCTTTCCCGACCAGCGAACCACAAAATGGCAACGGCAACAAATAGAAAAAAAGACAAAATCAGTTCATGTTCGCCCCCGGCGCCTAACGTGCAAGCGCGTCGGCCCCTCCCGACACGCAGCTACTACGGCGTCACTCTGTCGGCGCCATCCCTCGTCATCCCTAGCCCGAATTACCCCAGATGTAAAAAAAGAAAAAGCCCCCGCCCATCGCCAGATCGCTCCGCAGCCCTATGTAAACTCGACCCGACTGCCGCCCTCGCCCCGCGCCAACCGAGCCTGCGCCCGTTCTGCCCTGCGCCGCCGCCGGTTGGTGTCGTAGTTGCTAGCACCACCCTCTGTATCCGTGTAAGTCCCCGACGGGCTGCCGAGGCCACTGCCTAGCCCGCTGCCAAACGGTGGCGGCGAGAGGCCGTGATAGTCGACCTTTGAAGGGCTCATGCCGTGCGATGGCACTGGCGGGGGGCCCGTTGGGGATCCCAGCGGGTGACGGCCCGGAGACGTCACCGGAGGCGAGTACATCGTCGACGGCTGCGAGTATGGTGGAGAGAATGGCGGAGAGATCGGTGATACGGGTCGTTGTGGTTGCAGTTGCGGGGGCGCCTCTGGCTCGGCCGCCTGCGCTCGTTCCCTTTCCTCAACCCGCCTCCACCTTTCATCGCCCTCGCCGCTCAACGAGCTCAAGCTGCTGTTCCTTCTCCGTGATGGCCGGTCGCGCTTCCTTGCTTCCCGCTCGGCTGCCGCTTCTTCCGTGTTCAGCCGGCGGAGGGTGACGTGCCGACCGTCGTTGTGCATTTTGACCTTGACCGAGACCGGCGTGTGCGATGTCATGTCTGTGTCCACGCTGGGTCTGCGTCCCTGCTTGTGTCGTGCTGCTGCCGCACCGGCTGCAGCGCCAGCTCCGGCTAATGCTGCGTCGTGGCCGAGGTGGTGGCGGTGGTGCTCACGCCCACCGGGTGACATGTAAGCCTCGGATCCCGAAGAGTCGCGGCGTCCGAACGGAGCTCCCAAGGGCATGGGCAATGGATCATGCGGCTGCGGGGGGAAACCAGTTGCTGGGTGGCTGCCCTCTCCAACCGTGCTAATCCTGCTTCCAAGCGGCGGAATGTTGCCAGTCGGAATCGTGCTGGGTTGGGGCCTTCCGAAGGCGGGGGGCCGGGCCAGTTCAGGGTTGCCGGTCTTGAAGTCCAGCGAGCTCTCACCCTCCGAAACCTCTCGTCCAGGCCTCGTGGGGGTAGACAATCCATCCCCGAACTTCCGTCTCTGGCTGCTCGAGCGTGCCAACTTCTCGTTCTCCAATTCTTGCCGCCTCATCTCCGCCACCCGCTCGTCCTCTTCTTTGCGACCGCCACGTCCCAGCTTGTGCTTCAAGAATGCCAAAATACCAACCGCCCCAATGGCATTGCGCCATCCGTGGCCGTCGTCGTGTATGGGCTCGTGTGGGTAGTCATCTCTTGAGCTCTCGAAACTCTCACCCCGGCTGTCCCATGAACTGACTGAAGCACCGCTCCGCCTACGGTTCATGTATGACCTCCGGACGGGGCTACCAGTCATCGCTGACTCTGTTACGACTTGGCCGGGTGTCACCTCACTCTCCTGGTTACGCCTGTAGCGATCGTTTCTTGAGCTTTGTGGCGATGCTGGCACACGGCCCTCCTCTAGCCGGCTCAGGTCTGTTTGAGTAACACTGTGTGGACCGCCAACCGGGTGGGAGTATCCAGAAACGTCGCTTTGCGGGCCCCGTTTCTTGCCAAACAAGCCTTTCAGTGCCGCGAGCAGTCCAATGCCTGCGCCAGCTCCCAACATCCTGTCTCGCCAAGTGTGGCTGTGAGGATCGTGGCCGTCTTCAGTGAACTTCTCGTCGGCATAGGAATCGTAATGGTGCGGCCGGTGGTGGTGGTGCGAGTCGCGTCGAGAGCTAAGGATCGTCTGTTCGTCTCCAGTCTCGTGCGATCTTCTCCGGCTGCGCGACCTGTGTGCCGCCAGGCCGGCGCCTGCCGCACCCGCAGCTGCCAACGCGCCCAAACGCCGTCCGCGGCCGTGGCTGCGGCGGCTCCGTCTATCCTCCGTCAATTCGGAGCGGTAATCCGAGATGTAGGTACCATCGCTTTCGACAAAGGGGCCGATGGACAGGTTCCTGTAAGTAAGAACAAAATAAAGGAAGAGGAGTATAGCTCCCCAAACCGCATAAAGAATAAACAAAACTTTCGGTGAACCCCAGAGCGTAAGTCCCAGGGCAACCTGAATGAACCCCAGAATGGCAATTGCTCTTCCAAGCCATTGATGTATCTATGCCTGTCAGTGTTGTCTGCCATACGTCGATGCGGGTGTGAAACTCACAAACAACTTCAAGGGTATCTTAAACCTCTCTTTTCCCTTCTCCAAACGATGTATCAAACCGCCACCGAGGGCCTGCACGAGGACTAAAACATAAACGGCAAGCCCGATGCCGTGATGGGGGTTTGTCCAGCTCCTGCCAGGCCCGACGGCGAAATATCCCAACAAGAAGACAGCCGTGGTCAGTAGAACAGTGAGGACTTGTAACCGGATGTGCCAGATGAGGGCGGCGCGAGGGTTCCGGTGGTAGAAGCGAGCCATGAATATGGCAGCGGGGACGATGGCGAGGAAAGTTATGGCGGCCACGACGCCGTGGCCCGTGATTATGGATTTGTAGCCAGGCATTTCCCTGAAGCGGTTTCCCATGCCTGTAGTAGAAGACATGAGTCGGGGATCCACGTGGGCGCGACGCCACAAACGCGGGGAAACTTACCATTGTAGCGCATAGTGTCGAAGTTGAAGCCCATGAGATTGGGGAGCAGGAAGGTATTCCTCTCGGAATCCCAGGTGCCGTCGCCGACATACATGGTGTTGGACGAGTATGTACTACTGCCCGGGGCAGTGAGGCCGTCTGTGGACATGGCGATGGATCTACGAGAGGCGCACCGAAAAATCGAGTGAGAATAGGGCGCAGGTCGAGACTCAATGCATGGGTGCGGAGGCTGGGCGGGGGAGGAGGAGGAAGGCCCGGTGGGCGGCGCGCGAACGCAAAGCAAAGAGTAGTTGTACAGCGAAGGTCGTGAAAGATCGTAACGTCGTCGAGCGGCTGAAGATTTGGAGTGAAACGCGCAGACGCGGAAAGTGATGTGATGCAACAACTCTGTGAGGGCGGCGAATGCAGGCTGTAAATGCGGAGGCTGGGGACTGGAGCGTGCCCGACGAGCGGACAGCTCGGTGGTTGATGCGCGCTTCCGTGACGTGCGTGGAGATTGACAACGGGCGCTCTCACGGCGACGGGGCTTCGAGCCGGTTCTGTGTATATATTTTTAGGGGGGGAGAGGGGGGGTGAAAAGTTAGTTTTGGCTTAGCAAAGAAGAGCGAGCGAAAGTAGTAGGGCAGCAGCGGCAAGGCGAGAAGAAGGAGACACGAAGAGGCGCCTAACCAGCAACCTCGACCAGCTGCGTTGGCTGACCAACGGTTTTGTCGGATGATTGGCTGCTATCGATAGGCTGTAGATCATCGTCTTTTCGACACGGCGCGACCACGTCGAGTCCTCTCTCTGCAACTCTGCATCATGCTGCATTGTCGCATCAGCAATCTGTCAGGTCCTGATGACGAGCCTCACTTTACATGTCCTGCCACGGTGCGTCTCTCTCTCTCTGGTTTTCTCTCCCCTCTCTCCATCCCTCCCCGGCAGTTGCATGCAGAGCTTGCTCCGCCTCCCCCCGTGCCCCTTCGTGGCGTGGTGGTCTTTGAAAACGCCCAGGCACCGCTGCGGCAGGGACTGTGGGCCTTTCCGCTCGCTTTTGCACGCTAGCACTGGTGGCACTGGACCCTCTTTGCGCGTCTTAACTAGTTCCCACTCGATACGACGCGCCGTCGCCTCGTCTACTACTGGCAGTCTGACACCAACAGCTTTTGCGCCAGCGTTTCGGCCACTGCGCCTTCCGTGCCTGCTGCCGCCGCCATTCGCTGCGACGCCATGTTTCGTGCTACTCTGACAGCCTAGAACCGCGACGTTCCTGAGTAAAAGCTCGTCAGGGGCACCTCGCAGCCATTGACATCAATGACATCCTACGGCGCTTGCTGAGTGCCTGTGCAACGGATATATCTATCCTTTTTCTTTTTCCACTTCTCCGTCAATTGCGCATTCACAAGTTGTGATCCCGCTACGCCAATCATGACAACAACCGAGTGCTTTCAGCTCCAGCCTCACTCCCCAATGACCAATCACTTAGCTACACAAATATCCTCAATCTCTCCTTTTTTCCTCCAATCACTGTTGACATATTCGGATTCATTCTCCATTCCCTCTTTCTCCGATCCAACAAAAAAGCATCAGCGCACCGCACCATCTCAACCCCGCAAACCCGCCCCCACCAAAAACACACGCCTTCTCGTATCCCCTCCCATCCATCCTATTTTCCACTCCGTACTTCGCCACCAAAACAGGTGCGACGTCCAAACCAACGCCGAGTACAACACGTCGTATACGCATATACACATATGGTGCGGTACATATGTCAACGCATCGTGCGTGAGTGCTCAGCTTGTGTAAGCGAACTTATGTGCAAGCCTCGTGTACATGACTGAGAGAAAAAAAGAAAGAGAGAGAAAAAGAGAGAGGATGAGATAAAACTGCCTAACCACCCCCCAACACAAACCAGCCAGTTCAGTCTTCCACAAAACACGCCCCTGCCCCCTCAAGCATCCCCCCAGCCACTACCAAGCAGTCGCACAAACATGACCACTTCACCACAGCATCACTGCCTCCACAGCGATCCATATCGGTCTGACAACACAACCCCCCATCAGTGCACTCATGTGTACCCACCCAGAACTGGCTTGGATGAAGGTACGGATGCCTTCGCGTGCGGATGATGGAACTGTGTGCGGTTGTGGATGTGGGTGTTTGGGCCTTTATGGCTGCGAACGGCGTGGGTTTTGTGGGGTGGAGTGGGATGCTGGACGGTAGGAAATCGTTAGTAGGAGAGTGTGGGAAGTGGTTTGGGGTGTCTGGGTGTCTGGGTGGTAGGCTAGAGCTTTCGACCTAGGTTTACGTGCTCTGTCCGTTAGAGCGTTTGGGCATGCTGTGCCATGGAAGTAACCAAGATATATGCAGTGCGGACATCAGCGCGCGGTTCCATATGCAATATTCAGTACTTCAATACTGCAGTGTGGAATAGCGCGTCAGGGTAACATTATGGCCGTTTCTGCTACGCTACAAACACAGCTTAAACGATAACTATAGGATTAACTACCGCGACATCATCGGACATCTATTACCCCTCCACATTCGCATTCGCACATCATCTCCTCTCCTTCCCTTTAGCACCCTACTTTCCCCATCCTCGGCATAAATACCCACCCAAGTTCTCCTGACTTAAGCCTCTACATCCCCGCCCCAATATACCACCACCGCCACCAACGCACTCCTACATCCGCACTCCAAGCCCAACTCTGACCGCGCCTACCACCACCACGATCATCACAGCCACGCCGCGCACACCGCACCGGCGGCCGCAGTTCCTCCCTCTGAACTCCGGACCTAGCATAAGATCAGTTTCCGAAGAAGAACGCAACGCGCAGCTCCGCGCCAACGGTCGAAACAGGAACGACGGGAGACGTACACGGGAGTCTGGAAGGCCTGGCGTGCGGCCTGTATGCAGTGAATGAGTGAGCGAGTGATACGAGGCCCAATGTCCAAGCAAGCAAGTACCACCGGCCAGGAAGACAGGTAGGTGCGCAGAGGCAGGCCACACCACGCCGGGGGCAGCCTTCGCTGCCGACCGCAGACCAGAGGCGCAAAAGCGGGCGGGCAGCGTTGACTGTTGACTGCGCTGCCGGTCTGCGCCCGTAACCGTTTCATGTGTTGGGTTAACCACAGGACGATGGAATTAGGTAACCACAGCGCGTGTGTTCATCTCTCACCAAAGGCCTTCCGCGCCGACTCGCCCATCTTGCTCCCCGCGTCGGCAATCATGCGCGCCACCTCCGCCATCTTGCTCCCCTCATCGCGCATCGAGCGCACCGCCTCCTCGAGCGAATGCGTCCGGCTCCTTAACTGCGCGACCTCAACGCGGAGCGCGGCAATGATCTGCGGCTCAGGGCGACAGAGGGGATCCGCATGCCAGGCAGCAGCATTAGAGCTTGGGCCGGGGCTTGGGCTGATGATTTCCTCGAGCCGGGCAGCAGTAGGCCTTGGTCTTTCGATGTCGCTGACGACCCCTTTGCCTGCAGCTTCCACCGCGGCTTCTAGCTCTGCTTTCTCTTTCGCCCATTTGCGCTTGTCTTCTGAGCTCTGCGCTTGTAGCCGGCTCGCCATCTCCAGGATCTTCATGTATTGCGCGCTGTTGGCGTGGACCTCGCGCCTTGCGTCGTCCCGGCTCTGCTGCAGCTCCTCGATTTGCGCCTCCAGCGACGCGTTCCTGGCTTCTAGGTCTTCTTTGTCATTCGTCAGCGTGTTAATCTCGACGTCGCTGACCTCGAACTTTCTCTCCAGTGCGGCGCATTTGGTGTGCTGGCGATTCAGCCTCTGTAGTAAATTGTCGTATTCCTTCTGCAGGGTCTGGAGAGCAAGCGTCTTGACGCTGACTTGATGCTGCAGCTCTTGTAGGTGCGTCGTCTGCACTGAGGTTTGGAGGGAGGGGGCGGGTGATGCGATGGATGGGAGGCCAGAACCGGATGGGAAGTTGATTGATGTAGGAGAAGGTAGCATGCGCGCTGACTGGTAGCTATGCATAGGGGATGGTGCCGGGGGAGGAGCGAAGTCAGTAGATGATGGAGGCATTGGAGGCGAGAAGTGTGGAGACGAGTAATCTAAACTGCTCCGAAATGGTCTGCGATGGTCACCGACACCGCTAGAGAACGGTATTGATTGAGACGCATCAGGACCGGCGCTCGGTGATGGTCGGGGGTAGGGCTGTCGCTCTTCCCCAAATGGCATCTCATGTGCCCTCTTCATGGCATCAGATGACTGGGTCGAGGTTGTTATCGTTGACTGAGAAGCGGGTTCTTCCGGTTGCAGTACGCTGGTCTGGGACGATAGGTCTTGCAAACCGGCGACATTCCATCGCAAGACTTCAAGCGCGAATGTCAGTGCCTGGTCTGTTCCCAGGCGCGTGATGTCTGGAGGCCGCTTCATTCAGTTAGCATGGCGCCCAATACATGCCAGACTCTACCGAGGCGCCTCAGGATGCCTTACAGATTGCGCTTGCCTGTCGTTACGTTGGAAGATCCGCTGAATGCCTGTGTGAAGCACGTCCACTTCCGCTGCGATGTCTTGGATGACAGCACGTCGCTTCATACAGCTGTTTCCTCTGCAATTCGGTTCACAGCAGAGATCTTCTCCTATTGCAGGTACTTTTGCCAACGCATCAGGTTGAACACCGCACGCAGAGGGGAGCTGTGGGAGTTTCCGCTGCAGACGCTCCTGTTCGCCGGGAAGAGACATTGCTGATCCTGTGCACATCAAACAACTGTCAGTTCCATGCCTTAACTGTCTATTGATGACAAAGACGGCGGGGAAGTGATCACTCTACCCTCATGTTGCTTCCCGCTCCCAAGACGTGCTGACTCAGCGGTTCGTGAGAGTGGTGGAGGCGACTGCAAGCCCCAGTCATGCAGCCGTAGGCGTTTAGTGTGGGAAACATCGTACAGATGGCGCATCTCCTGCGGGGGATGGTTCACAGAAAGCGCCTCCTCCTCCAAAGTAAGGTATTGCGGTGCAGATGGGCGCCGAGCGCGAAAGCTTGGTGAGATGATAAAGCTCTCAGAGAATGCTGGCAGCGTTCTTTCCTCAGCAGGTCCAGAACTGATTGCTGCCGATGGTTGGATTGCACGTGGAGCGACGGCCGGCTGACTTGGTGAGCAATAGGTCGGCGAAGGTGGTCCCTCTTCCCACGGCCTCTTCCATCTTGATCCAGAATCCATGGGGTCCGCCGGCCCTTACGCGAAACGGCGGGCTTTGGCAGGCCGCCATCCGTATCCCCGAAAGTTGGAGAGCTGAGAGGCGTCCCTGAGGTGCAGAACAATCGGCCCCCCTTCCAGAAATAGACGCTGATATAGGCCAGCAGCAAGGGAAGACGCAACTTTCCACTCAGACGAACAAAAAAGAACAATCACGAGAAGGAGGATATGTGGGACGGGCGGCTGGGCGTAAAATGTCAGACTACAACAGAGAGCTTCTGGGCGGACAGGGCATTGTGGGATCGGCCAAATACGGAAACGGGCGCTTACTTTCCGTAATGGACGGGAAAGACCTTGACAGAAAGCTCTTGGCGCTGCAGCGCGGGCAGGAGAAAAGGACTCGCGGAGTGAAAGAAGAAGCAATCAGCGAGGATGCGCGGCGCAAGTTCACGCCGCCTTGTGCTCCAGCCGTGCGACCAACGAAATGCAGATGGGGATAGCGACGAGGGCAGACGACGGTTGCAGAGGAGATATAGACGGCTGAGTAAGCCTCGGGTCCGGGGCTGGGTGCTTGGTAATGACAGGGGCCGCCTCTTTGGTGCCTCTTCAGCCTGGCCATCATTTACTGCTTGCAGTATGGCGGCTTGGGGCAGAGGGCGGGTGTCCACCGCTTTTCGGCGGGCGTTGATGAACTGTGCCGGCGCGCCGGTCTTATGGCTCAGGCAGCACTCGAGCTTACACTGCGCCCTAAATCTGGGGTCAGACGGTAGTATGTTCAAGAGGGAGGGGACATTATGCAGTGTCTAGGGAATGCAGTAAAGATCGCGGCCCTCGCCCGGGTACCGTGTGCCAGGTCACAAGCCACCCATGCATTCGCTGCCATGACATTGCTTACACAGCGCGCCACGACGCCTCAACCCCATGAGGCTCCTGCAGCCCAGTATCGATCTTCTGCGCAATCCCTTCCAGCCCTCGCTCCACCCACTGCGCCTCTCCTTCACCGACCTCGACCTCGATGCGCCGCATCAGCTGCAGCTCGTGAGCCATCCCCTTCACCAAGGACCTGCATCCGTTGACCACCACCCGGATTGTCGATCCCTCCGCCGGCTCGAGCAGCCGGTCCACATCCCGGTCCAGCAGCGTCACTTTGCGCTGCAGCGCCGCAACCTCGCCTTTCCACGCCTCTCCCAGACCCTCGGCCACATCGAGACTCTGACTAGCACCCCTGGTGCGCCAGATCTCCTCGACCCAATCAATCCATTTCTCGAACCCTTGGACCACGTGGGTATACCGACCGCCCGAGTCGGTCAGCGCCCGTAGTTCGTTCAGCAGCGGCCCGAGCACCTGGATATTCTCCGCAAGTCCGAACGCGGCGTTCCCACTGCTCCACTCCTCGAGCGCGTGCAGGTTGATCAGCTCTTGCACCTCGCTTTCGTTCTTGCACATGTTGTGATGCGCCGTGGCTACTTCGTAGAATTGCAAGCGCAGGGCTTTCTCGGCGCTGCGCTCCCACTTCGCCTGCGTCTCCGACGAGCTCTCGCAAAGCAGATGCAGCTGGAGAAGCTCCGCCTGAAGTGCCATGATCTCGGCGGAGAATGGGTCCGTGGGAACAGAGCTTGTCGGCGCCGAGTTCAAGAGCGCAGATGTAGACTTCTTTGGTTCGAGCGTTTTCTTCGGCGAATAATGCTGCTGCAACGTCGAAAAAGCGGGCCGTGCCGTTAGCTTGGACTCTTTCTCCTGAGTCTCTGCACCGCGTCTAGTGATTGTCGTGGATGCTGGGTTGCGTGGCGCCGTGAGCTCTGACCTTGAGCGAGAGTGACTGCTAATGGTGCTGCCTCCACGCTTGAGGTCAGAAGCAGGTGCGGGCATCCTCGAAGAAGGCGCTGAAGTCAATGTCGCTGCTCTTGACCGCTCTGTCTGGATTGTCCTTGGAGTGGCGGTCTGGGAGGATGTATTGGAAGACGATGAGCCGGGCCTGCTGGTGCGACTAAGTGCACCGGCACCCGACTGTGCAGTGGAAGCGGACCTAGCAATGGCCGAAGGGGCACTGTTCTTCAGTGGTGCTCGCAAGCTCGCTGTCCTGGACGATTGACCCGTCGTGGTCGCCGCGGGCTTTCGCAACGACTGCGCGCGGCTCACCCCAGACGGTGGAGGAGGTGGAGGCATCATGGACCTTGCATTATCCTCAGGCTTCTTCGCGGCCTGCAGCCTTGATGCCACACCCTGCGTTTGACTGTATCCCCTGGTGCGCACCGCCGGCTCCTTCGCTGGCGGGGGTGCAGGTCCATTGCTCTTCGTGGGCTGTGCCGTCGCTAACCCTCTGGGAGCTCCAGCTTGAGGCAAAAGGCTTTTTCTTCTGGGAATGGAGCCGTTATGTTCGCTCGTGGGGCGTGATCGAGAGAAGGTAGGCAATCGCGAGGGCGACGACTGTGCTGCCGGGCTATCGGGGGTTTCATGGTGCTGTGAGGATGAGAGAGAGCTCCAAGGACATCGGGTTCTAGGGTACTTACGGAGGACATGATGCAGCAAAGATTCCATCGCGGGCGCGTGGATCGACGGGCGTTGGACTTCGCTGATAAAGGCAGGAGGCGGTGATCCCTTGTTTTGTGTTTACCTATGGACGGAAACGGCCGCCCGTGCGCGATTCCCTGCCTAGCCCTACGGCGAGTGGGTGAGCATCCATGCAGCAACACTGGGGCAGCACGTGGTAAGCAAGGCCTGCATTAACTTTGAGTCGCCAGTCTCCATTCTCTATATTTCTTGTCATAGAAGCATTATCTATGCCAAGCTAACAATCGACTGAGCCAACCGCTGCGCTTTGGATATCCATCGGCCGAAACGAGAGAGCACCAGAATACGCCCAGACAACGAAAAAAAAAGTAGGCTCGTAAAACTTGCAACCTCCCTCCAATCCCATCTACAAACTGCCTCTCCTGATGGGGAAAGATACACCCTCGACCGCGGGATAGTCGGTGAACCAGCTTACCCGCTCCTGCGCCATCGAGTTTATCAGGCCGCAAGGCAGGGCGTGGCCCTCCTCCGTGTCGAAGATTGACTTCATGATGTCCTTCTTGCCTCCGCCGGTCGCGACAAAGGCAATCTTGATGCCGTGAGCTGCCACGGGGAGCGACAGTGTGATCCTCTGCGGCGGCGGCTTGGGGGAGTCGCTGATGGGCAGGACCCAGGCCTCGGCTTCGCGCAGCAAGGGAGATCCGGGGAACAAGCTACAGGTGTGGCCGTCGGGACCGCAGCCGAGCAGGAGGAGGTCGAACATGGGGATCTTGACACTGTCGCGCGCGGCGAAGGCCTTGACGAGCGTCTGCTCGTACTGGTCGGCCATTTCCTGGATATCGTTGAGGTACTGGGTGTCGATGGGGTAGACGGTAGGCTTGCCCAGTTCGGCCGGGATCTTGGAGAGCAGCTCAGCCTTCAGAAGGCCGTAGTTGCTGTCCTCGTGGTCGAGGGGGACGGCACGCTCGTCGGCGAAGAAAATGTGCCATTTGGAGAAGTCGACCTTGTCTTCCTTGGAGCCGTTGCCCTTGGGGAGCAGCGCCTGGGCAAGGACCTTGGGCAGCGAGCCGCCCGAGACGGCGATGCGAAAAGAGCCATGGCGCTCCAATGCCTGGTTTTGGGCGTCGACGCAGTAGGTGCGCAGGCTCTTGGCAAGAACGTCGGCGTCCTGGAAGGAGTAAAGGTTTGGCGGCTTTCCCATTGTGAGTGGTGGTTTGGTGGTGGTGGTGTGGGTTGCAGAAGCGTGAGGCAGCGAGGGCAGCAATGAGAACGACGCGGGGCAGATGTGATGGGCGGTGGGCAGGCAGTCCAGGTAGTATTTGGCCGAAGTCCTTTACTGTCTCAGGGCTCGGAGGATAAAATGTGGGTACAAGGATGATGGGGGCACAGAAATGGCGGACAGAAGGCTTGCGAGCGTTCTGGAAACGATACGGGCGCGCTGGAGCAATCAATGACGAAGGCTTCCGTGCTTGGACAGGCTAGATATCGCGCGCGCACGGCAAAATCTGGTGGTGGTGAGACAGATCGCTCAGCAGTTTTCGGCCTTGTGCAGTCGGCCGTCACGTCACTCGTTCCGATGCGACAGCCCTACAAAAAAGCACCTGCGCTTTCGAAGCAAGAGAGAGCGACTGCAACGCAGCGCTCGCTGGCCTTATCGCCTTGCCGCGCGATGTTGGCCCGCCCCCGAGCTCGTCACCGTTCTTGGCCCTTATGACGTTATGTCTGGTCCTCTCACCCTCCCACCGTCCTTCCGCATTTCACCAAGCCCGAGCCATCGAGCCGATGTCTCCTCTCCCTTGCCGCGAGCGGGTCGCCGGCCAATCGAAATGCCGCTCTGGGGTCGAGGAGTGGACTCCGCCCAGCCCCGTCACCGCTGCCGAGACGTCCCGCCTGAACCAGTGACCCGCACGCTCAATTGGATACGGTTTGCGGTGAAGCTTTGCTCATGCGAGATCAACGGCGTGAGTCGTGCCCAAGCTGCTCTTGACTGAGAATTGCTGCTAGGCTGGTCCTTGGGCGGTTATGAGTAATAGGAACCAGAATCCATATTGCGTTAGACTCACAGAGGCCCGCTCTGGGCAATGGCTGTTGGCTGTATGTATCAAGTTTAACGTCCGTCACCGTTAACCGAGATTCACCGTGAAGCGAGATGGTGCTACTTATACGGAGTAGAAGAAGAGACCCAGCTAAGATATGAAGAGTCTATACATACTCTAAGACCTTTTTATCTATGCCTAGAACTCGGGCTAGGAGCTGGACAAGAAGTGCTCTGTAGGGACTGCTTGTATCGTCCCCTGTCTTGCTACACGTGGATCTCGGTTCGCGATGACAGACGTTACGCGGGATATGGAACCGGAGCTTCCAAATACATGGTTACAGTATGTAGGGAAGCACAAAGATATTCATACTGGGAAGCTATCAGATAGAGGCGGGGTTAGGACGGCGATAGCGGCGCATCACGTGCAAGCTTATCCAGATTTCCGCTGGGGAGCCTCTCAGTAACACAACCCAATTCCTTCCCTCCATCCAGCAGAATGAGCTACAGTCGAGCCTTGAATGGTCCCCGCGCCTCGGACGGCATACTCGCGCTTTTCCGAGTCCCTGCGACAAGCCCCCAATGCCTCGCCTGCACTAGAATGTTGCGCGCTCGCGCCTCCACCGTCCGCACCGAACACCTCCCCCGAGTCGCTCAACCAGGGTTATGGACCAGCATGATTCCCAAGTTCATGCGACCGTCGCCCGTGCGTGCTGAGTCGTGGCGGACATGGATGGCCAAGGATTGGAATCCGGCGACCATCTTCATCGCGCTGGGGCTACTCGTCGGCTCGAATGCCATAAACATGCTTATTTTGCGGAAAGACATTGCGGATTTCAGCAGAAAGGCGGACGCCAAGATCGCCCTGTTACGCGAAGTAGTGGAGAAGATCCAGGCTGGGGAGAAAGTGGATGTGGAGCGGATATTAGGCTCCGGGAAGGAGAAGGAAGAAGGGGAATGGGAAGAAAGTAGGTCTTGCCTCTGCCGCAGTCACTCTGCACGATCAAATCCTTCAGCAACGCGCGTGAGGCTCGGGGTCTTAGAGTAATCCCACTAACATTCAGTGCTACAGTGTTGAAAGAAATAGAGGAAGAAGACCGAACGTCCCGTAAACGCCGAAAAGCTGTCGCGGAAGCAAAGGAGACGGCCGAGATTACCAAAGCCAAATCGATCGCAGGGACGGTTGAGCCTACGAAGCCAGAGCCGACTGTTGTGCCAGAAGAAAAGAGGACAGCCATCGGATTTTATTGAAGGAAGAACATGTCCAGCGTCTAGGCATTGCGCGCATATGCTGGAGTTTCAGGCATTGGGAAACTTGGACTTCTGTGGATTGGATTATACCCAGAGCACCATTCGGCGGTTCCGGTGCACGTACAAATGAAACCGTTCCTATATTATTTTGTAGGAAAACAATGGCGAAGACAATAGGGCTCGACGTATGAGCATCGAACATAGTAAGGCTGTATGAGTGAAGATGTTTAATTGCATCTCCATATTGAGTGATACTTCGTAACGCGAAAGTGTACCAAATTGCTTCGAGATGATTAAAGATACTGCAGGTAAGTTTAAGTACCCCCACAAGTTATTCCTTAAATGGTTTAAGACCTACTTCTATATTTCGGACCGTAATGCTGAATGATAGGTACCTAGGTGCTACTCCGCATGGTGACAAATTCGGCATTTGATCATGCCGAACCGTTGCCGACATTTCGGTGCCCCGCTGCTCGCCTTTCTTAAAGCCTTCCTTACCATCCAGAAGTGGTCGCCGTCCATCACGCCGTACAAACACTTTAAATTGACTGTGCTTAGAAGGTACTGACGACAAGCTAAAATGTCAAACCAAAAAGTCAACAATAATCGTTTCAATGCTGAAGCCGCAGCATGGGACTCCAATCCAGGCCATGTCTACAGCAGCGAATTGGCAACGAAAGCCGTCTTGAAATATACGCTCAAGGCCCAAAGAGACAGTAAATCTGGTATGTCAACAGCGTGCTGTTAAGGATGCAAACCCAGATGACTAATTGAACCTTATACAGACCTTGACGTCCTTGAGATTGGCTGTGGCACCGGGCTGATGTCGTTCATGCTGGCTCCTCATGTCCATTCTCTCATGGGTGTCGATACCGCCGAAGGAATGGTCGATGCGTTCCGTGTCAAGCTTTCCGAAGGACGAGACAAGAACCTCGCTGTTGTCACCCATTTTCTTGAGACTCCGGATGCTCCTGAAATCCAGAACTCAGCAACAAAGCTTTTGAGCAGAGTTGATAACTCAGAAGTGGAGACACCGGTGCGTTGGGATCTCATCATAAGCCACTTGACGTTGCATCATATACCGTCGTTGCCAGACATACTGCGGACTATGTATGCAAGTTTGAAGCCTGGCGGACAGATTGCTCTCACAGACTTTGAGGACACCGGACCAGAAGCAGTTCTATTTCACCCAGTGGAAAAACGCGAAGGGGTCGAAAGACATGGGATCAAACGGAATGAGATGGAAATGTTAATCCGTGAGGCTGGCTTTGAAGATGCGGCCGTCGAGGTGGCCTTCACCATATCGAAAGCGGTGGACGAGAAAGAAGCGAACGGCAAGGTAACTCTGGATTTCCCGTTTGTGGTATGTTTGGGGAGGAAGCCATTGCAGGACGAGTACCGGTAGCAGTACTTATAGAAGATAATAAATAAATTCATTCTCCGTTGCCCGCCATGGCATCATAAGGCGTTGCCCATGACAACGCTAGAGTCTTGGCAACATTGAACTTGTCAACGAAGCTCGTGCGCACACCGGGGATCTTGGCGGCGCATCTGAGCACCTTCCATGCCAACTTACCAGCAACCTTCTAATGTGTAGTTTTTTGGTCGTCTCGAATCCAGCGACCTCGTCGCACAGTCCGTATAAATGACGACCACCACCGTAAAGCCGTCGCGTCCCGACCTCGACGCCATCAAGTCTCAGCTCTCCGCGCCAACATGCGCCCCCGCTACCGTCACCGCGCTACAGCAATTACTTGGAGCTGCTGGCAAGCCGACAGCAGCGAACGATAAGGAAAACGACAAACCAAAGACTGGCAGGACTGCTGCGGCCACCTCCACAACCAAAACCAAGACCGCGACCAAGGCGCGTACAAAGTCCAAAGCAACATCCGCAGTGGAAGTAGTGGAGGATGTGAACCATGCCCTTTTACCCCGTGAGAAGTTTACGCTCGCAACAACAGTCGTCAATTCGTCTCTAAAAGCACTCAGCGACGCTCTCAAACCACAACCGAAATCGCATGCGCGCGTGGCGTCAACCGTATCCAAACAGCCCGAACATTCGACCACAAACTCTGCTTCACAATCTCGCCCAGCGCCCTCACGAACCGTCAGTCAACTATCGAATGTATCCACGAAGCCGCTTCAACGGAGATCCTCTTCACTTTCTATCACGAAATCCGGAGTTCCGTCTGGCATCACATCTCTAGCAGAATGCGCCCGGCTTGCTTTCGCATATCTGAGGACACCTGAAGCATGGAAGGCAGCGGGGAAGGACTTACCACCATTGCAGGTGGAAAATGGAATGCTGTCTCTGGTCGGCAAGATGCTGGGACACGGGTTGGATGCGTTGGCGGCTAAGGAGTTGCGTCTGCTCAAGAGAAGGCTCGAAATCTACATGGATACCAAAAATGGGGACTCGGGCACCCTTGCAAAGGTCGCTGGAGGGAATAAGGCCACGGAGAGTGCGGCAGAAAAAGACACGATGGCAGGCCTGCTGCACTTCAGCGGTATAGACCTGCAAAGTTCGGCCCTCCACCTCGTCCTTAACCACCAAATCTACGTATTGAGGATCATCGCCAACAGCAAGAGAGCTAGTACCATCGAGGCAGCCAACTGCTTCCTTCAAACCCCAACCCCATCATCGCCGGTCAACATACTTTTACATCTCTCCGAAAGGCCAGGATACAAAGACAAAGCCGCCCGTCAACTAGAAAGTGTCGCCCAAGTGCTCCTATCGTTATGTCCAAGCATTTCAACCTCCGAGGACTCCGTCGCATGTAACCCGAAATTCCATGCAACACCCGAAATCATTTTCCAACTACAATCGCTAGCGTTCGAGGCCCGATCAAAATGGTGGAAACTCTCTGGTCACGAGGGTGATCCTGCGAAAGAACTTCTGGAGCCATTTTTAAAGTGCTTGGCCGCTTTTGCCCGTCGATCGACGGCAGAGCCGAGTGAGAAATACGCCATGGCTGTCGGATGGTACAGAGCTCTTGAGGAATTTGTTCGGCTCTGGCCAACGACCAAGCGAGCGCCGTGTTCCTCTAACGTAGAATCGAATATCCATAGGGTGTTGAGTTCGCTTGCACAATCTGCTACTTTGGGAGATGAAGCTTTGCAGTGGATGCAAAATAAAGCCTCATCTACAGACAACTCCCGGGTTTCAGGGGCAGCCTCGGCGACTTCCCAAGTCAGAATTGCGGCCTTGCACCTCGACAACACACCAGCCGGAAAGGACGAGGAAAAATTGACCGTGAGCCTTGACAACGCGCTCCAAAGCCTAGCCGGAAACTTGAGTGGAGATTCCGCGGACCTTGACACGTTGTTAGCCGAAGTTTCGGGCCTTAGAAGAGCAGCGACCAGGGCTTTCCTAGATGCATCAAATTCGAGTTCAGACCAAGTAGAGCGCGAAAATGATATTCAGGACAAATGCGTCTTAGTAATTGCTGCTTGTACGCATTTCCTCGCCCGGTACATAGGTACAAGCCCTGGAGAAGACTCGGATCCCAAAGCTTCTCTTCGGCACGGAGAACGACTCGCTATCGCCTCGCGAGTAATCAAGGGGTTCATCGATTCCGCCATGGCATGCTGTAGATCACTCATCATTTCCAACAAGATAAACTGGGAGTTCCTAGATGGTTTGCTCCAAGATTGTTGCTACAGTCTTCGCCAGCTTGAGCCGTACTACAAGGGCGATGCCCGGTCATTTCAGCAGGCGAAGGCAGGCCTCCAGCATCCATTTGTCAAGATCTCTGGTCTTTATTGGCTCTATTATTCACAGCTGAAAAAGTTGGGAACCAAGGGAGAAAGTCTGTTACGACCGTTAAGAAGATCTATTGAGTCACTTGCAGATCGGAGCGAGGAAGAGAAGATCGCGGGCCTTTATGCTACCAAGGTTGAAAAGATGGCAGAGATGTTTCAAGCAACGGGAACATGGGAGAGCGCTGCAGAAACGTACATGGACGTCCTACGGACCCACATAAACGACGGCAAACTGCCAGGAGCTGCTGAACGAGCGTCCACTAGCTCACTGACTCAAATTCGCCAGGATAACGCGGATTTGGTAACTCTTTCGAAGACACTGGCATCTTTTCACAACGTACTGCTGCGGGACAGCCACGAAAAATCCGGGCAATCTCTGTTTTACGACGACGAAGCATTACCCCACAGCGAGAGGTCATTGCTTTTGGAATTGCAACTCGACATCTTTCTTGTAACAGCCACAAAATTGCGCCTCCGAGATGCCGCTTTTGAGCGTGGATTGGAAAACCTCGTCATGTTATTGTTCCAATTATATGGAGCTTCCGATTACCCACTCCGTCGGCAGCGCGTTGCCACGAACGTGTTGCGTCTTGCTGTGGAACTCAAAGGCCAAATGTTATTTCCCGATACTTTGGTCGCGGAAGCCATTGATTGCACGGTAGAAGTCGAAACATCTCTTGGTTTAGATGCTGGATTATCCAATTATCAGGAGTATTACGCAGCATCGCACAAAATGGGCGTGGCCTTCCTAGAAGCAATCCCTTCGGCAGACAAGCTTCAGTCCGCGTTGGCATCCTGGCAACGCATCCTGAACGCTACAGACTCTTGGGCTGCGCTTCTCATGCGTATTGACAGTTTTGACAATTGGATCTGGCAACTCCAAATGACTTCTGATTTCTTCGGCATGCAGGGTTTGGATTTCTTACGGGTGCCAACCTTGTCAACAACGGCCAAAGCCTTGGAACTGCAGAAGCCTCTCAAAGTTGATTTGCTTGTACGAACTGTCACTAGTCTTGGCTTGCAATACCTCCACTTGGGTTATTCTGGTAAGGCGGGTGTTGCATTTGCCAAGGTCCAAAATTTGCTCGGAGAAGACGACGTCTCTACCGAGGCGGATCTACAATGGCATCTTGCCTATGCGGAGTATATGCTCGTCATAAACAACCACCAAAAATGTGGTGAAACCCTCACAGCAGCACATAACATAGCAGCCAACGATTCTCAAATCCTTGCAATGGCAAGATCTTCTTCCCTTGGAACACGTATTCGATACAGTAAAATACTTTCGGATGCGTCTTATGTTTATGCGCTATACTCTGTGCAGGCGGGATACCCGCACGAGGCTCTGTCTCACGCTAAAAATTGCGCGTCCCTAAACAGGATGATTTGGACAGCCTTAGAGAACAGAGACAGGAAAAGAGCCGAAAACGGAGGTGCCGGCAGTGGAGCTGTGCAGCCAACGCCTGTGATTATGACAATCACCCACGACGCATTAACTGGTGCTTCGCTCTGGCCTCACGTACCGTCCATCTTCCGCGGATTGTCTCTGATAGCACGCCTCTACGCTCACCAAGGCATGGTACAAGAGGCGAATTTCTATCTTGACCAAGCCTCCAAAGTTTCAGAAGCTGTGAAGGCTGGCGCATTCGTCGTTCATAATGTTAACGAAGTGGTCCGGTATCATCTGCAAGGCGAGAGGCTGGAACAAGCATCTGAGGCTTTGAGCCTGGCAGATCCTTACGTAAAGCAACTTCACAATAGTCCGGAGCTGGCGCGTTATCACGCTATACGTGGACAGCTTGAACAAGAACTAAACGAACAGGATGACGCTTGCCAATGGTTTGATCAAGCACAGTCCGTAATAAGCGGTCTTATCGATCCTGTGTTCATTCAGCAGATGGATAAGGTAAACCGAGAAGAGGAGGAACTTTCCAACAAGATGTCTCAAGTCAAGCTTGAGGATTCTACTTCCCGGACTCGCAAGGCACCAGCTAAGAAGGCCGCGACGGCCAAAAAGTCAACGGCTAAGCCGGCGACGAACTCCACAGCGCGAAAAACAGCCGGAGCCAAATCCTCGCTCACTGGGTCTACATCTGCTACGGAGTGTCCGCCGCTTGAAAGTATCCAAGGCGATATCTTGTGCTACAAGGCCAACTTGTTGCTTTCAAAGGAAAAACTCTCAGAAGCCATGGAACTGATCACCCAAGCTGAAGGATTAAAACTTGCGCAAAACTCGGTTATCCAGCACCAGTCGACTCGCTTCAGAGGGTTGATGTCGGAGGCTATGAGAGAGATCGCAGCCGACTTCACATTCAATGCTCTGCCAGAGTCAACTATCTCCTTCCCTTCGCTGTCACGAGGCGATCGCAGGCAATCAGAGCAATCACAGGCAAGGCCCTCGTATCTCTCCGTGGAACAAAGCACGCCGACTGTGCCGCCCCCTGCACGGAAAGCCGGTAGAGGAAGGAAGGCGGCCAAGGAGGATTTTGCGGCCATTCTTCAGAAAGCTCGCGATTGCATTGCCGAGGTTCAGAATCAGGTCATGCATACTTCCTCCACATCCGTGGTGCGGCGTGTGTGCAGCATGCTCAACGAGGTCACAATTCTGCTCTCAGCCACGAGTGGGAAGGCCGCGAAAGGAAGCCTACACCCCTTGTATGCTGCCTACCTGACAGAGCTACCGAAGGCGGCTGCCTCCCAGCTCGAGCAACTGGCCATTTTAATCGATCAACAACCAAATCGAGACCAGCTGCTACAATGGCCGGCACTACCAGAGGACAACCAAAAGATCGCCCACCTTACTCCTATCGACTTTCAAACCGAATACGTCAACATCATCCCTTCGAATTGGGCAGCAGTGTCTCTGTCTCTTAATGAAGCACGCGATGAGCTTTATATCACTCGCTACATCGCCCATCAATCGCCTTTCATTCTCCGTTTGCCTCTGTCTCGTCACAATGCCCGCGACATGGACGAAGAGATCTTCGGTTTTGAAGAGGGCAAGAGTGAGCTGAAGGAAATTATTGATTTGTCCACTTTCGGTATCAGCAAGCCGCTCGATTTGACCCAAAAGGGCGCCAAAACAGGCTGGTGGGCTGAGCGTGAGGCGTTGGACTCTAGGCTTGGTGATCTTCTGGTCAACATTGAGAGTATCTGGCTTGGTGGCTTCCGTGGCATTTTTGCCGAGAAGAAGGGAGACAAGGCACTGCTAGCAAGATTCCAAACAAGCTTCCAGAACATTCTGGACAGGCATCTTCCTAGTCGGCAAGGCAAGAGCAAACAGGTGAAGGTGCCCCAACTGGACTCGAGGATTCTAGAGCTGTTTGTGGGGCTCGGAAACCCTGACGACGGAGACGCGGATCTAGACGAGCCGCTCATGGACCTGGTCTACTTTGTGGTGGATATACTGCAATTTAATGGGGAGAAGAACGCCTATGATGAGATCGACTTCGACTCGGTAAGTCTAGGGCAGACATTGGACTTGAAGCTTCATGTTACTAACTTCATCGTAGATTATCATCGAGATGCTCGACGCTCTGAGGGCGTATCACAATGCGGTCGATCCCGCGTCCACGAAGCCCCAGCACACCATCCTTATCCTTGACAAGTATCTTCACTCCTTCCCTTGGGAGTCTCTCCCCTCGCTGCAGTCGCTGTCCATCTCCCGGCTGCCCTCCATGTCCGCTCTTCGCGAACGTCTCATCGCAGCACGGCAATCAGCTCACTCTCCACCTAACGACGACGAAGAAGATTTGGAAGGGCGGGAAGGCGGCCACTACATCCCGCGCTCATCGCTGCGTGGCACCAGCATCCTCAACCCAGCTGGCGACTTGACTCATTCGCAGGAGTTCATATCGCCGCACCTGGAAAGCATGGCCGGGACATGGGACAACAAGGTCAACCTCACGCCCGAAGAAAAATACCTCGAGGCCGCACTGGCCAACAACGACGTGTTCCTGTACTTTGGCCACGGCAGCGGCTCGCAGTACATCCGGGGCCGGACGGTCAAGAAGCTGTACCGGCAAACACACGGGCCGAGCAGCAGCGACCAGACGTCAACAAGCACCACGTCCTCCTCCTCCGCCGCCGCCGCCGCCGCCGACAGCAGCGAACCCAGCACCCCTCCACCCCGCAACCTGGCCACCAGCCTCCTCTTCGGCTGCAGCTCGGCCCATATCACCGAGAACGGCGCCTTCGAACCCTCGGGCATGCTGTACAGCTACATCACGGCAGGGGTCCCGGCCGTGCTGGGCATGCTGTGGGACGTGACGGACCGGGACTGCGACAAGTTTGCGGTCAAGACGCTGCAGACGTGGGGATTGTTTTCTGGCTCTTCTTCCCCGTCTACCTCCTCGTCGTCTCTGGACAATGACAATAGCGCCAATGCTGCTGCTGCTGGTAGCAGCAAGGACAGGAAGGGCAGGTCGCGCACCCCGGCGCGGAATAGGTCGGCGTCGGGGAAGGCGCGCGCGAGGAGCGTCGTCAGTGCTTCTAGGGGCAGGAGCGCGGCGGGGAGGGCCGGGTCGGCGTCTGGGCCCGTGAGTTTGGATGAGGCGGTTGCGAGGAGCAGGGACGCGTGCTACTTGCGCTATTTGAATGGGGCCGCGGCCGTCGTGTATGGCATTCCGGTGTTTTTGGAGTAGGGGGTGTGGGTAGAGGATGGGGGAGGGGGGAAGGGTCTGCCGTAGAGGCTGAGTGATGATGATGATGCATGCATGCATGGAATTGGCGCGGGTGTGGCATAGTTGGTTGGTTGGTTGGTGTTTTGGCAATTGACGATGACGATGATGGTGATGATGACGGCGATGGGGTTAGCGGCTGTTTTTCTGCTTGTTCTACTTGTCTTGGTTGTTGTTGTTGTTGTCGTTGTCGTTTTAGGCAGTTTAGGCGTTTTGGATTAAGAGTTTATTATTTCTGTTGCTCGCATCTACGATTCTTGCATATGCATAGGAGTATGGGTTATAAGGCATGAATTGTCTGCTATACGGATAGATATGCGTATTTACGCCAAGCGTGTCGGCTATAACTGTATACTATCTATCAGTTCCAGTCCAGTCATAAGATAGACGTTCACAATAGCGAAGCGAAGCGAAACAGGCGTATACGGATAGTTAGTTAGAAGTGGTGGTGGTGTAAGACGGTGGGGCGGAGCGGAGTAGAGCAGAGGAGCGTAGGATAGATGGATATATAGAAGAAAATGGGATGGATGGGATTAGTCGACATATAGCCTACAGCAGCCTTTCTCATGCCCTGAATGAACTAAACGGAAAAGACAACACACAGCCTCCCACACCACTCACGTACCAACCAAAACAACAGAACAGTTAGAAAAATAATAATACCAAGGATAGGCAATCATCATGAAATTCATAACGTCATATCATAACCCGACCCGACACGCACACGCTCACGCACACCAACCAACACCAACACCCCCATTACCATAATCAAACCCAACCCCAAACCCACACTCAAAACAAAAAAGCAAACAGTCAAAAACCCCCTCCCCACAATTCACAACACCTCAACAACAACCCGCAGCACGCCCTCCATGTACGCGGCGCCGCCGACGTCGCGCCTCGCAGCGCTCCAGTCGAGCTCGGTGCGCACGGGGCGCAGGCCTGTGGGCGTGAGGGCGCGGAGCTCGATCTTGGGTGCTGGTGCAGATGGCTGCGACGAGGTGTGCGGCTGAGGAGGGTTTTGCTCCGAGATGCCGGCGCGCGGCGATTGCGGCTGGGGTTGAGGTTTTGCGTCCTCGGTCTCAGCGTTGGCGGGGTTGGGGGCGGATGTAGAGGCGTGCGATGACGATGATGCTGACGCCGATAGAGAAGAAGAGGAGCGGGGACGCGCTTCCGTGGGCCCTGCCTCTGTCCCTGCCTTTGCCTCTGCCTCTGTCTTCTCATCGTTGGCTTTTTCGCTCCCGGCTTGCGCTTTCTCGTCTACGCTTGTCGTCTTCTCGTCGCTGTCTTCGCTTGCTCCTTCGTTACATCTTTCTCCCCATCCCCCTCCCCCCGTCGCCCCCGCGCCACCTAACCCCAGTCCCCGGATTTCGTCGTGCACGACGCCTAACAGCTCCGCTAGCGGCATCCCGTGGTGCGGCCCGGCGCTGGGCGTTGCCGCCGCTAGGTCGATGCGCGGTAGTAGCACGGTGTTGTTGCGCGTGACGACGATCTGGATGACGTTGCGGGTGGGGGGATAGCTGGGCGCGTCAGGAGGGGGATGTTGAGGAGGGGTGAAGCGGCGGTAGTGGGAGGGTGGGGGTGGGGAGACTGTGTGGTGTGCAGAAGCGGACGGCGGTGGTATTATTGTTGCGGTTGTTATTTCTGGTGCTGGTCCCAATAGCGGTGTCCGTGACGACGGGTCCAGCGCCGGGTCCACGGACGGGTTGTTGTCGTCCAGATCCATCTGTGACGATGACGCCAGATGCGACAGGCTGCTGCCCTGAGGCGTGGAAGCAACACCAGCAGCAGCAGCCGCCGCAGCAGCCTCCCGGCGCTTCCCACCACCCCTCCTCGCCTCAATCGCATACCGGCGCTGGCGCTCGTTCGTGACCATGCGGCGCATAAGCGGCGTCACCAGACTGATAATCTTGTTCCCGTCGCGCGGCCACACCCACTTGCGCCCCGCCGCGCCCTCTTCCAGCGTCTCGGCCTCGGTCACGGCCGGGACGTCGGGCCCGAAAAAGCGCTCACCCACGCCGTCGTTCAAGAAGTCGCGCACGCAGTTGAAGAGCCGCAGCTTCACCATGTCCGTGTCGCCCTTGCCGCGGCTGCCCACGCAGCTCTGCCGCTCCGCGTGCGCCTCGTCCAGCATGTACTGCTTGGCCGCGGCCTGCAGCCGCAGAAAGTTCTCCGGCGTCAGCTGCAGCGACGTAAACAGCTTCGACATGGGCGGCCGCGTGTGCTTCTTGGCCCCGCCACCGCCGCCTCCTCCTCCTTCCCCTCCCCCGCTCCCGCCGCCTCCACCAGAGCTGCGGCGGAACAGCGCCGCGGCCGAGTGCACCCCCGCCGCCCGCGCGTCCGCCAATCCATAGTTCTGCGTGGTATGCGGTGTCTGGAACTCTGCCTCGGTCGCGGGCGTTGTCGCGGTTGTCGTCTTGGTGCGCTTGCGCGGCGAGGGCGTCTCGTCTTCGGCGCACTCTTGCCGCGCTCTCTCATGCTCTTGGTACGGTGGCGGTGTCGTCCTCCGCTTGCGCTTCTGCCCCGCCGCTATCGCCTCTTCCTGCTGCGCCGTACCGCGGAGATCGGTGTTCTTGGCCGCGCGGCGCAGGGCGTGGGCGACAGGATCACGCGCGACGCCGGAAGCCTTGGCGGCAGCTTCGAGCAGCTCAGCCAGGTGCGAGTTGGCTTCCAGGCGCGATGGGTCGGGCAGCGGCGGCGGCGGGTGTTGGTGGTGTTGGTGGGGTTGGTGATGGGCGGCCATGGCGTCGTAGTCGGGTTGAGGAGTGGTCGTGTCTGCGTAATATGGCGCCGACGTCATGGTGGACGCGGGCCATGAAAAGGTGGTGGTGGAGAGGGCAGCGAATCCCAAAAGGGAAGAGAGCTTGTTTGTTCCCGTGTGTTTGCCTGGGTTGGCTGGAATCCAAACACGGCCCGTGCCAAGCCCGCGCTAGCCCTTGACAATCAACCCTGCATGTTTGTCTACATTTGTATGTTTGTTTGTATGTACCCATACTAGTTAGCCATGTATTTGCGAATGCTCAGAGATCCCGCCCGCCATGCCATATGTGCGCCGTTCCCATCCCCGATCCCAAACGCCTCAAAAAACAATTCATTATCCTAAAACCCGTCTCCTTCGTGCCACTCGCGCCCACAGTCCTCTGCCCGGATGCGTGGGTCCTTGCCGCGCTGAACCGCATCCTCCAGCTTCTGTCGTAGCACGAACCTCAGCTTCTCAATCTCGCGCCCGAGGAAGATGTCGCGTCCGACCTCTGGCACCTGGAGATCGGCCAGCTCATCAATCTGCCCGCCCTGCATGGCCGCGTGCACGGCGCGCTGCTGCTCATGCCATCCGTTCAGCTCGAGCTCGAGGTCGCGCAGCTGCATCCGCTGGTCGATCCACATGTTGTAGAGCTCGTCGTTGCCAAAGCAAACGCCGTAGCCGTCGCAGTAGCACACGTGCTGTATCGGGCACAGCACGTTGGCCCCGGCAAAGACGAACTGCCACATGTACTCCCAGATGCGGCCCGACAGCGCGTCGTCCAGCGGCGATCGCAGCAGCCAGTCGCGGTATGCCGTGAAGCGCTGCACGGGGATCGACCGGATGCGGTCCCGGCTCAGCGCAAACTGCGAGCAGCACGGCTGCGCTAGCACGTCCGGGATCGGGTCCAGCGGGAACAGCTCGCTCCACGCCTTGGCCAGCAGCTTCTGCTCACGCTTGGTCGCATCGTCCTCAATCTCGCCGGGATGCATCCAGTCGGGGCACCCCGGCGTCCAGTGGCACCGCAGGTTCATGTAGCCTTCGCGCAGTACCCGGTTACGGTTCAGCCGCCGCACCATTTCCACCGCATCCAAGTCGAGCGCGTCGTTATTGTGCCACGCCAGCCGGTGCGAGTGCATGAAGAGGGCTACGTCGGGCAGTTTCTCGTAGTTGTCGATGATCCAGCTCAGGTAGACCATGACCTCGTGGCCCTTGTTCTTGGGCGGGTGTAGTTTGGCCCGCGGGTCGTCGGCCACATAGACGGCCGTCTCGACCTCGGGCAGGTGCTTCTCGATCCAGCTCACGTCCTCGTCATGCGTCCGCGGAATGACCAGCACCGTCGTGGCGTTCTGCCCTAGCGGCAATCCGACGCCCGGTCGGAAGTCGGGCCTGGCGCTCCACGCTGTCGGGACGGAAATGGACTCCATATCGTCTTCATCCTCGCCGAGCTCATCGGCGTCGGCGGCAGTGCCATTATCCTGCGCCTCGACCGTCGACTCGCCCAGGCCAATGGCTTGCGGCAGGCCTCGCCAGGATTCTTGAACGTTGGTGGCGTAGTACAGGTAGAAGAAGAAGGCGACGGTGGTGAGGGCAAGCAAGGGCAGCAGCCTTCGCGGGGATGCTATCATGGTGGGTGGGCCCCGGGAATGCGGGACGTCTCGTTGGAGCGATGCTCAGCAAAGGCGCCTGGCGAGGGAGGCGGTTAGCAAGGCAATGGAGGGTGGGGTGAGAGAAGGCCATACGAAGCAACACGCGCTGCAGAGAGGGCGACAGAATCACGGCGGATCGTCGTCAGGAGAGGTTGGCAGCATCGTGGCCGACAAAGGACGAAGTGACGAGATGGACGAGCGCTCGAGGCCGCGTCAGGCCCCCTCGCGCAAGGTGCTCATGGTGGCAGTCCGTCCAACGCGCCGCGCATCTGTCTCGACCGCGCAGGGACCGCCGTCTGTGACAAGCCTCTGCCAAGGCAGCGATCTTCGCATCCACTCCCGTCCCGTTTGCTGTTTGGACAGCCGCCGTTTGCTAGTGGAACGCGGCAGGCTAGCGCACAAACATCCACCACCCTGTGAACGTGATCAAGGCGCCATGGTACTTGTACTTCTGTGTCATGTTCTGTGTTGTAGTAGCTACTATCTATGCCCACAAGCTTGTTTGCCAGCCTTTCCGTTGCTACTATTTGTACTGTACAAAGCCCGCTCACTTCCTCTGTTGGAACGAAACCCCAGCACGACCGATACCCGCCAACCCAGGACCAACGCACGTTCGCGGAGCCCGTGAACCTCATCTGTGGCGGGCCCGACAAATGCAGCTTCAGCAAACGGCAATCCATGACAAGAGTCACGTCTGACGGCATCCTGGCCCGCGCATTCCCGGAAGCAAAGCCGCTGCCGTTTGCTTGACAGCCATTATGGAAGTGGATGCAGTCCCTCGCCGCCTTCCGGCAAACGCGACAGACTGGGTATGGCCATCGTCACGGTCCACAGCTTAATTCCAGCCAATGCGCTGCCGCCCTGGCCCGTTTGCCATGTAATTGGCGGGAAAAAATCAAAGCTTACCCGTGATGCAGGCGTAAACAACTGTTCGGTTAGCAGTCGTTGCTGGCTTGATGAGTGAGACGGCAAGGCGGTGAGGAGGGCCCTCATCGTGGTATCGCGGCGCAGCATATACAAGACACATCGGCGCCTTTGCGCTCTCAGTATCAACGATTGAGAGAAGAGTAATAGCGAAGAGCAGAGGACCATTGAGAACAAAGAAAATGAAAGCGTCAGATAGACAGGGAAACCTTGGCAGGACCTTGGCACATTGTACGATGAAGGATCAGAACGCGCGAAAACACATGTGACGTGCCAAAGAAACCGAATCACCCACATGAAAGAACTGATCCGCCGGTACCCGAAACCTACACCGCGCATGCAGCGGGCCGTGTGGCCTGGCAGCTGCACCGCAGGAGGTGGGCGCAAGAAAGATATCGAATGGTCGTCACGGTGTGGCCGCCTCGCCTTGACGCGACGCCCCCCGAGGGGGGAGCGTGGTCTTTAGGGCGCAGCAAGTAATTACGGTTGCAGGCGATCAAGGTCTGAAATGTGTTCTACTACGTCGGGTTGGCGTCGCGTGTCAGCGAGCTGGCGATGGATGATTACAAGTCTTTGATCGTCCGGACAGGGCTGATTATGGCCGGCTGATACGCTTCGCATCTCTAGCTGCAAGCAAAAAGTTGTTTCGTAGGCTTTTGTCGACTCGACCGCAGACGTCGAACGATTAAAAGGCAAGGATAGTAGTACAATTTGATGTGATGAAGTCGGTTAAGGCAGTTGAGCTCCAGAGGATCCAGTGTTCGTCACCCATTCGATTAATTTGATTTTGTGAAGCCGAATCCGTTTTGCAAGGAAATCCACCGAGAAGCAATGGAAGTAGTGGAGACTGTCGAACCTGGCGATGACATGTCGCGCGTGTCGGATCATACCAAAGCCTACGTCTCCTGTCTGGCCACTGATCTGCGAAAGCTGATTACCCCAAGTCGCCGATGAACCGCTGCAATTGCTGCCGAATCGATCGATATCCGTGATGCCGCAGATGTAAATCCCAGAAGCAAAGTAACACAAAGCAGAAAAAGAGGTCGGAGCCGGACGTCGAAAGGCGTCGGTGCTACGACGTTGAATCCGCTCGCCGAACCGGGTCGCCGTCCACCGAGGGACGAGCAACATAGCCGTCGAAATCGATTACGCAAGTATGGAGGCGTTGGCCGGGTCGTTAGCTTACTCGCGCTTCGGTTCTACGGGAATTAGTATAATGTTTCAACGGCGAGAGAATCGGTTATCACCACGGTCGTCGTAGGCTCTGCTGCCTGCGCCGTAGGAGTCCTCCGGAGGGCCGCCGTAAGACGCGCCTCCACGCTCCTCGCGTTCGTAGTAACGACCACCTCCTCCGCCGCCGCGCCTCTCCTCACCGCCACGCGGACCGTAACGGTCATCTCGGCCAGAAGCGTAGCGATCGACGCCGCGAGGAGGACCGTAGTCGCGATCACGGCGCGAGTAGCCACGGTCGTAGTCGCGACCGCCGTAGCCACGGTCGTATGAGTCGCCGCCACCGTAGCGAGGGCCACGTCCGTAGTCGTCGCGACGACCGTAGCCGCGCCTGTCATCGTAGCGGTCGCCATAGCGGCCACCGCGGCCACCACGGAAATCTTCTACATCAGGGTAAGCCGTGAATGACTCAATGTCGGGAGCGAGTCGGCACTTACCACGCTTGGGAGGACCGAAGTACTTGCCCGGCGTAGGCGTCCTGGGACGAGCGCGACGAGCCTTCTCAATGCTGAGAGTGCGGCCCTCGATGACCTCGCCCTGCAGACCCTCCTTCGCGGCATCGGCCTGCTCGGGCGTGACCATCTTCACGAAACCGAAACCGCGAGACTCACGAGTGTGCGGGTCGCGCATGATGTTGCACTTCTCGACCTCACCGTACTTGTCGAAGAGGCGGGTGACCTCATCCTCAGTGAGACGCGGATGGATGCCGGTGACGAACAGGTTGGAGCCGGGGTTGACAGACTCCTCCTCACGGTTGTCGCGTTCACGCTCAGGCGGTGGGCCACTGTCGATGCGGGTTAGCCTGGGGCAGTCATGGGCGACGGGGACGTGTCGTACCGGTCATCGATGCGATCGCGGGCGCCGGGAGAGGCGCTGCGAGCCCTGGCATCGTCGTCGCCGCGGCGCTCATTCAGAGGCGAGCGGCTTCTTTCGCGCTCGTAGCTGCGCGGCTCGTCTGCAAGGCGACAGGTGTCAGCAGGCGCGAAGGGCGGGCGCCATCGGGCGGGTCGCGGCGGAGACTAGTTACCTTCGTAGCCGCGAGGCTCGGTCTCGTATTCCATGGCAGACATGGTTGAAGGTGAGGTGGTTGTGGTAGGTTGTGGACGAGGTTTTGGGTTGGTCGGCGAGCTTAGGGAACGCGACAAAGAACAAGCGAGCTTCCAGATAAGCAAGGGAAGGCGCCGGCAACGAAAGGGGAAACGCGACGGGCAGAAGTGAAAGGTGAAGCTGATGGAATGGACCAAGGCACACGCAGACGCAGGCCGACGCAAACGCGTCAAAGGAAGCGAAACAATCAAGGGGCGACCAATGATTTGCAGCTGAGCCGCATCTTGCTGGCCGCCCGGCACCGCGTCGTCACACCAAAAGCAATTCCTAGTGCAGCTGGTGCCGCCCGGCTCTCACTTTCCCCAACGCAACGCACGCGAGAAGATCGGCCTCCAAAGTCGCGCGTGCCCTCGTGCTGGTCGAGTGGCGGCAAGGATATAAACTGGGCCCCTGCGGAACATCACTTCGCATTATGACAGTTACAACCTTTCTTACCTACGTGGTGCGTCCGTGCAAAGAAAACATGGAAAAAAATTAATAGTCACTGGCGACGCCAGACGCCCTCCGCTGCCTTCCCCCCCGCCAGCACCCCGCTCGGTGCCTGGCTTCCGAAATGGTATACAGCTCGCCGTCAGCCACCCTCCAAATGAACGCCCAAGAAAACAAGAAATAATCATCACCAATAACTGTTCCGCTGCTTCTTCCTCGCCTTCTGCCGCGCCTTGGCTTTGGCCGCCTTAGTCGCCGCCTCGCTTTGCGCCTCGCTGCCACTCGGGCCCGCCGCTGGTGCGTCGCCCATCTCGTCGTCCACAAGCTCGTTCAGCTCGTCGTCTCCAAGCTCGCTCAGGTCCTCGCTCATGTCGCGGACCACGTCCCGCCCAGTCCACCGTTCGTCGTGGATCGTCGTACCATGAGGGTCAAACGTTTCAAAGTACCACGGAATGCCTCCGTTAGTGAGAGGCGCGAGAAGATCGCCATCCGACTGTGGTGGCGTGAGAGGCTCTGGATGGACCGTTGACGGGTGGGTACTGCCCGAATTAGACAGTGCCGGGGCCGTGCTGATGCTTCCTTGTCGGCCACCGGCCGACTCATCCGCATGCTGCTCGATATTGGCCGTTGATTGCGGCGGCCCCTCTGCCTGTGTAGGATGGACGTCCGCTTCGCCCAAGCCTCCGCGCAACTGCGGCTTCTCATCATGTTCTTGCTCATCAGCCGCTTGGTCACCATTGGGCAGGCCATTCGTGTCGTTCGCCTCTTCTGATGCAGTTTGTGGTTTCTCCTCCCCAGCATCAGTCATCTCAACATCTTGAACCGCACCGTTAGTCAGCGGTCTCTCGTCCGTCTCCTCGTCGCTGGCTTCCTCGATGGTTTCTCCATGAGCGGCTGCCACTGACTCGGCTCCTGAACGCACGCTGTTGTCCAGCAGGGCGTCGAGCTCGCGCAGCTCCTTCTCGTAGGGTTTACCAGCGAGTTGTCCTTCCTTGATGATGGCATCTTCGAGAAGCCCTTGTACCGCTTTGATGATACGCTTTGCGAGCTTTCTTTTGTCTTTCTGCTCCGGTGTCAAGGTTCCGTTGGTAGATTGATTGCCGTTAAGCTGTTCGTGCATTTCGCGAGCATCTGTGCCGTTGCTTAAGCCGATGACTGAGCTGAAAACAGCCCCAATATCTGACGAGAAGGCGGACACCGAGGTGTAGAAACGCTCATCTAGCTTCCTCTCGATGCCATCAAATCCTTCCTTGAATACACCCTTGGGGTCAAGACTATCATATGTTAGCTCAAGGTCAACACATAGACTTTGACCGAAACTTACTTTTGTGCCTTTTCGAGAATTGGCCAGAGCAATGGCGCGATGGGGAAGTACACCGTATCCACAATGTGCCTCAGGAGTCTTGAATCTTCCAATTTCTGCAACTCCCTTTCTTTGACAAGCTTGCAAAGCTCCTTGACCTGCACCATATCCTGCTCAAGAAGCTCTGCAAACTCGATGCGCCGATGCAATCTTGGTCTTCCGATTGCGCCCATTCCTGCAAAGTTACGCCTGGTAAGCTCCATTGATGTGAAGGTTTCCATCTGCAATTGGAGTCGTTTGAGTAATGCAGCGCCGCGCCGGGCTTCCCTCTTAAGGGTCCAGTACTTGCAAGCCTCGGCTACGTACTCTTTGCGCTTACGGATGTTGAAGCGTACCAACAAATTTTCGACTTCGTTGTAAACAACCTGAGGCACGATGGGTGCCCCAGATGGAAGTCTCCATACGCCCTTTGTAGATTGGCTGCGCTTACGCTTGTTGCTCCCTGGGACTTGCACTGAGTCGTCATCGTCCTCCAAGGCTTGAGCGGGCAATTGAATCAGCGCCGACTGTTGGCTATCTGCCCAACGCCTACCTCTCATGGTTGAACGGTAAAAAGAGATCGCCTCCATGGTAGCATTTTCAACATCGTTTTCGCGTCTCCAATCATGTGGCACATGTTTATGACAGAAAGCCTTGAGGACGCTGGCATCCATGCTAGCAGGGCCCCCATGTGCGGACTTCATTCGGAGGAAAAGCTTGGCGCGCCTCGCGCAAGTGACGTGGAAGGCGGAGTAGCAGCTTTTGTTCCCGCACTGGATACAGGCGCCCATCTTTTGCTCACAGATGTAGCATGTCTAAGTCATGTCAGTTCCCAACCTATATTATATAGAGCAAAGAGAGCCCACCAGCTTCCAGCGCTGCTTCGGAACCTTTTCCATATCCATGACTGGCTCCATGAACGTTGTGTTGCCCAGCGTGACCTCGGGAATCCATATCGCACACAACAGATGAGACCATTTCTGAGAATCTGTGGTCTGCTTGAAGGCGCCGTCGACATTAGGGCAAAAGATGCAGGTCTGTTCATGATCAGCAGGTTGACAGGGCTGACGGGCCGCTGATGTACTTACGGGCGTTCCTCGGCCGATCAACTGGCACTTTCGGCAAAGCCACTGACCCTCAGGTATGAACGGAACTCCGTAACACTCCTGGTGTACTGCAAGATCGCAGCCGTCGCAGAAGACAATCGCATTGGTGTTTTCGCAGTCGCCATCGTCACACACCGCGCATTTTGTATCCTGTTCCTCCCCATGCCCTGATGATTCTCCATTGACTGCTGCCGCAGAGCTGGATCGTGGACGATGCGTCTGGGGAGGTTTCGGGTTTGGTTTTGGGATCCCTAGGTCACGACTTATTAGCGCCTGTCCACACGGCCATGCATCGCACACTCACTCTTCTCGAGTCCATGCCAACACTTCTCGATCAGCGTTATGGTTATCTCGAACATTGCAGGCTTGATCGCCTCGACCTGCTCTTCCCGCCTCTGCGCATTGTACGCTTCCAACCAGCAATTGTCTTGCTCGTCCATGTCATACTCAACTCGCCCTATCGCGCTTGCGCTCAGCTCCCCAGCGGCGGTTACGGACGGATCCAGGTCTTCTTCGAGGTTCCCATCGACCATGCGTATTAGAGCCTTTTCGGGACGCACGAAAATGTCGCTTTCCTGGTATCCGATGCTCGCCATAGACCGATCGACGTAGTTTACCTGGGCGGATGGGTCTTGCTCATAGGCCGAGAACGTATCCACGAGCCGGTAAGCCGGCTTAGGAAGGCTCAGCTTCTCCCGCTTGTCTTTCGTCGGCAATGGCTCGATTCTAGGCGCTGGAGGAGAGCCAAGTCCCGTCAACATTCCTCCTTGGCGCCTCGGTGGTCGCCCTGGACGTCTCTTGATAACGGTCGGTGTTGCCGAGTGCTCGCTGTTTCCGACATGAATGGTGTTTTCATCCTGTTCCATGCTGAAAGATTCTTGCGATTTCAATGAAAGGTCATTGCTGACAAGATATGCTTCGTCTATTACAGAGGATGCGCCATTCTGTGTGTCGCCCAAGGGGCCTGGAGAATTGATACCAGCGGTAGGCGTAGCTGGCTTGGTAACTGGAGGGCTAACACCGTCCACTTCTTCTGCGGTGAATACCATAAGTTCTGCCTCAATGTCTAGGTCAGGGTGGAATTCCTCCCAGCCACGCTCCTCTCTCGGTTTGTATCCATCGCTTTGAGCCACAGCTGCGGCTGCGGCTGATGCAGAGCTGGCTCTCGGGCCGGCAGAAGGTCGATCGCGGCGCGAACGTGTGGCTGTCCTGGACGGCGTCCCCGCATCGGGGGAAAAGTTGCGGTTGGCGGCTGGCGTGCGCGCGGGCCGTGGGCGTTGCGCACTAGGTCTTCTTCCAGCCGCTTTGAGGAGCGGAATCGCGATGTCTTTGGGTATCTCTTCGCCCGTCTCCGGGTCGATATAGCGCCCTCCTCCCCCAGGCCCGCCGGGGATGTACTTGGGTCTCTTCAGCGGCGCAGACGCAGGGGCGCTGGGCATGGCGCTGGGTTCGGCAGCGCGTGGTGGTCGGCCAGGGCCGCGAATGTTGCGCCTACTAGGCGTTTCGGTCGGAACGGCCATGGCGGGCTATCTGGAGTGTCCAGATGATCGTGTTGGCGTGGTAAGACTCCGGTCACGTTGCGCGAGTGGAGGCGCAAGGAGAGATGAAGGTGGTACCAAGCTACCGGCTGCGCGTACGCGTCGGGGATCGATGGTGGCTGTGAGGCATCTGTGTAGGAAGTCGATGACACGTTGCGCCTGCTATTTTCAAGCGTGCAAAGCTCCAGGCGCGCGTCGACCTGATGGACTAGGTAACGAGTGAAGTCGGGCGCGGTTTCCTGAATGCCCGCCGATGTTTTCCCGCTCCGGGCCCCAGCTGAATAATCGTGGCCGGTGGGCGTCGGCGTGAACAGCTTCGCACCTTGCTGGCGACGAGCGCGACTAGTTTTCAGATGCCCGAAAGTCTTTCGCACCCCCGCTGCGTGCCATGAATTGATGTTGCTTCGATCTATTCCCATGCGCTTCAAGGCCTCTCCCTGTCGCGTGTCAGAATGCCCGCACATGCGCCGCTCAATGGCGGACACGACTTAAAATCGCTCATGCGTGGGCCGGTAGGCGCTTCCCCATATGATCTGCTCCCGCTCGTGCACGCGGCCATCGACCGCACTGGTCTCTTTGCACACCGCATCCCAGCAGGCGCCTTCGATCCTCTGTGACGTCCGTCACCGTGAAGCGAGATGGTGATGCTTGTACGGAGTAGAAGGAGAGATCCAGTTAAGATATGTAGAGTCTGTGTGTGCTCTAAGACCTTTACACTTAGATCCAGGATTTAGGCTTGTAGCTAGACAAGGAGTAGTCCATAGGGACTGCTTATATCCTTAACTATCTCGCTAAACGGTAGGGTAAGAGATGTTAGGTGACAGGCGCATACATTCAAGATCCCCTCGTTTACATTCAGGACCTAGGCATGTAGCTAAACAAGGAGTATTCCATAGGGACTGCTTGTATGACTCGCTAGACGGTGGATCTCGGTTCGCGGTGACGGACGTTGCATACTCTGGGGAATCCTCCACGGGACCCAGCTACGTGCTACCGTGCTGCCCTATCGGTTATCCTTGTCACGTGCGTTTGGATGATGCCATCGTCATGGTGGATGAGACCGCGAGCAGAGGCACGTCTCGTGTCGACCCCACGAGCGAAAGTCAGCAGGCCCTCCGACTTCGCGCCGTAGATTTTGGCGGAGACTTCCCGCCGGAGGGCCGCCCCGCAGGTCCTTTCAATAACTCCCACCATTTTCACAACATCGCCGCTGCCTTGTCGCCTTGCCATCCACGATGGCAGAGCCCGAGCTTGTCCTGTTCGCCAGGGCTGTATCCCGAGTATTTGGATGGATATAGTATGCTTGCTCCCGCCCGGAACATGTTGTTGTGCCATGGTACTAATGCCCATGCCCTTGGTTTAGCTTCTTCAGCTGGTCCCTGTCGTTTTACCCGCAACCACTGCTCAACTGGCGCCGTCGCTCCACCTATGGCTTCAGCGTCGACTTCCCCACCCTAAACGTTCTCGGCTTCACAGCGTATACCATCCAAACCAGCGCACTCCTCTACTCGCCTACGATCCGTTCCCAATATGCCTACCGCTACCCTGCCGCTCCAGAACCCACCGTCCGCTTCAACGACTTCTTCTTTGCAGCCCACGCCTTCGTCATAAGTCTCGTCATCTATAGTCAGTTTTGGCATAAGGTCTGGGGCTTCCGGGATACCAAGCAGCGGATCAGCAGTGTATCGCTCGGCGTTTTCTGGGGCTGCGTTCTCGGACTGGTGATCGTGATGCTCATGGCCGGTTTTGGAGGCAATGGTGGATATGACCCTAGTACATGGGCTTGGATAGACGTAGTATGTGATCTCGATCGTGTAGACGGGCAATCTTGCTAATACCTCCCAGATATATGCTACAGGCTATGTCAAACTCCTAGTTACAGTAGTTAAGTACATACCGCAGGCCTGGATCAACTACAAGCGAAAGTCAACAGTGGGCTGGAGTATTGTCCCAATATTCTTCGATCTGACAGGAGGTGTATTATCCCTCTTGCAATTGGTCATCGATTCGCTCCTGCAGGGAGACTGGTCTGGCGTCACTGGCAACCCGGCTAAATTCGGGCTGGGAAACGTGAGCATCTTCTTCGATATCATTTTCATGGTACAGCACTTTGTTCTATATCGTCACGCAAAAGATGTCAAAGAGGCGGACGAAGAAGGCGACTACAGCTACATAGAAGGGTGAAGGCAGTTATTTATTTACCCAGTTGCCTGCGTAGAGCAAGATTCACGGGCGTACCGAGGTCCGATTTTCGTCCACTAGACGAAGTATCAGTGTCTACACCAGAAGCAGAGCAAGGCGTTGAGCAACAATACATAGATTTCTATTTCTTTGCTGCTACCTCAACGGCAGAAGTTCGAATAACGCGAAAGATCAGCATATCCATTCACGCAAGCTGAAATATTAGTTTCGCTAGACCAAAGTCGAAGAGCACCCGTTGTCCTTGTCAACGATATAGAGTACCAAGCTGTCGGATGGTGCTAACATTGAAGGGTTTGGACTAAGTGGATCTAATGATGTCAACCTTGTGGACTTAATTGAACCCTGATCCTACGGGCAACAGCAAATCTGGCCAACCAAGTGCCGGCCCCGGATAATTTACCCACCCCTCAACTAAATGTTGAGTAAAGTCTACAGAGTACTTCTTAGGTAATTATAATAAGACTATTACACTACGGCCAGTGGGCACTATACGGTTATATAAAAGTAAAAGTATACGAGTACTAAAGTATACTACGAGGGTATAGAGGTATAGATATATACGACTACTAGGGTATCTGCGAGGGTATAAAAGTAAAATATTCGAAGGGTATAAAGATACTTGTAAGGGTATAGAGACCTAAAATTTTAAAGAGTAGAAAACCCATCATATAACTGTGTAGATGCTATCACGTGGGATGGGTGCCCTAAGTGCCGAATGGGTGGTGGGGAAACTTCACCGCGGGCAAGTTCGGCTGTGCCACCTCACCACCTACTCCGGAAGAACACACCCAACCCGTGTGAGACGACTGTTGTCGGAATGACGAGATTAATAAAGGTTTTGAGTTTGAATCCGAGTCCATGATGACGGGGCTGGAAAATCACCAATCGCCAAACATCCAGTCGCCAGGATCAGCAGTGCTCACGATCTGTCTTGGCGCGTCATACACCACGTCCGGCCATGAAGACTGGTGACTCTGACGTGCGTGGGTTTAAAGATTGAGCGCATTCAGCTTGTGGCTGGCTTCTTGGACGAGATCATCCTTCTATAAATGAGCAGTCCGTTTTACCCAACGTCAGATAGGTGGATAGCGCAAGTATCGAGACGGCCAAGCAAACCGCCGCCACGACTGCGATCCGAGCTGGTTCCTGAGATCTCCGCGAACGGGCGCTTGGTCAAAAGGGATGATCCGCACAAGGAGGCACACCCAAAGAGGAACCTGACCCATGCTGCTGATTACTCACCACAGCACAGCGTGGAGCTGAACGCTGGCCGGGCCGATGAGCTTCGTCCAACGTCAACCGTGACAGCGACGTCTAACGGGCGTGACGAGAGGTTGCTTGCATGCCATTGGCCCCCGGACACGACCGCACTGACTGAGCCGCATAGCGAGTGCAGCATCCTTGCAGGGAAGAAGATCGCCCTCGCATATGCGTGGTTCCCTTCGCGAAGCCCCCGTTCGTCAACCCCGTCTTCCTCGACCGAACCAGGCCTGCAGGCCCGGCATCCCGGGCACGCGCGTCCGGGAACGCACGCGTGCCTCTAGCGGCGGGAACTGTTGTCTTCTGGTGGCCTGGCGTCTAGTGCGCGCGCCGCTTCCCGATTCGTCCCCGCGATGATGGCAACCGAGGAACTAGAGACAGGAATCGAGGCCCGAGCTGACACCCCGCTGTCACCGCTGTCCACGACCCTTGCCGACCCCACGAGGCACGATTGGCAGGCCGCCGCCACCGCCTACGGACTCGGCGATCCCAGGGGTTGGTTAGTTGCTGAACGAGCGGCGCGCCGCGGTAGCGACATACCATATTCTTTGGTACGTACGCGCTCCAGGCCTTGAGATTTGCATATGACATCGTACGCTCCACCGCATTCGGCGCTCTTTATACTACGCCTGTAGCCACCTGTGACCCCCTCCACCCTTGCAGCCTCCTGCCCTCCATGTCTCCTTTACAAAGCCTCCGCCCGTTCAAGAAGAAGATGAAGAAGGAGAAGAACACCAATTCTTCGGCCGGGATGTACTCATCAAACTTACAGTATCCCTCCTCAGCCACGGCTGGGAGTGCTGCCGCCAGCCGGTCCAACGTCAGTCTTTCCATCAGCCCGGCCACGAGCCGTCCCGCCACGGCCGCCCGGGACGACCCAACAGAGGCCAGACCTAGCCCTCTCTCTTTGGAGGGCTCCACTACAGCCTCGGAGCCAGTTGTTCAGGACTTCCAAGATCGTTACATGTCAAAGGGGAAAGAACCGCAGTCACCGACATTTACCGCAGAGGCCTCTCGGACCATCACGCCCAACACTGCGTCCATGTCGACAGATGATGAGCCCACGTCAGCTGTTCAAGACTTCACTGCTATCCATGTGCCTATCAGGACCTCGTAAGCATTGCCTACCCTTTCCCCACTTCCTCAATCTCATTGATCTGTTCAGGAGCAAAGACAAAGCAATGAGTGGCCCGTCAGGGCCTAGGAGTCGCGGACTAAGTGCAGCCACAAACAATACTCTATCCACCCCCGACACACCTGACTCGCCTGCACACAATTCTGCGGAGAGAAGTTCAGCCGATTCTGTCATATCCTATCAAACAGAAGCCTCATCCATTGGAACGCTGCCTCCGCTGCAGACCAAGGGACCACCAGATGAGCATGATCGGATGGACCCGCTTCTTGAGGATGACCCAAGGAACTTTGATCTCCTAGCTCCGATCGATCATCAAAGTCAAGATTATTCACTCGAAAGGAGGGTTGAGCAGATCTTGTCCAAGAGACATCTTCAAGAAATATTTGCCGACCCTCCAATGCTTCACCACTTCACCTCTTTCCTCAGCAACCACAGGCCACAATCCCTCCCGCTACTTATCTACTATCTAGACGCACTGAAAGCGCTACGTGCCATCAACTACGCAAACGCTGTCGCGGAAGCCCTTGAACCTATAGATGGTCTCCCTTTTACCGAGCATCCCGCTCGACCAACTATAAATTCGGTACTGGAAGACAAAGCTCAGCAGGCATTCCAGGCGCTTGTGGACGATGATTTACCGGCATATGTCAGCCACGTTTGGGTGCAAGTGGTGAGCATGAGCATCCATATGAGGATCACTGGCACTCAACCACCGCATTTGAGAGAAGCTTCGGAAGGCCTTGCGGAAACTTTTTGTCTCACCGATCCGTCAAGGAAAGACAATCCTATCGTTTTCGCTTCAGAAGGTAAGCTAGCCATCTCGTACTCTGTGGCATGATGCTAAATCTGGCAGAATTTTACCGGACTACTCAATACGGCGTAAGTTATGCCATTGGACGCAACTGCCGCTTCCTGCAAGGTCCGCATACAAGCAGACACACTATCGACAGGTTAAGTCGAGTGCTCAGAGAAGGCAGAGAATGCTCTGAGGTAATACTGAACTAGTAAGTGCTGCCGCGGTGTGAATGTAGAAATAGCTGAAACTCACACGACGCCATGTAGTCGCCGAGACGGATCTCCATTCCTCAACCTCCTTATGATGGCGCCGCTTTTGGATAGTAAGGGGAACGTTCGCTATTTCGTTGGGTCTCAGATTGACGTCAGCGGCCTTGCAAGGGATTGCACCGATCTCCCTGCCCTAAAACGTGTGATCGCCAAAGAAGAAGCGGAAGCAGAAGCAGAAGCAGAAGGCCAAGCACTGCCGTCTCAGGAAGAGGAAAGAGACGAGTTCTTGGAGTTGAGCGAAATGCTCAACATAAACGAAGTGGAAACAGTAAGGAAGTTTGGCGGTCGCATGCACAGGGAACAGGAAGAAGAGTCGTCAGATGACTCGAGTATTTACCGCAGGCCAAGGCTGCTATTGAAGGATGGATGCCAGTCAAGTGAGCCTGGAACCGAAAGGTTAGCTCATGGAAGGCTCAGATCAACCGGAAAGATTGGAGGAATTTACCAGCACGTACGTGGATCATGTCTTAACGTTCTTTCAACAGCAAAAACAGCTTGTGTAGGACAACGCTAATCCCATGACAGTACCTTCTCGTCAGGCCGCACCCGTCGCTCCGGATCATCTTTACCTCGCCCTCGTTGCGAGTTCCCGGCATGCTGCAGTCGCCTTTCCTCAACCGCATAGGAGGGAGCTTCCGCGTGCGGGAAGAGCTCGTAAGCGCAATGGCCGAAGGCCGCGGCGTCACAGCAAAAGTGCGCTGGGTGTCGGGCACACGCAGCGAAGACGAAGGCCGCAGTCGCTGGATCCACTGCACGCCGCTGCTGGGGCAGAACGGCGCCGTCGGTGTGTGGATGGTTGTGCTGGTCGACGACAACAGCAGCATTCCCGCCAGCGGCCGGAAACTGAAACTGGCGCCTCCCGTCAGCGGGGAAATCGGAGCCCGCAAGAACAGTGACAGTGATACCGCGCGCCGCGAACGCCAGGGCAGCAATGCTGCCCGCAGGCGCAGCCATATCATCGATACCATGGCTTTGAACAAGCACGAACGCACGCCTTCGGCTAGCGAGTTCGACCTCCATGTGCCGGACCGGCGCAGCCCGGGATTCCGCTCGGGCTCGCGCCTTGGAGCGCACAGTTCCGCGGGCGGCAGCCTGGGTGCTTCGTTGGACTCGTTCAAGATTTGAACGGGAGTATGGTGTGCTTGGGCCTGTTTGCGCGAAGCAGCGAGGCGGGACGGGAGTCGGAGGGGTCATGGGCGGCTACCTATTCTCATGCAGGCATCTTAGTTGGCGGCCGGTTGATTGCTCCGTACGGCACGGTACGGCTTTTGGGGGTTTCTTGCTTGCTCGGCAGTATACCCGTTTTTGCGACGAGTTGTTGTGTTGTTGTTGTTTTCTTCTTCTTCTTCTTCTTCTTCTTCTTCTAGAGCAGCTCTTTTGGCGACGGTGTCTTTTACCACTTGGCGTTGGGTATGGAGCGAGCTGGGCGGTTGTTCTTTTTTGTTATTGTTGCATTGCATTGACTGGCTCGGCATATATAGCGGCATTCTTGCCTATCGATCACAGCGGGTTGATGCTTGCTGTCTTGACACTGGTTCGCCCCTGCTTGAATGTCAGTCATCTCTGCCCGGTTCGCGGTCTTGGGAATGCGGTTTCTGTGAGCTTGATCCTTGCGTGCACCACGTCGTTCGTCACGCCATCTTCTCCATCACCAACTATCCAACTATCCATCCGCTGGAAAAAGCATTCCAGCCTTTTGTCCACATGCACATGAACACACACGTCACACGCGGAGTCGGAGCCAAGTCAAAGCCGGGGTCGGGGTCTCGCTGACCTCAGCCAGTAAGCCAGTAAGGCAGCGTCGCCAACCTACCCAATGCGGATGCGGAGGGACTGTTAGGCCGGCGGGCGAGCGGACAGGTGTGCAGAAGTCCGGGCCCCGGTGTATGGGTGGTACGTACGTACCTGCTGCAGGGGGTGTGGTGTGCTTACATACCTGGTACCCAGTGACCTGCGAGGAGGGCTGGCTGCTGGCTGCTGCCTGGTGCAGACGTGGCTGTTTTTGTTTCTTTTCTTCTTCTTCTTCTTATTCTTCTTCTCGCTGTCTGTCTATCTATCTATCTATCTCCCATCAACCTCGACGTGCGTCCACACACCCACCCACCTACTCACCCACCAACCAACCCACCAACACCCACCCCCACAACCATGCCCCGCACCCCTCCGCCTTCCCCAGGAGCACAGAAAGAGAAAGCAGCCCCCCCGCACCCGCACCCCCTTGCCGCCTTCACCCGCCTCGCGCCCACGGCCTACCTCTACACGCCTGCTCCTTGCACCAGCACCACCAGCACCAACCCCAACCCCACAACCACCACCACCACCTCCCACCAGCCCCCCGCCCTCATCCTCCTCGCAACATGGTACGCCGCCGCGCCCGCACACATCGCTAAATACGCCGCCCAGTACCGCGCTCTGTATCCGCGCACGCCGCAGCTACTGCTCACGAGCACGCTCGCGGACGCGACGTGGCGGCCAAGGGGGGCGCAGGAAAGGGGGCTAAGGGACGTGGTGGGGGTTGCGAGGGGCGTGGTTGCGGAGGCGGAAGCCGAGAGAGGATGCAGGGGTAGAGGAGGTAAGAGCGGAGGTATAGTGGTGCACGCGTTCAGCAACGGGGGCGCGCTGACGGCGTGCGCGTTTGCGCGGGCGTGGCGGGGGGGTGAGTGTGCTGGTGAAGAGAGGGAGGGAGCCGGCAAAGCGAAGAAGGCGGGCGGAAGCAGAAGCAGAAGCAACACAGCGCTCCCCCTGCGCGCCCTCCTGCTCGACAGCACGCCCGGGCGGCCGTCCATCCGTCGAGGCGCCGCAGCGCTGGCCGCGGCCTTCGGCGGCCTGACACGCATACTGCTGCTCGCGGCGCTGTACCCGGCCTTCGCGCTCCTCTACCTCTTGACGCGTCTGCCGCGCGTCTCGGACCCGATCACGCGCGTGCGCCAGGAGCTGCTCGATGATAGCCTGTTTGCGCGCGCGGCGCCGAGGTGCTATTTCTTCTCTGGGGAGGACGAGATGGTGGGCTGGGAGGACGTGGTGGCGCATGCGGGGGAGGCGAGGGGGTTGAGGTGTGGGTTGGGTGCGGGTGGAGTCGGGGTGAGGGAAGTAAGGTTTGAGGGGAGTGGGCATGTGAGGCATGCGGTTGTTGGGGCGGAGAGGTATTGGGAAGCTGTGAGGGGGGTGGTGGGTGGGGTGGAGTAGGGAGGGGGATGGAGGGTATCGGACAGGCTGCATGCAACCCGTGGAAGAAAGAAAGAAACATAAGACGGCAGGCCGCACCACATCCATCACCCCGCAGCAGCAGCAGCAGCACCGGCGAGTCATGTATGATACAATGTCACGCTAATGCAGGTCCCCTTTTGGGCATGACGTCTGAAGAAGGCCAAGGAGCACCCGGAATCTTGGAACGGGGGCGGGCTGATCTCTGATGATCCCACCACGGGGATCCATCGAAGGTCAAGGGGCTGAAGGGGGCTCCATCGCAAAAAAAGCTCGCCTCTTTTTTTTGAGGGCGCGCGCGCAAAAACTACCGGCTACTACTGTTACCTTGTTCCTACCTAGGCACTTACCCCTGCCCCTTTAATTGTCGTTTTTTCTTTTTGCTGCCCCGCCGTTTGTTTGTCTGTTCTCTATTGCTGTACATACTGTAGGCGCGTACCAGGGACACCGTCTTCACCGCATCATACCGCACCGCACCGCACCGAGCAACCACATCCACCCACCCACACACCCACACACGCACCATGGACAAACTCACGTCCCACCTCCCCGCCAGCATCGGGCACAGCGCAGGCTTCAGCGCGGCATCCACGGCCCTCGAGCACATCACGACCCTAGCCGCGCACCACAGCAAAGCGCCCGAAGAGACACTGCACCAGCCCGCGACGCACGCGCGCAGCCACGAATGGCTGGCCGCCCTCTTCCCCTCGGCCGCGCACCTCGAGCAGCTCGAGGCCGACCACCACCTCGGCAACTACGTCATCGACCGCCGCACTGGCGCAAAGTCCTTCGAGGCTATGAGCATCTACGTCCGCGTCGGCATGCACTTGCTGTACTATGGCAGCGCGCAGGAAAAGGCCCTGCATTGGGCCCGCACCGTAAAGCTGCTTGAGCAGCAGAGCCGTAAGATGGGCGAGCTGTATGATGCCCCGGAGAGTAGGGACCATATCCAGCCGTTTGTGGACAGTTTTGTGGAGGTTAAGAATGGGCTTGCTGAGCTGAAGGTGAGTTGGAGTTGGTAGTGCTGCTGCTGCTTTATCTGTTTTGGGGAAGAGCATAGAAGCCGGGGAAGACATGCGGCAGAGAAAGATACCTATGCACCACTACGCACGCCACCAACAAACCACCTACATAGCTAACGCGCGCCCCCCAAAAACACAGCAACCCGACCTCACCGCCTACCCCAACTTCAACGCCTTCTTCGCGCGGGAGCTCAAGCCCACCGCGCGGCCCATCGACGAGCCCTCAGACCAACTCACCGTCTCCAGCCCGGCCGACTGCCGGCTCACCGCGTACCCGACCGTCGACCTCGCGACGCAATACTGGATCAAAGGCACGGGCTTCACGATCTCACGGCTGCTCGGGTCCGACGAGCTGGCCGCGCAATTCGCGGGCGGCAGCCTCGTCATCGCCCGCCTCGCCCCGCAGGACTACCACCGCTGGCACGCCCCCGTCTCGGGCACCGTCGAGAGCGTCGCCGACATCCCCGGCGCGTACTACACCGTCAACCCGCAGGCCATCAACCAGGAGGGCACCCTCGACGTCTTCTGCGAGAACCGCCGCTCCGTCATGACGCTCCGACGGGGCGCGAGCAACGCGCGGGTGGCTGTCGTCGCCGTCGGTGCCATGCTCGTCGGCAGCATCAAGTACGAGGAGGGCGCGGCGGTCGGGCGCGAGGTGCGCCGCGGCCAGTGCCTCGGCGCGTTCTACTACGGCGGCAGCACCGTCATTGTCGTTTTCCCCAAGGGCGAGGTCGTGCTCGATGAGGATCTGGTCAGGAACTCGACCGAGCTGTCTTGTGAGACGCTCATGCGTGTGGGCTGGCGCGTGGGGGCGGGCCCGGCCTGATGGTCAGCGCAGCGGCTGTGGTGAGGGCAGTTTTGGCTGTGTGCTTGCTTGTTAAGTATTTAAGCGCGGCGGTGCGTCGCGCCGCCCCTGCTGTGTCTCTAGAGCTTTGGCTGATGGGGACTGTACGATTTACGCACATAGAGAGATTTTTCTTTTTGGGTTACGATGGGACTTCAGGACTGTAAGATACGAGGTACGGCTGTAGAGGCGCGGGTGGGGTGTATATATACATCGGAAACGGGAGATCGGGCTGTATATTGTACTGTACTGTATGTACGTAGATGTATTTGTAGGTTGGGAAACGTTAATATGTATGTATATTTTAGATGGTTTTGGGTCTTTGGCATACAGTGTGCCTTTGCATTGCCGCCGCTGCCGCTGTGGTAGCTAGCTATGTGGGCGTGGTACTGTGTCTTTTGTCTTTTCTTTTCTTTTCTTTTCTTTTTGCGTGCTTGTGCTCGTCGTGATGGACGGACTGCCTGCCTGACTGACTGGTGAAGGTCTGGCTTCGCGCGCTGCTCCCGCGGCTCTGCTGTAGCAGGACCCGGAGACTCTGCGTTGCGGCTTCGTCTCGTCTCGTCACGTTGCTGAGCAGCGGATCTCTCTGCCCGCAGCGATACGGAGCAAGTCTTCAGCAAACCTCGCAGCCAAGCGCGCGCGGCGCAGCGCAGCTCCCGCCCGCCGTCCCTAGGTACTTTATTCCGCAGCAAGGCCGGCGCAGCGCCCTTCCATACAGCAAGCTCACAGCAATCCCCCACAACCACCACAACCACACCCACCCGACCACACTCACCACACTCACCACACCTCTCCCGGATCAACCCTGACATTCTCCCCGCCCTCCCTAACATGCTTCCTCCCGACATCGCGCCCAAGCGGCTTCCGCATATCCAGGGCATCCTCATCATCATTATAGTAGCCCACCACGCGGCGATACACGCTGTACCCCATGCCCTCGTACAGCTTCTGCGCGACCAGGTTCTCGGCCCGCACGAACAGGTCCACGAACCACGCGTCCTCGGCGTCGCACGCCTGCTCGAGCATCTGCGTCAGCCGCGTCGCGTGCCCGAGGCGCCGTGCTGAAGGCGCGATCGTCAGGCAGGTGACGTGCCCGTGCCAGGGGAGGTAGTTGGGGTTCGGGTTCGTGTCGGGGCTGTAGGGCGAGACGGGGGGCGGGTAGGGCGAGGACTCGGTCTTGCCCATTACTGTTGTGCGTGAGCGAATGGATGCGAGCGCGTGTGCGAGAGTGCGTGTGGGTGTGTGTGCGCGCAAGGAAGTGCGAAGGGAATGCAAAAACACGTACTATACCCCTCGATGTTCCCATGCGGCCCCTCAATCACCTTGCACAGATGCGGCCACTTGGTCAGGTACTCGAGGTAGAAGCCGACATTATACGTCTCGGTCAGCGGGTCGAGGTTGCATTCGTTGAACTTGAGCAGGTCTTGCGGCGTCATGGGCCGGATGGACGCCATTGTGCTTGCTTGCTGCTTGCGTGCGGTTGTGTCGTGTCGTGGTGTTTTTTTTACTGGAGATAAGTTGGATCGCGGGGCCCGACTCGACATGTGTCGCGTCTGCTTTCCGCGGGGTTGGCGCCCGTGGAAGTACGCGGCGGTGCCGGGTCGTGTGTCTGTGGGTGCGCTTGGACGTCGCGCGGCTATGTAGCCTAGCCAGGGCTTTGTTGTTGGTACCATACTAGGCGTTTTTTGATAGATGTATGTGTTTTCTCTTTGCTTGCTTGAGTTGGTTCATGGGGTGAATAATCAAATGTTTATATGTGGCTCGCTGTATCGCGGAACTAGGTACCTAGAGTAGGAAATATAGAGTTATATAATCCTTTAAGTTTTTGAATAAAAGCCTATTAAATAGGTAAAAAATCTCGAAAAGATAAAACAATATTAACACTATAACGCTCTCAAAAAGAAATCCAACAACATGGCATTAACCGCCTGCTTTAGCCGCTTTTGATATGTAGCAGCGTGCAGTCATCACGATCCCGCGAATTGATGTCCACGCTCCCCATCCCATGTTTACCAAACCCTCAACAACAGCAATCGCATTCCCCACCCCAGCAGCACACGACAAAGCCGTACATGCAGCTGCATTTCAACAACCGACGTCAACCTCTTTCGCTTCGCACAGAAGTTGCCTGCCGCTCAAGAGCCCATATATACGTAGCAGCGACCGACAGCGGAATTCGGCCCTCAGTGTCTCGGCCTCTGATGCCAATGTAGCCGAATTGCACCAGCGCAGTGGCATTCTGTGGGTACGCTGGCGGACTCATCGCCCAGCCATCATACTCGTCTGGAGTGTTGCGCCGTCCCGTCTCGGTCGTGTTTGTGAAGGCTACAAGGGATGCTGAAATCTGGCTGTCGTTGAGTCCGTTGACGTCGAGAATAAATGCATCGACGCAGCTGGAACGAACAGTGTTCGGCCATAGCTGTCTTTACTGTTAGCCCCGAATATTTTGCTCATCCTTAACTATATATTGAGTGAAATCTACGATATCTACAGAGTATTTTTAGGTACTGATAATAGACGTTACAATACGGCTGGTAGGCATTATTTAACTACATAGAAGTAAAATAAAACTAGGTATAGTAGTGTTTAAAAAGATATAAAAGTAAAAGTGTATAAAAGTACTCGAGAACTCTACAAGGGTACAAAAACAAAATATTCGTAGGGTATAGAGGTACTTACAAAGGTATAAAGATATAAACTATCTAAGAGTAAGAAGTATATCTTATAATTTTACGGGTATATCATCAGGTACGGTGGGCAAAACATCTAGAGTGGGACGGGCAAATCATCCGGTGCCAAACAAGAGCCCATTGCCGAAGCAGCGAACCCCGACCGCTTGCCCAGAAGCACAGCACAACACCAACCGCAAAAGACAAAGCATTAAAATTAACCCCCGCAAGCCGCCTACCAGCCGCACGCACACACGCACACATAACCTAAGTAGCCGGGCACCTAGTCAGCCAGCAAGCAAGCGAGCAGAGCAAGGCCAAGACAAACAAGCAAACAAGCACGCACACGCAGCGCGCATAACGTCGTCCCATCCATCCAAAACTAGCCACTGAGCCGCACCTATAGTGATGCCTTCTCGCACCGTCCCCCGTATCCAAGCCAAAGGATCGGGTATCCTGCCGCTGTGCTGTTGATCCTTATGACTTCTCCACCACCACAACCGCCGTTCTTCCTTCTCTGCTCAGGACACTGTCCTTAGCGCTTCTGTACACCGTGCCAATAACCGTCATCACCACCACCACTACACCCTCAACCTCCCAACAGGCCCGGCGTGCTCGCCCCCGGCTCCTCGCGCTTGATCCGATAAAACGCAAGCTTGGCAAACCGACCCAGCGCAGCCCAAAAATGACGGCCCGCCTCATTCTCCATAACGTGTTCGAGCAAGCCACAAACGGCCAGACGCACATCCGGACGGGGATGGAACAAGCCCAGCGAGAGGTAAAAGATGCCGCTGTTGGACTCGGGCGTCACGCCCAGCAGCTGCAGAATCGTGTCGTACTGTTTCTGCGAGGAGCCGTGGGCGCGGCCGGTGGCGGTTGTCGAGGGCGGCGCCAGCTCCGACGGCGGGCGCCGGCCCGCGTCCTCGACCGCGCGCGCCAGCGCCAGGTAGATGCCCGCGCTCTGGTCGTGCGTCAGCCGCGTCCCCCGGTGCAGCCGGTCGTGCAGCCACATCAGGTCCAGGTGCCGCACCGGCTGCCGCTCCCATACCCGCGCCAGGTCCTGCACGTAGCTGTAGTACGACCGCGTGTTGCGCCATCCCTCCACACGGTGCACGTTGGCTGCCAGCTCCTTGAGCTTCTCCGCCTCTGTCGCCCACACGTACCCGTGCCCCTTGATGTTCGCGTCAAACGGCGTTTCCGTGTCTGGCGACGTGGGCGAGAGTGTCGCCGAGGAGGCTCCAATGTACAAAGCGCTCGCCCCGTATACCGTCTCTTCAAACGTCGCCGCTATGCGCGTAAACTTGTGCACCCAGTCGCGCCAGCGCGAGCGGATGGCTGCTTCGCCCCGCCGTTCGTTGATAGCAGTGAGCAGCGCGTCCATGAACTGCGTATCTCCGGTGGGATCGGCGTCTTGGCTGCCCTTGGAACCCGGCATGCTCATGCTCAGTTGCGCGCTCAAGCCGGCCGCCAAACTGCTGCTGGTCGAGGTTGGTATGTGAGACTGCTGTGACTGGAAGTACAAGAGGCCATCGGTAACGGGCGGGCCTTCAATCTTGTGGGATATCTTCATGCGCCCGCTCGGCAGGTCACAAAGCAGATCCCACCATTCCGGCTTGTGCGCAAAGGCCGGGTTAGTGACACCGGCGATGAAGCCTGGCACCTTGATTAAGTCGTCGATTTTGGTCAGATCCGTGTACGGGAAAGCGTGACGGGTGAAACCTCGAAGCATGCCACCAGAGGCCAGGGCGCAAGACGCAAGCACAGCTTCCGCCACTTCTCCGGCTGGTCGGTTGTGGCCGAGGAAAACAACTCGTTTTTGCGTGAGTAAGGCATTAACTAGGACAATTATGGGATGCGTGTAAGCGCCGGATGTTGTAAGGTGCGGATGCAACGCAAAAGGCTGCGGAGCAGTGGTATGCGGGATGGAAAACGTCTGGATGAGCTTGATGAGGGAAAAGTCGCCGACAGTCTCGGGGCTGATTGCGGTTGGAATCTTGATAGGTACGGGTATGCCATTATACAATACGCGGCTTTCGAATTCGTGGGTATCTCTGGGAAGGGTATAGCGATTGGGAGGAACGCGGATGGGAGATCCGGGGCCCTCTTGAAGCGACTGCTGCGCTACGGCAGCGTCCTCAACCTGGCGCTGAGCTATCATTTGCTCAAACTTCTCGACAAACATGTCTGGCGCGGAGGAGGCCTGGAGGACATTGCGCTCAAGAAAAGAGAGCTTCGGCAAAAGGGACAGGTCCATGGAGTTCATTGCGTTGTAGAGGGAGGCGAGCGTCTCGGGAACAGGGGATCGGAAATACTCCTCAAGGGCTAATAGGAGTAGTGGCTGGACCAGGTTAGCGACAGGCGGTGATCCACGGGGAATAAGGGCCAAGTACTTTGTAGATGTGGAGGAAGCTATGTCTGGTGCAAATAGCCATCGCCTTGACAATAGCGCCTCTGTGTATGCCGTCAGTGCTACAGCTTCCAGTCGATGCGCGGAGCACCCATACCTCTTTACGGTAGTATCCTGCTTAGTATTGACTAAGTTGAGAACGTATATTAACGGAGGGCCCTCAAACCCCTCCTCGTCCGTCTCATCGTCGTCGTCATCGTCGTCTTCCTCGCCTTCTCCCTCGCCGTCGTCGCCCGTCTCGACGAGCTCGCCGGCCTTCTTCTTGCGCCTCCGTTCTCGCCTCTCCTCCTTGGCCTCCTCCTCGGCAGTCGTGTCCTTGTGCAAGAAGAAAATGGTCCAGTCTTGACTGCGCACATGCGCCTGGTCGGGCAGCATGAGGTCGGCCAGCATATGCTCGTCTCCACTTATGGGGCCGGGGTACTGGTGCTCCATGACACTCCCCCTGTCAATGTCGAAGCTCGCGACGAGGATATACTCGACATGGTTTTCGGTGGAATTCGAGGGATACTGCGAGCGCAATTGGCGGTCCATCCGGGCCTGCGATGGCGACGGGGCGTAGGGCTTCGGGTGCAACGGCGGGTCGGACGAGGAGGGGTCGGATGAGCGCAGCGCGGAGGGCTGGGGCGAGCGCGAAGGAGCGCGGCGGTGGATGGACAGGGCCGAGGGCGAGCGCGACGAAGGGAAGCTGGAGAAAGAGGACTTGCGCGTAGCGGGCGGCGGGGCGGAGGTGGTGGAGGGCGGAGGCGGATGTTGGGCTAGTACCTGAGCCATGGTGACGGTGAGAAGGGGCCAGGAGACGGCACTGACTCGAGTGCGAGACGGGTAGTTCTTATGGCTGGAGTCGGAAACGGGCGGAGACGAGCATCGCGAGCTCGACTTGGTCCTCGGCCATGCCGCCTCCCTTGCCTCGACTCGACACCGACGACGGTTATTACTCCTATAGTAATCCGTAGATAGACATGCTCAACATACCTCGATGCTGAACGTGGACCGGGCAGGGATTAAATCAAGTAGTAGTGATAGAACACAACCGAACGACTACCTTGTTTAAGAAGAGAGAGAGAGACATAGCTAACCCCCTCTACCCCAAAATCGTTGTCCCGGCTACGTTTGGAGCCGTGTGTCACGGTCAAGATAATTCGACCGCGTCTCGGTTGCTCGTCACAACCGACCAGCGTCATTGCCAGCGCGCCAGCTGCCAACTCCCGCCGCCTACATTTATTCCCTACCTACCCCCTACGGGAATTTCGCAACAACCGCGCCAAAAAATGGTCCATACTCCCAATTCCTGTCGTCGTGTCACAGCTTGCTAACTGCCTCTGTTCGAACAGTCGTCTCCATTGAAGCCGTCGCAGCTTTCCCTGAACTCGCGAGCCTCGCCCTTTCGCCGTCCAGGCTCGCCTTTGCCGCCTCGCTCACCGTCGGCTCTCCGTCCTTCTTCGTCGCATAACTCGCCCTTCAGATCAGGCGAAGATGGCCGGCCCACGACGCCCTCGCGCCTCTCCCCTACCAAAGACAACCCGTTCCGCCGCTCTGCCGCCAACGACCGACCAACCACCCCCAATGGGCGCCCCGTAACCCCCAGCGAGCAACCTTCTCTCGCCAGCCCAGTCACCAGCCCCCTACTTCAGCGCAAAACAGCAAGCCCGGGCCCAGCCACTTCACCGCCACCTGCGCCCGCTGCCACCGAAGCGCCCGTCTTAGCGCCCCCTCGCGATCCGAAATATACTCGTCGCCCTCCGCTCGCGAAGAGACAATCAACATGGCGCGGCAACGGCCCGGACCCGCTGGCACACATTCCACCGGCGCTGCTACACAGCATGCGCGAGTCCTTCAGCGTGCTGGACTGCGAGAACACGGGAGTCGTCACCGCTGCCGACGTACAGGAGGCGCTGTCCGAGGTTGGCATGGACAATGGACCTGCGTCGGTAGAGCCTTTCTTCCCGGCCGGTGCGCCGAGCTCGTTGAACCTCGCATCCTATCTCACCATGATGGCGTCATTACTCCAGCCGTTGAGCCGCGAGCGCGAAATACTGGCCGCGTTTGAAGCATTTGATGACCAGGATGACGGCCAGATCGATGTCTCTGAGCTGACAGAGGCTCTGCTCAACACGACACCTGAAGCAGGACAGCAGCGTTTGACGGAGAAGGAGATTGAGAGGATTGTGGAGGGTTTCCGGGGGCGCAGGGCGCTAGGGAAGAAAGGAAAGGGCGGGCTGGGGCGCGGAGATGTTTTCCGCTACAAGGAGTTTGTCGGCAGTGTGTGCGGCGGCGGCTCTGCCAAGGAGGGCGGGGCAGAGGCTGCGGCATAGATTTGATGGGTTATCTCTTGGCCGGAGTTTGAGGATAGCGCTGGGTTTGGCATCAGACATTGTGGGTTTTGGCGAAGTAGCCTGCCTTTTTAGGCACTAGATGGGTAATGCGGTATGGATAATGTGAGACGATGTTACTGTGCTCTTCAGATATATGTTAAGCGTCTGCTCGTTCGGTGTTAAGAGGTCACTCACTTGACTGTTGTAAAGGCGTGTGAAATGCCTGTTTTTTCTTCTCTGGTCCTATAAAAAACCAGCTGCCTCGGTCGAACCACCGGACACATACGTTCTGCAAAGCAAACAACGCGTTACGTGGGGTTCGCGGGCAAACCTGCTCTTTCCCAATATAGTAACTTGTTGTTCTCGCGAGCCTTCCTGCCTCTTCTGTTTGCTTGCCGATACACTACGTCTGTCGGAGCTCACTCTCAGTCCTTGAACACACTAATCGGAGACTTAACATCCATTCAGAGACTACAATTATAACAGAAATACCCTTGCTACCCGTTCGCAACGTACATACCATCAGTACAACTAAGTCCGTGGGAGAAGCACTAGCACGATATCGTCAGACATACCGCCAAAGCACACTACATTCACTGTACAAGGTGTATCACTTTACTTAGACTCTGTGTCCGGTCTCTTCGAACATGTCCGGTTCATCGAGGACGGCATTGCAACGTGCCCTTGACTACGTAATACTCAAAGTAAGATCACTAAGGTTACCCGCTAACCCATTCACTCACGCGCTCATACATTTGGCGTAGACCAAGTCCTTCCACTACAGCACACATTCTAAAAAAAGGTACTACTGACTGTACAGTTCGGGAACGCCCCAAGAAGGATATACGCCAGCGACCCGCTTCGCCCATATCGTGTCGTCCTCATGATAGCTACGAGTTGTGAGCAACCGCGAGAAGAGTTGTCCTATCTCATGAGCGGCTACAGGATATGCGGCACACACTACCAATTCACGGAGCACGAGGTGGCCGCGTTCGCCAATGTCGAAGACGCAAATTGCCACGTCAACATGCTCGTTACCGAACGCACGGTAGGCGACTACCGCTTCCGTGAGATGCGAGACTGGGCGCAGATGGAGACTGGACTGGGGGAAGGTCTGGAGGCACATCTCTACGAACAGGCGCAGAAGCAACTCCATAGCCACATCTACCACGATGGCACTTTGCAGGTGCTTCTGCTGCGGCATGATGAGCTGGTGTTGGTGGGAGCGCAGAAATTGAAGGTAAGGGATGAGGGTGAGGGAGAAGGTGGCGGTGTTAGGAGTAGTTCAGGCGTGGCGGGCGGAATGAATGAAGATGGAGCTTAAAGCGTCTTCTTTGGGCAGCACATTGGGATGGTTCCTTGCTTTGGCCGCCAAGCGGATGATGGGCCTTCGAGGTACAGATGTACAGATGACAGGAGATTGAGAAAATGACCAGTGGTAGCTGAGGTGAGATGGGCGCGCATGATTCGAGAGGCACGGAGGCGAGATGGAGTATGACGCGGTCACGGTCAAGTCAGGGGGGTGGGAGCCCATCGTGGCGCTGGCATGGCGCTGGCATGGCGGTGAGGCCTCGTGACCGCGGTGGATGAAAGGCGAAAGGCAAAAGGTGAAAGACGAAAGGGTCGCGCGGGATGACGAGGCTACGGGAGCGCGCGATAAGCTCACGTGTCGGCCCTGGCGCGGGGCAGTGGGCGACGGCCTGCATTCGTACAGCAGGTAGCTCCCCGCCCATGCTGCGCAACCAACCCCCCCTCTCTGCACCTCAGTCTGTAGTGATACTGCCCCTCCAACCTTCCCGCCCCTCTCAACAACGTCTCCGCCTGCCTCAACACTTTACTGCGTCTGCTTCATGCCCCCCGTTCCCTGCTGCTAGCCGGCCGATCCCCCTCGGACTTCGCCCGGCTTCTCCGCATCCCGCAATCCCCCGTCTATCAGAGCTACACTACCTAACCGCCACGCCTGCCTGCGTCCTTGGATAACACCACCACCCCCAAACTGCGACCGGCCTGGTCGGCTCCACCATTCGTCATCTCTCGCCGCTTTCCCCGCATTCCTCCACCCCGACCGCCCCGATACGCACCCGCCCAGCCAACCTGCTGCCCGCATACCTGTCCCAGCACGCAGGCGCGCACCGTCGCACGCCCTTCTCACCCGCCGGACGAGCGCAACCTTGGCCAGAAACGTCGCAATCAATTTCATGCCCTCGTCGCCCGATAACGCAGCTGCCTTTGCCAATCCCCCGCCTAGCGCCGGATACGTATACAACCACCACCGCAATCGCTCCCGAGGTCTCGAGAACCTGCAGAGTCGCGGACGCAACATATCCAGATATGAGTTTGGGCGAAGAGACAGGTATGGGGAGAGGGTTACGAGAATCTACCCCAGAGAGATGTGAGTCAACACCTTGGCTGTGAGCGCGGGGGGAGCCTGGACGAGAGACATTCTGAGGGTGACTGCGGAGAGCAGGCACACGCCGTGCGTTATCTGAGCTGTCGAAACATGCTCAGACTGCCGCTCTGGATGCCTGAGCGTGTAAAGCTGCTAGGCCAAGTCTGCTCTCCGACGTCCTTCCCACCTTTGCTCCTGTCGTCGCTGTCCACCAGCGCCTGAGCTGCACGCCATGCCCGACCTCATACTAACACCTGCTGCTTAGAACAAACGCCGCCAAGACTACCGCGCGGTATTCGTCCTCTCCCGCTCCCATACCGACTACCTCACCTTTGATCAAGGCGCTTGGCTCGACTACCACCACCGCAGCCCACTACACCAACGAGTGGACCAAGTCGCTCCCTTACTTTGCCGCACAGCAGCCTGCTTCCAACGGTCGGAGCATCAGTGGATCACCCCCGGGCTTGACTCCGGGACAGAGCTACGGTGTTTCGCCGTCTCCTCCAACCATCGGCGGTCGGCCGTTGAGCCACCCCAACCACTACCCTAGCTTCGGCGGTAGGCTTCAAGGCTCCCCACATCAATCTCCGTCACGGGATCGTCGCGCCTCCATGTTTTCGAAGTACTCGAGTCAGCCTCCACTTCCGCATGAGCCACAATCTCACTTTTACGGTTTACCAGAGATCGACTTCGGCCTCGATCCTCCGCAAAGCGAACTCCTTCCGGGCTCCAACGGCTACTTCTGCGGCTTTGACACTCTTGACTCCGTCAGCGACAAACCTTCCTCGCACGCCGGTCAGAATGTTCTCTTGGTGGGATATGAGGGCGGTCTCGATGTGCTTGATGTAGGAAGAAGCCACATGAACGTTTTGGGTAGGATTGAAGGTCTAAAAGGCGCTGTCATCGGCGCCAAGATATTACCTTGGACTGATACTGCCGACCCATGCGCGGAAGAGAGACCTCTCATTGCCCTCATCATCCATGCTCCAGTACTTGACGGCATCAAAGACACTCACAACCCCAGTGGCTCCTCTTCTGCTGCGGGTACCAGTGAGAATGAAGGATCATCAAGCCCTCCCACCAGGCCTGCTTCTGTCCTAGCAGATAATGCCACTGATGTATCCCATTACCAGACCACCGTTGAGATTTGGTCGATGAAGAACGGAAAGAGTGTTGCTACGTTGTACAAGAGCGCGCTTGTCCCTGTGTCAGCAAAGGTTCCGTTGGATAGTACTCTTTTCCAGCCACCGCCGCCCGTTGGCGATCTTCGAATTGCCGCCAACGGCCGCTTCGTGGTAGTTGCCTCTGGAGTTAGCGGAGAAGTCTTTGTGTTTGCCCCAAAGGAAGATGAGGCCAATCCCGGAAGCTTTAGATGCATCGGAAAAGTCTGGACTACCGTTCAAGTCCGCGAACACACGCCCAGCTCGAGCGCGGCCAGCTCAACTGAAGCCAGCAGCGTGGAAGCAGAGACCACAAGCACGTATGGCGTTCCGTTGTTTGCGCTGTGTGAGCACTGGCTGGCAGTTGTACCCCCAGCGTCGTCTTCAATATTCTCCACCAACGGTATGCCACTCCTGTCGCCTTCGCACCCGAAGCCTCCTGGTATCACAACGCACGCACCTCCACCCCCGCCTCCTACGACCTGCCAAGTGGATGCGCCGGAAGACAGCTTTATCGGCAAGGCTTCGCGCGAAATGGCCCAGCAGGCCATGAAAGGCATGCAATGGGCAGCTAGTACTGGAATGACGGCCTGGAAGAACTACTGGAACAAATCCGAACAGGCGAATGCTGTCCCGGTGCAGGAAATGCAGCCCCCGCCGCAACCTTATTTCCCACCAACACATGGAGTTGGTGGCCAGGCGGCGAGCCAGCCCAGCAACGAGCCTACGCTTGTGTCCATTTTCAGCCTGCAAAGGATGGAAGATGCCGAGATCACGCGAAGCCGCAATGCTCTCAACCCTCTTGCGACGTTTTCTTCCCCGCTTGGATGCAGCTTCCTGTCATTCTCTCCGAGTGGCCTAATGCTCATGACGTTCAGCAAGAAGGGAGACAACCAGTTCGTTTGGGATCTCAATAACCTCAACCACAACAAGGCTGGCAACAACCCTGCTCGCTCTTCGAATTCGCACGTACGTCAGGTAGTCAAGTTCACGCGGATGACCATTGCAAACATTATCGACGTCTCTTGGTCTTCGCCCAAGGGTAAGAGACTTGCAATCCTTACCGAGAAGGGCACCGTCCATATGTATCCTATGCCGGCCTCTGCGTTCCAGTGGCCTCCTCCAAGGCGTGCGCGGAAACCAAATGAACAGAAGACCAAAGATGGAGCGGATTCAGCGTCAAACGCGAAGAACAGTGGTAAAGTCGGTTCCGCTGCGCAGACCATCACAGGAAAGGCTATACCCTTTTTAAACGCGGTCCGCAGCCGGGGTGGCGGAGTCGGAACTGCCTTTAGCGGTCTCAGCATGACCCCCGCAGCTGGTGCTAAGGGTGGTAAAGCTGTCGCAGCGGGTCTGGGCAAGACAATGGCCGGCGCCGCAGTCAACTTGAAGCATGCTGGCGACAACAAGCTACATCTTCCTTCGCTCGCTAACGGCGTCAACCCCAACTCTGTCCGCTGGCTGGCCAGCAGCAAGAAGAAGAAGCACGAGCGTATTGCCCTTGTTGCTGGTGGTGTTTTGACAATCTACAGCGTCACCTTCCAGGCAGTCCGCAGCCGCAACACGGGCGCGCAAACACGCATCAACAAGAGAAAACTTGTGGAATACAGCCTCAACCCCATCCGCGACACTCGCATCGCACCCTCCGTCATGAACTACCTCGAGTCCAAGCCAGGCGAGGAACCACGTCCGTTCCCAGGCACGGAGAAGGCCGCCGAGTCATACTGGACCCCTCGCGCCCCCACTGTCAACCGAGACAAGGGCCAGCGCAACCTTACACAGCCGCTGGCCGTCGCCGAAATAGAAGCAAACACACCCTACCAGCCCTTCCACACAGATCGACGCATTGACCTCTTCGGAAACGAAGAGGCAGCGCCAGCGCCGCAGAACGGGGAGCACAACCACTGGGAGGAGCACCAATCTCAGCAAGCTCTTGTTCACCACAGCCACGTCGATGACGCAACCGAATGGTCGTTCGGCGAGGAGCTGCCCTCGGCAAAGCTTTCGCTGCCCTCTTACTATGCCTTTGAGGACGAGGACCCCCTAGCGGACGACATGATGGGGCTGGTCATGGGCGGCGAGGGCGCGGCAGGCCAGGGCGCTGCCGGCATGATGAGCAGTTTAGTGATGAAGGAGGGGGATGAGGAAGTCGAGCAGGTCGTGGTGACGACGAGGCGGCGGCGCAACAAGAGGAAGTCGGAGATGGATGACGGCGACGACGAGGAGGGCTTCTTCGAGGACGATTGCGAGGTCTGGGACTTTGCGAACGACCGCGTTTGAACGCACGCGTGGTTTGGATGACTTGGGCTCTCTCTCTCTCTCTCTCTATCCCTCTCTCCTCCTACTCGTACCTGTTTCCCTTTTTGCAAAGCAACAAACTCATACACGGGCCGGACGAACGGACTGGTCGGTACGGCGTCGGGAGGTCTGCACAAATAAAGTCGTTTAAATCCCTTCTTCATCTCGGTCGCGCTTTGGTCGTTGTCACGCTGCTGCTGCTGCTTCATCACATCACCGCCATCTGTCCCAAGCCTTTTTTGCATTCTTACTGCTCTAACAACGACGCCTGGTTTGCTTGCTTTTTCTTTGTTTCACATGATACTCCCCATAACATACCCATACCATAGCCTTACCCATACCCTATACGCCACAAACGTACGCACACAGAGAAAGACACAGGGGCCTGGTACCGCGACGCGCCGCCCTCGCCCGAGCCTGTCTTGTTTTGTCTTTCTGTCCCTTTTGGGATCAGTCGGTCGCTTGCTTCTCGTCGCGCGGATGGGTCTTGCCTGGCTTGTCCCTCCTCTCCTCGTTCTCTTTCTGTCTCTCTGTCTCGGTGTGTGGCTGTGTGTGGCTTTTTTCTTTTTCGGCGCAAGGCGTTGCCGGCGTTTGCATAGAGGGTTGGTGTGTGCGTGCGCGTGCGCGTGGGTGGGGGTGGGGGGTGGAGGGGCGCGTTGGCTGCTTGCTGGCTTGTCTTGGGCGCCTCGTCGTTGTTGGTGATGCTTGACTGCTGCTGCTGCTGCTGTCTGGCGTTTTCCTCTCCTCTCCTCTCCTCTCCTCTTCTCTCCCGGTTTGGGCGTTGGGGTTTGCCGCTGGCGCTGGCGATGGCTCTGGTACCTTTTTTCGGCATATCAGACTTGAGGTTTGGCTTGCGCGAGGGGATGGATGGTGGGAACTGCGAAGGCTGGTGCGTAGGTAGGTAGATAGGCCTAGCTGAGTGTGCTGGCTTTGCTGGGCTGGTGGCCGGTGGTTGATTGTGGTGGCTTTGTGATGGGTGCGAATAATTATTTACATATTGCCATCGCGGTCTGGCTTTAGGCATAGGTACGCTGAATCTCATCACTTCAGTTGTATGTCCGTACTATTTTGTCGGCAAAGGATAATTTCATCACCTCCTCTGGCTATTTTCACCAGCCCTTTTTACCGCCTGCCCGCTTAGATATTTTTGTTACCTGGTAGAAACTGCACGCATCTCTTCGCTTCGCGTTCTTCTCTTGCAGTTAGTTGCCTTCTACTCTTAGTGCTTTTGTTGTTGCTGCTACTGCAACTAGCTAAAGCATTAGCTTTTTTTTCTTATTTTTCTCCTCTATCTCCTCCTACTGCTAGAGGTATTTTCCTATTAAGTGGTGCAAATAGCCAAAGAAGGTGGTGAAATTATCCTTGGCCTTTCATGGTGGGTAGGAGCTCTACGTTCACCTGAACTCCTTCTTAATCGCCTTGGTTTGGTGATGTTGACACAGCAACCTCACAGAAACACCAGGTTGAAAATAGCGCAAAAATATGACATCCGGAAAGCTCCGGTTTGCGTCCGGAGCCCCCAGTGACTCCATGAACGACGTGATTGAAAAGGTGGGGATATATCACCTGTCACATGCCGCCGCGTTGCCGCGTCCACCCGTTAGCGTGAAACCGCGACATGGGTAAGCTGCACCTCTCCAACGCATCGTAGGTGTTGTGATTGGTGCACGCGGTACATCTTACTCCGTTTATGGAATGTCGTTTGTTCCGTTTATGAACTGTCACTTGTTTGCTTTTGGCGGTCTACTTGATAACGTGAGAACGTGCGGACGTGGTGGAGACGGACACGCGTGGTAGCAAACGCGAGCGGTGGACACGCGTTTGCTGCCTAGATCAGCGGCATGGCGCGTTCTGTTTACTGTTAATCGTCATGACGCTGCTGCTGCGTTTGGCGTTTCTTTGTTTCCCTATTAAGGCTCTGTCGTGCTCATCTTCTGCATCTTTTTCTCGGAAGGATGCGTCCGCCGACGCTACTTCTTACTCCCTCTCCACCCTATCGCCCCACCATCTCTCACCTAGACAACTGGAAAGCAGCATTCTCGCGCGCCGGAAGCGCTCCAGCTCCAACAGGCTTTCCAATGGTATCCGCTGCTCGGGTCTCACTTGGGAAGTGGTGAGCACTCAAGTGCATCTTTCGCGTTCACTGAGACACGCCTTTTCAACTCTGACAAAGGTAAGCCTTGCTTGGAGACTACGGTGACGGTTGAAGCCTCAGCTCGTTGCACTGGGTATTCTCTTTGAAAGAATCCTTCATTGATCATTACGACAGCACCTCTTTTGCCCCAGCCGAACACTGGGCTTTCCTTCAAGCAACTTTCGCTTTGCTACTGGGACGCTTCTTCCAGACTTAGCAAAACAAGCTCCACTGTTCCGGGCTCACTCAAAGGTTGTCCTGAGCGAGGCAGTGACGACGATCAAGTTCTACCTCCACCTACGCCTTCTTCGTCTTATCTGGAGTCACATCGTCATTCGAATCAACGTTCAGCTACGCCGACTTTTCAAAGGCCGTGTCTGCCACCGCCAAAAACCGATTCTTGTGCGATGTTTTAGACGCCTTTCTGTTAGACAACTGTCGTTCATACGAACATTTTCGATACGTCCTCACTTGTACTAAGGCAACTGTTGGGAAGCTTTGAACACCATGGACAGACCAGACCGGGTCCCAGCGGGGCTCACTGATCAAGAGGATCAAGATTTTGCCTCGGACGAGTACTTCCATCGAGCCTCTGATCGTCCCAAGAAGAAGCGTCGCATAGCAAAAGAGAAGCCGCTTCCCCCAACTCTCTATAAGGCCGTGGTGAAGGACCTTGCCGAGGATTTCGCAACTGCGGCATCAGAGAAAATCGACCCAGACATAATTGCAAAGATCAAGAAGTGTTTAGAGAGGGGAAACCACAAAGATGCGTCTGAGTTAGAAGCCAAGGCTGCGCTTCGTGTGGCCACAAGGCTCATGGGGCAATACAACGTCACCCAGGCCGAGGTCCTCAGCACAGCTACCGAAGCCGAGAAGAAGACGCATGGGGGACGAAGCATTGTTTCTGTCGTCCACACTGATGGCTCCAAAAAGCAAGTGAGGCAGTCACTGTTCATTGGGGACCTTGCTTGGGCCATGGGGAAATTCTTTGACGTGAAGCACTTCTCCACCAAGTCTCGCAGTACTTACTCACTCAACATCACATTCTACGGTATTGCATCCAATACAGTTCTGGCCGCGATGGCCTACGAGATGGCATACAACTTGATTCTTGATTGGGCAAGGCCAAAGAAGGGCATTGCCGCCAAGAATAGTTACTGCTTGGGCGCTTCTTACGGGCTTAACAAGATGGCCAAAGAAGAAAAAGAAGAGGAGATGGAACGGGCCAAGAAGGCTGAGGCAGAGGAGTTGGAAGCCAGGGAAAAAGAAGAGATTGCCCAGCGCCAAAAGGAACTAAATCGACTCAATTTCGATTCAAACCAAGCTGGAGTCGAAGACGTAGACGACACGCAGACCAATGGTGCTGCTACCAAAGACAAACCTGCCTCTCCAACAAAGACGGTAATATCCATTGATTCTGACTCTGACCCCGCTTCCAACCCTGGCTCTGCTTTCGACTCCGACTCCGTTTCCGACTCTGATTCAGACACCTCCATGAACGATTTCAATACCGAAGTGCAAGATACGAGTGAAGAGCAAAATGAGGATGAAAGACCTGAGGATGATAACACGCAGAACCCTCCAGACGACTCGGACGATGATACGGACTTTGGAGCCGAAACGAACTTCACCAACCCGGAGCGCGTAGAACAGGCGCCTGTGTTCACCAACATCGATGACGAGGTAGACTACCTCCTGAAAAACGCCCAGACATCAATCCGCGTGAAAGAGGAGGCGCGCCAGCCCTCCATTATGCACATTCCCGCCGCCCGCGATCCGACCGTCCAACCTGCAGCTCGTGACCCGACAGCGCCGCCGGCAGACTCTCTTCCACCTGAGCCTGAGCCTGAACAACTCAATGCGGGATGGAAGTCTAAGCAGCAGTTGATTCTCTTCCACGACACTGCTATGCACGTTGCAGATGATTTCCTCAAAACCAAGGGAGTCAAGCTCTACAAGGGAAAGAAACATGCTGGCGCCAGTGATAAGAAGGCCTGGCGTGAGGGTGAAAAGGACAGCCGGAAGATCAATGTCCACCGCAAGACACTAAAGGAAAGCAGCGAGGAGGGAGGCGAAGGTGGCGAAGATGGCGAGGAAGGCGGCCCACAAGAAGGTCAGCAAGCTGACCAACAAGATGCCAATCAAGGGGGTCAACAAACCAACAATCAAGACGGTCAGCGACCTGACAACCAAGAGGGCCAGCAAGCCGAAAATCAAGAAGGCCAGGGAGATAATCACAAAGACAACGGCCAAAATGGCGAGAAAGACAAAGAACCGGAAATTAAGCAGGAAATCAAGCAAGAAGATGAGTGAGACAGTTCCAAGGGGCCAGCCCTTGCCAAACCTCCCTCTTCATCTGGTATTTGGCTTTGCTTAAACACCACTTTCTTTGAATGATCAATTGGCAATTGACATCACCACAGCTCCGAAAGAAAGTTGCAAACACAGGTTAGGTAGCGATTCCAAAACAACCTCGCAGGTATAAATGGAGACAATTCTACATAACCCAACGTCCAGTGATTCTAGTGTTCACCATCAAGTATCGTCTTCTAAATTGCTTTCTGGTGCTGTTGAGTTACATGAAGATGAAACTCAACACGATCAAGTCTTGAGACTAAAATGCCTCTTTCCCATACCCTTGTTCTTTTCACCTATCATCCACTTCCCCTAATTCACACCCCTCCACACCATCTAGCCCAAGTCCATCTCGCACCAAACAACCCACCCACCAAAGCCTTACCCGGCTTTGAATCCATGATTTTCACAGACTACAAAGTCCGCGCTATCACGAAAACAACTCATGATTCAGCAGGATCGCGCTAGCAATGTTGGCCTCCAAATAAATAATATAAATCAGGCTATAATCAAAGCATTTAAAAAGACGACATCAAGCCCCCAACCCCATCACAGCAACGCTAAAAATAGCATCTACTCCATAGCAGGAATGGTAATGGTATCGATGGTCAGCACGGTGCCATCGTCGCTCATCTTCAGGCCCTCGTACGTGGCGCCGCCGGCCGTGGACAGCGTGTCGATGAAGGTCTTGTCCGGGGCGTCGAGCGTGATCTTCGTGTTGATGTATTTCTGCTCGGCGATGGTGCCGCTGCAGCCGTCGTCGCACTCGGTGCCGGTGCCCCAGCTGTGCGGATTTCAGCGTCAGCAATCCAAAAAGGAAACAAAAGACGCAAGGCGGCGGGGCGCGCGCTGCTTACCCAGTCATGTACGGGCCGGAGGCGTAGGAGAAGGTCGAGAGCTGCTTGCCCGTGTCGGCGTCCGTGACCATCCTGTGCCGCCAAAATTAGCCAAACGCCAGTGAAGAACAGGGAAGCAAGTGTGTGCATACTGGGTCCAAGTCTCGCCGTCGCTCTCCAGCGTATACTCGATCTTGACCTTCATGTCCTTGGACACGGACGCAGCAGGGCCGTCTTTCTGGCCAAAGCCACCGAACAAGCTAGCGCGGACGCACCACTCGTCGTCGGTGCCGCCGCACCAGTTGCCATCGGACCACGACTCGATGGTGGTCTGGACGAGGTCGCCGGTGCCGTTGCTCATGCCCGGCCACAGGAACAGCTCGCCCGTCTGCGGGTTCGGCGCCGGGCCCGGGATTATCGTCGTCACGGAGTGCTTGATGTTGGCCTTGGCCGGGCCGAGCGACAGCGACCCGCCCCATGTGTCCATGCGCTTGGTGTTGGCTGCGGCGGCCGGGGCCGCCATGGCCAGAGAGGAGAGCGCGGCGAGCGAGAAGAGCATCTTGGTGCTAATGTGTGTGTGTGAGAGAGAGAGAGACTTGGTGAATTGAATGAAGGAATGGAAGCAACCAGTGCGGGGTGAAAGGATGAGCGATGGGAATACTCGATAGGGAAAGAAGAGATATATATGTTTTGTAGGGGACTGTGCTTTGGACGCCCTATTCTACTTGAAACGCATACTCGGGCCAGTACCTAATGATCGTGTTCGGCGGAAGGTGAAACAAACCAATCACCCCACATTGTTTCCCTGTATACGGTTTACCTCGCTTATCCAAACAACATCTTGCCGTTATTGGTGCTTCTACGTCTTAAGCATAATTGTCGCGCGGTACGGCGGATCGTCGGGGATCTGATCTGTCGCGCATTTCGGAAAGGATAACTACCTGGTCGAGTTGGTGGAGAAACAGCACACTTCCAACTTCCGACCATCCCGATCCCTTGATGATGCTGCTGGAAAGGAGGTAGCCATGCCCGCTTTGGCTCTACCCCACCTCCTGAGGTCGCCCAAACCGTCTGGATAGAGTGCCTTGAGGCGGGGCGGGCGGTCTCGTCCCGGCCTCGCATAATTAGTCCGCCGGGTGTTTGTCCCGATGCAACCACCCTAACGCCCGAGTGTGGTCTGAGGAATCCGGATATACGATCCTTCCATCGGACGTCCAGTAATCCTCCCGGCACCGCCAACGCCCGGCATCCCGACTGTGGCCTGGCGAACGTCAGTGGTTTACAGGACTTAATAAAAGCACAGCAACTTCGGCAAACGGATCAAGAGCCTATTGACGGCAAAACCACCACCACCTACCTAAATCTCTCACTCAATAACAATGTGCATCCTCCCCAGCCAGGAAGGCGGCGCGTGTGCGGGTGTCGTGGTGGATGTTGAGCGTGACTTGGTAGAGTAAGGAGAGGTATTTCAAATCCGTAGCCCAGGTGCTGCGGCATGGGGTCATTGGTAGTGTGCCCTCCGGGCGGCTATGACGGCACTTTGCAAAGGACATGTTTTGCACTGAGTGCTGCTTGTGGTAGCATTTAGGAGTAGATAGCTAGATAAATCTAGCTAATCACCACGGCCTGAGCGCCGTCAGCCAGCGTAACCGTGTCTATGGGCGGGGGTGGTTGAGCGTGGTGTGTGCGAGCGAGCGACGGAGAAAGGCTTGGCACGGGCAGCGACTTCGGCGCTCGGTCCATCAATGCCTCCGACATGTCGATGCTCCATGCGTGATAACGCACCACCCATTATCTCATCTACCTAGCATTTTGACTCGAATTTTCATCAACTGCTGCGGGCCCGTTGTCTGATAAACGTACAATACGCGGTCAATCGAGCAACGAGCTCCACGCATCCCACAATGGCGAATCCTTCACTACCGGGGCAGCTAGGGTGTGACGAAATAGCGTGCTCATCTGGCCACTCATCAGCCATCATCTCCATAGCACCATGATTGTTCGTTGGCAGTCATGGACTGTGTGGATCCTGCCCCTGCGGCTCTGCCCTCGCGCTATGCGGGGTACAGCCTGACAGCCGCACAGGTACCGTCGCTAGCGGCACTGCGCCCTTTGCTCGACATGCGGAGCCAGAGACACAAATCATTGACTCACTGCGGTCTGGCGCCTAGGTAGGCAATAAATAGACAAAAACTCTGAATTGCCTCGCACGCGACGCCATCCGCAAGAATCAGCAGCCATGGCTACCACCGCGACAACTACCGCCGAGTCCAGCACCGTCAACGTCGCCATGGCCACGTCAGCGCCCGCTCTCGATGACAGCATGCTCGAGCTGCGTGCGCTGGGCCGCTCGGCGGAGAACACCGACAACGACGACGGCACCTCCACCCCGACGTTCCAGGACGCGCACGCCGACCACATCGAGTTCCAGCTGCCGCCCGTCGACCGGGGGAAGGACGCCTGGCTGTTCCTCGCTGCGTGCTTCGCCATCGAGGCGTTGGTGTGGGGTGAGTTGGAGCGTTGCCATTGAGAATTGATGGCTCTGTTGCTGATACGGTAGTGGGCAGGATTCGGCTTTACGTTTGGTGTGTTCCAGGACTACTATAGTTCGCATGAGCCGTTTGCTGGGTCGGCGAATATTGCCGTCGTGGGAACATGTGCGATGGTGGGTTGAACTGACCTTGGCGGTTTTGTGGTGGTGCTGTTGCTGATTGCAGACTGCTAGGGTATAATGTACCTGGACCTGCCCATCGTCTTCCCGGCCCTGCAGGCGTTCCCTCGCTTCAAGCGATGGGCCAGCAGCGTCGGCCTTGTCATCATGTGTCTGGGACTGGCGCTGAGCACTTTCTCGACCACTGTCGCGCACCTGATCATCACTCAAGGCATCGCCTACGCCGTGGGTGGCAGCCTGGTCTACGCCCCTACCATCCTATACATGGAGGCAAGTAACCAGACCCGACGACGGCCAGACAGCGAACACCTTCAAACTAACTCTTAGCAGGAATGGTTCGTAACCCGCAAAGGCTTCGCCTTTGGCATAATGTGGGCCGGGACGGGCATCTCGGGCGTCATCCTCCCCTTCCTCCTGCAATGGCTCCTCGACACATACGGCTGGCAAACGACCCTCCGGATCTGGAGCATCTCGGTGTTCATCCTCATCGCGCCGCTGCTGTACTACGTGAAGCCGCGGCTCCCGCTCAGCCAAGCACCGCGCACGCGGCGCTTCGACGTGACGTTCCTGTGGAGCGCGCCGTTCCCGCTGCTGCAAGCGGGCAACATCCTCGAGGCCCTCGGCTTCTTCCTGCCAAGCATCTACCTGCCGACATACGCGCGCAGCGTACTGCACGCCAACGCGGTCCTCTCCACCCTCACAATCGTGCTGTTCAACCTCTCCAGCGTGCTCGGCTGCATCGCCATGGGCGCCATGATCGACCGCCTCGACGTCGTCACCTGCATCCTCATCTCGACGCTCGGCAGCACCGTCGGCGTCTTCCTGCTCTGGGGCGGCGCCCTCAATCTCCCCCTCCTGTACGTCTTCTGCATCGTGTACGGCCTCTTTGCCGGCAGCTTCACCTCCACCTGGCCAGGCGTTATGCGCGACGTCGTTGTCCGCAAGAACGGCAGCGTCGACCCTTGCTTGGTGTTTGCCTGCTTGGCCGCTGGTCGTGGCATCGGTAATGTCTCGTCCGGCCCGCTGAGCGAGGCCCTGGTCCAGGCGGGTAAGTGGAGTGCTGGTTGGGCGTTTGGTACCGGCTTTGGCTCGTTGATTGTCTTTACTGGGGTTAGTGCTGCGTTGGGTGGGTTGAGCGTGTTGGGGAGGTGCGCGAAGAGGGGGTTGTAGATGTGTGTATATGTGCGTGTGTGGCGTTGTTGTTGCTACCGCTGCTACTGCTACTGTCGCTGCTGTTGATGAGGATATGATATGATAGACTGGTGTTTTGGCCTAGACTAAACTGTACGATACTCTACTGTACTTGCACTCTTGCTAATGTGGTGTGTTCTACCACTCAGCAATACTCATGAATTCACGTCTGCTGCCTGCAAGCACTTGCATATGAATGACCTCAGATAACCTCACTTCTTCCCTGACGTCAGCATGGGTATATACTGTGGGCGCTGTGGAGGTTGGGTGTTGTGTTGTGTGCTTGAGAAGGGGCTGTGGAGGGTTGGGAAGGAGGGATGCTGGTGGTGGGCTGTATTGATGTTGGAGAAAATGCAGTGTGCGTCGGTTTGTTAGATGGGGGATTTGATGGTTTGTGTGGTTGCTTGTGGAGTTGATGCTTTGTGGAGCTGACGGGATGTGTAGTTGCTAGTTTGAATAATTGTTGTTTTGTGGTCTTACTGCTTTGCAGTCCTGCCTCATTGTGGTCCTGCTGCTTGTGGTCTTGCTTTTTTGCGACCTTGCTTCTTTGCGGTCTTGCTGTTTTCTGGGCTCGCAACCAATGCATATCCTTGATAGTGAAAGGGGTAAATGTAACTCCGTCGTACTCTTGTAAGTCCGGAAGCCGTGAAATGAGTGATGTTTGACGATAACAGTGTCCAGATGCTTGAGCGACTCTCCCTATTAGTCACGAAAAGGGAGTTGAAGATCCACAACTGATTGACGCAATAGTTTGCGCACACAGTCGCGTTCTCCTTTTGCTAAGATCAACACTGTTGAGAGCTGAACTCGAAGATTGGTCAGTGTGAGTCCAAGTACACTAGCCCAAGCCTCCTTGGTAGGTCCGGAGAAACACTCACACGGCACTGCCTCCGGGCACAGGCCTCGGAAGGAAGCAAGTTCAAAACTCCGACACGAGGCCCAGACGTCTTGAAAACCCCGCAATCATATTCTCTTTAGCTCCATACAACTTGGCCCAAGCAGTCATCCTTTTGCGACTCCTGACCCAGAACTCTGTCAAAGGAACAGTGAAGGATGATAACTACGTCCAATTAGTTGGGGTTTTGCAAATCATCGTTAGCATTTCTAGAGGCCGAATGTAGTATACGGTATAGGAAAGAAGTGACTACTCAGACCGAAGTGCTTGGTAATTGCACTAGAACTCCTGCACTAACTCTTATCCACTCTTTTCAATATAAGTGTTATCCTGTATGATATAGTGCATCCTCTCAGGCAGCAAACCTTGAGTTGCTCGTGGATGGGTGGCCGTGATGATAGGAAGGCCACGTACTCTGATGAGGATAGAGGCGACTACAGTGAATACGGTCGAATTTCACAAGGTTTTTCTCCCCCTGGAAAACATCTGTGTGAAAAGCTTAATGTTCTGTTGACATGTGGCGATGAACACCGTTGCATCTTCGCTGCCACTGTGTCTCAGATACTTTGTGGTTACATGGGCTAGATCAATCCGTGACAGTGAACTGCGGCCGGCCCTCAAGAGCTGATAGGAATGAGAAACCATCTATCAACGCAAAAGAGCTCCATACAAAGCTGAACGATAGTAACATGGACTTCCTGGTGAACTTGCTAAACCTCCTTGTGCTCCTTGGTGTCTTCTTCACCCAGCACCAGGTCTATTTGCAGTTTTCACCGTCCACGCGTCCGATCGATCGACGACAGCTTGCGACGGCGAACGAAGAAAATAAAACCTTAAAATTCTGGCACCGCCCTCTTTTCGAGGCTATCATGAGTAGTCAGCTTCTTTCAGCCAGCGGCAATCCTAGCTGGAGCAGGTACACCCGGTTAGCGGGCGGCAAGCCACCGGAGGCGTCCCTCAGGGGCCCAGGGTCCTCGATGTGCCAAGAGCCCGTGGACAGTGATGATTGGAGGCCTGCAAGTGTTTTTTCTTGCAGATAGCGCTCAAAGCTGCTGCGTTCTGTTTAGCTGCACCGCCACAGCAGTTTGTGTGGAGGTTAGGGGCGGTAGACCCGCGACAAGGGACTCTAGTTTATTTCGTAGAGCAGAAAAAGGCCACAACGGTCGACGAGAATTCCCTAGCGAAAAGTTCTTTCGTCTCGGGCCCCGTTGCGTGCATAAGCAATGACGCAGCGTTCAAGGCACGTTGTCGGGCCTCGTGCATCTCGGGAAGGATCTGGATCTGCCCCTCCCCTGCTGCGGTTCTGTGGAGAGGGCACGGAGGAAAATTCCCTGCCAGGCTGCGTAGGCGGTTACATTCGGGGCAATTATTGGCACTTGTCATTACGGCCTTAATCCAAAGTCGGGATCGCAGTTTAGTCTGGATGCTGATCGACCTCATTAGGCGAGAGCCGGGGTTGGCCCGCTCGTCTCCGCAAATGGCACATCGCGGACCAAAAAATAACCTCCACCAACCAATCTACTACCTCCTCCATCATCAGCCACAAGTCACCGTCCGCTTCACACCAAAACCTTTGATCTGTGTTGCACGCAGCATCGAGAGTCGTGTGCTTCGGTGATGCGCGTTTTAAGGCCTCCTTCCGAGCGCTTTCTCTCGGCGGCTCCATCTTAGGAGTGACTCGAGGGCCGATGTTCATGTTTGAATCAAAGGCAGAGCCTGCCATGGATGGCACACTGTGAGTTGGAAATAGGAGTCAAAAAAAAAAAAAAAAAAAAAAAAAAAAAAAAAAAAAAAAAAAAAAAAAAATTTCAAGAAAAAATCAATACTAGTCAAAGACAGCCCCAGAACTTGACAGATTATTTTCACCAGCCTCCAAAACCACCTACAGACCTTACTCGAGTAGTATTGCAAAAGCTAAAATGCACGACTTCTAACGGCGAGCCTCAAAGCAATTCCAGGCGGCATCGGCCCTACTAGCCTGCGTCTGGGGCGCCGGGACCTCTTGACGGCAGATCATGGATGCCATGTTCCGTCCCGAAGGCCACGCCTCCCTCATCCGGATCGCTCTCACAGGAGCTGCAGCGACGAGATGAGATTGCTAGCAAGCATTCCCCAATAGGCCCTCCATGGGATTGTGCGTCCCGTTCATCCTATCGATCCTACGGCCTTTCCGGATCCTCCGGACACTTCATAGCACCTCAACGAAAGGCTACTGCACTACCGTTATCGTGAGTAGCAATCAAATTGTCGAGTTTGATAGCCATTCAGTCCGTCACCAGTAGCGTTGCATGTGGGTGCAATGAAGCCTCCCGCAGCGCTTAGGGGCGTGCGCGTGCTTAAGCCTGGACTGATGCCCGAGAGCTAACTTGGTCGTGAAGACGGCTGCTCTTAGCGTCCCGCACTTGGCCGAACGTACCAATGCTTCCAACAGCCCTTTCGTAATATAGAAGATCGCGGACATCTGCTTCCTGAAGATTTATCACTGGATCAGCTCTCGTTTCGTCCGACCCCGCCAACAAGCCAAATATTCTACCTGGTCCCGGCAATTGATACCCTTCTTGCGCTCTTTTTTCGCTCTCTATACCCATGCCTGTCCTTTTCCCCCGCTCCTCCGGCTTCGAGCCGGGGGCCATCGGTCCTCTCATATCAAAAAACTATGTGCCCGAAAAAATCACCACCGGGGATCTTGCTGCCGCATCGGTAGTATGGGGACTTACCGTTGTCTGGACCGGAATCTGTATCTGGCAAGCAATCACTCAGACCAGACGCGCTCGGAATCCTCTAGAGAGCACATATGTCTGGATGATATGGATAGAGCTTTGTGTTTGCTTTGCGATGGGCTTGCAATGCTGGTGCTTCATAATGAAATGGATCCATCCCAGTAAGTTTGTTATGTCAGTTATCATGGAATTTTACTAACAGAGTACCAGGTTTTGTCTTCTACTTTTTCATCTTGGTATGGTGGTGTGTCCAGGTTCAGCTGCTCCTTCAAATCATCATCAACCGTGTGCGCGTCATCTCCTTGTCTCGGGACAAAGCCAAATCCATCATGATTGGTACGGCGATAGTGGTCACGTTGATCAACATCAGCGTTTTCAACGTCTGGATTCCAGCCCGGTTGCAGATTTCTGAAAGGTTCGATCACTCCTTTAAACTATCGTCAAAAACCCCACTAATCATCTCTGCAGATATATCAAAATCAACGAAGTCTGGGATCGTTGCGAAAAGGTCATCTACCTGGTGATAGACGCCGTACTTAACGCCTACTTTATCTCCGCCGTCAAGAAGAACCTCGTGCACAACGGATTACAAAAGTACAACTCTCTGCTCAAGTTCAATATCCGCATCATCTTCTTGTCGCTCCTGTGCGATGTTATGATTATCGCCGCCATGTCGATCCCCAACAGCTTTGTGTAAGTCTCCTATCCAAAGACCGCAGAAGAATGACCACTTACAAGATACAGCTACATTCAATTCCACCCTCTCGCGTACCTCATCAAGCTCAACATCGAAATGACCATGGCTGCACTTATCCGTAAAATCGCCATTTCTACGGCGGCCAAGAGACGCGGCCGCAACACCGCCCGCGGGGAATTCGTTACCGACAGCAAGTCCGGCTCTGGCGGACGGACGGGCGTCGAGCTCACCACAACAACCGCCGCGCACTGCGCCGATCCAGAATTCATCTTCGATGGAAAGGGTATTCAGAAGACACAGGAGGTCGTCGTCCACAGCAGCGTTGCGAACCCGGACTTCAAGATCGCAATGGACTCCGACCAGCTGTCCAACTCGAGCACAAAGGAAGACCAGAACAGCACGCGTATGTACGACGACGATATGCCCATTGTCAAGGATCATTGGGACCCGGAAGGCCGATACAGGACTGGCTGATTTGATTGATGGAGTAATGAGCACGGGATCATTAGTTATGGGAAGAGAGCATCAGCAGCGCGGGACTTGTGATACACAAGAAAAAGCCCTTTTTTCAAAGATACCACTTAAGCATTTCTTTTGTTTAGACATTTAATTACGAACGGTCGACGAGCCGGAACAGTTATAAATCCGATGCAAAAAGCATCGTCTTCAACTCAGTATTTCGACAAACACAAACACACATATGTGACCCGGAGCTCGCTTCCCCTGAAAAGTCTTCGCACACAGTGAAAAAAAATAGCAACCCAAACGCACAACACTGCCTCGTAACAGCGTAATTTCAACTCTCCATTAACCAAGCCAAGAGATCAAGAGCAACGTCGCAACACGTAATTGACCTGCTTCCTCAGTGGGGCCTCCGCCTCAACACCGCGACTCAGACCGCAAGCCACGGCCGACCCGGCGAGATGGGCATGGATGGGAGGCGTGCTGATCAATGATCCTCCAACCCCGCAACACCTTCCCACCGAGATCCGGACCGCGCGTGCCGGGGAGCGATCGATGAGCAAAAAAGTGGAGAGAAAAAGAGACACCATTGGAATTGCCCCACAGAGTAGTAGTAAGGAGAGAAGGCGCGCACATTAAAATCCTGAAAGTACGTGTTTTGGTGGAGAATATACGAGATACGATAATGCCTTCCAACAACGTGCTGCGGGGCCCCTGACCCAGCGCCCTGGAATTGGGTTGCTCGTTTGGTCCCTGGGGCTGAGACAGCCTTCCCTTCCTTCGCACTCGCTCAGTGGCGCACTACCGCATGTGACGGCTCCGCATGCCTCGCATTCACCCTCCTAACGCTTGCGCTCGATTCCTCATTGGCCGTGCCCCGCTGCACCTGGACAATTGGAATCAATTCGTCTCCTCCACGGCTGGGAAGCGTCGCTGCAAAGTCATCCCCTCAATCCTTATCCTGACGACCGGACGAATACCCTTCCCTTCCACCTCCCTGGTTGCTTCCCCTCTTCATCCTCATCCCGTCTCTAACTAAGCCCCATAACGCAATGCCTACCGTGCGTGCACGCTTTTTTTTTTTTACCACCCACCACGCGCACGCCCCCACGGTTCGCTGCGGCGGCGGCGGCCAGCCACGGCGGCCCTGGCTGGCTGAGCTACCTCCAATTTGCCAACAAGCTCCACGCCACGCGAGTCGGGCATCGTTATCCATGAAAGAAAAAAAGTAAAAAAGCAAAAAACAAAAGCGCAACAGCAGGGTACACGCAGGCATAGGTAGAGTATACGAAGATCTCCAAAGCGGCCCAAACCCCGAACGCCTAACCACCACAAATAAACTTATTTATCAAACAAAAAAGCAACACGGTCGAAAATGCATCTCAGCACCAAAATTCCATAACCTACTCCGCATAGACCGTGCAAATAGCAAAACACCTAAACCACGTCCTGACGTAGCCAGCCGCTCCTCTGAGGAAAGGACGACATATCCCCGCGCGCTGATTCGCGCGCAAAATGCCGCCCTACCTAGAGTACGCCAGGACCCGACATTCTCCCACCGCGAGCCCTACCAACTTACCTACATGCAGTTACAGCAAGCTCCTCCACGTCTGGAGCCTCGGACGTCCCGGCGCCTCCTCTGCGCCCCAAACACCGCCGCCGTCTGTCCTATTCCTGGTGCGCCCCGTAGCCGTGCCTGCCGTGCCCGCCATGCCTTGCCGTCCCCCTTCTGCCCAAAACCAAAGCCCTCTCCCTACTCTAGCCCTGCCCTGCAAGCCATGCAGAAAAACTGCCATCCCACATCCGTCTCTCTTCCGACTCCTCCTAGAGTAGAGTAATTCTTCCCTGCACCGACTCGAGGCTGCGTCCGTGGCTTGCGCCTGCGTGCCGCTGCTGCCGAGTAGTGACTGCGCCTGGCTGGCGGACACGGAAAGGCACGTGGGCGCGACAACAGGCGCGCAGGGCTGCCCGGGGCTGTGGTGGCGGTTTGACTGTCGTCGTCGGTTTCGTGGGCGGCTGGAGGTCTGGACTCTGCCTTTTCAGCCCTTTTGCTCTCGGGAGCTGGGATGCTGCTGGCTGCGTGGGGGTCTGGATTCTGTTGCGCGTGCTTGGTTACGAGTGTGGGGCGCAGAACATGATGATGGTGGTGATGATGGCCATGGGAATATTTGATGATATTGATGATGATATTGACGGTGTTGGTGGTTCTTATAAGTGATGATGACGATTAACCTTATCATCTAGGTGGCACGGAAATCGGGAGCGCCCGCATGCTACCCGGAAGTCCGTTTTTAGCGGACCGTATCTCGATAAATTTCAAAAGCACTCGCGAAAAAGGCGACTAACGCGGTAGGAATACTCATTTGAGGCAACATTGGGTGCAGTACAGTGCATGTAATATAATGCTGAGAAACTTGCACTGCTTTGCTTTACTAAACTACATATACAACATGGCCGCCAGCGACACTGTCTTTCGAGCTCACTGCTCTCTACATGAATCCGTTTTCTGACCACGTCCAAGCGTGATCGTCATTCATGCCGTTCCTCTATCAGTTAATCATGTGCCCTAGGCAGCTCTGCGTCTCGCGCTACGCCCGCCTGTTCGCGTCTAATCCAATATTCGTCCATCCGACAGCGCCCGTACCCGCGGACGTCCAATCATCCACCAGCTCAAAAGATCGTTTGCTCAAATTATATCCATTGCGGCCTTTATAAAGCGTCCAATAAACCCAAGTCGAGAATCCCGCGAGAGAGCGTCTCTAACGTTGAAGTAACCATGACGGTCATCCTCGTTCAAGTGCTTCGCGAGATATTCTTTTCCGCATCAGCGTCCGCGACCTTGTCACTGTTGCTGTCCATAAGTTCGATGAGCAGCTGGAAATTGACTGGCTTTGTCATGAAGTGATCAATGCCGCTGGCGAGGGCCTCGACACGCGCGCTAGCGGAGACGAGACCCGTCAAAGCGATGATCAAGGAGCGGTCGATGTTGTTCTCATCCTCATAATCGCGAATCTCGCGAGTCGCTTCCATGCCGTCCATCACTGGCATTGATATGTCTAAATTTGCTCGTTAGCCACCATTCCTTTATCACATATATGGAAACCAGGAGCAATTTACCCATGAGGACGATTTTGAACCCGCCGGACGCGCGCTTGTACGCCTCCAGTGCTTCGAGCCCGTTGGTCGCTTGCTCGTAACTCAGCAGATGCTTCTTCATGAAAGCTGAAAGAAGTCGCAGGTTGATGCGATTGTCATCAACTATCAGAATCTTCGGACTGGTGCGCGTCTCTTCCAGATCTGAAGTCCCTGATCGCTTCAAAGGAGCAGCTGGTGGGGAGGAGGTCTTTTGAGGCGACACATGTGGCCGCCGAGCTGAATGAGGTAGCGAATTGGAACGATGTCGAGATACTTTCGCGGGTGGCGTGGGCTTTTGTTTCGGCTTCTCAACTGGAACCTCTACTGGAACCTGCGGTGGCGTCCTGGTAGGGGTGTTGTCTTCTTTAAGCACTGCCGAGGAGAAGTCTTCTGCGAGCTGGTCCACCGCGAGGTCCTGGAAGGCTGGTTTTAACAAGAAAGTTGAGTCCTCTGAGTTGTTCCTGGTGGCTTCAACGCTTGGTGGCCTGACCTCGTACAACCACTTATCGAAGCGACGAAGGCATTGCTGGAAGCACTTTGCCAACTTGTGTGGGCCACATCTGAAATGTCATTAGTGAGTTGCTTTCAAGCGGAGCGGGAGGTGAACGGGAGTCTGAGGCTAAGGACTTACGGTTGCGTGATGATCTCAACAATGGATTCCGAGCTATTAACTCTTGGATCACCCCGCAAAGTCGACGCCTCCAATGCATCATGAGCGATGAAGATTACCAACGGCACCTTGCCTTGAGGCCTTTCCGAACGTATGGCAGCCAGAAATAAGAAGGATGGCTCTGTACAAATGATGATCTCGGCCTGCTGCGCAGATTCGGAGTCATGCGCGTACAGTAAGAATGGTCTGGCTCCAAACCAATCCTTCAGATACTTCATGAGAGAATCGGTAGTATTACGCAGTCCTTTGCCCTCTGGCGAGTTGGAATCTGTACCACTAGTCCCCGGGTCCACGTAAGGTTCGAGAAGACCAATACTTCGGCCACCTAATTGAAGGCCCATGTCCGATACAGAGGAGCTTCCGTCGCTTGAGGGACTGTCGTGGTACTGTGGTGCAGCCGGAAGCTCAATCGTTACTTTGACCTCTGTTCCAATTCCCTGCTGGCTTTTGAAGTAGATTTTGCCACCCAAGGATCTCACCACCTGTCGAACGATGGATAGGCCGACGCCGGTGCCAGTTGAGAAGGCATCCTCTTGTGAGAAGGGCGCGTAGAGTTTGTTGTACAAAAACTCTTGAGAAATTCCTATACCAGAATCGGAGATTCTGAGTGTGACTCTCGTCCTCGTTTCATCATTATCTGTGCTGACATCCTCGCCATCCAAGGAGAGGCGTATGAAGCCCTTGTCTGTAAACTTATAAGCATTTCCGAAAATGTTCATCATTATCCTTCTCCAGGCGCCACCCCTAGTGACAAAATCCCAGTTTTGTCGCCTTGAGACATCGAGTGCTATGTACACTTGCTTCCGGCCTTCGTCGGCATCCATTTCAGGATTTTGACCTCCAGAATAAAGCCAATCTTGGGAGCGTTTGTGAGCGCCAGAGGCCATGTACACTTGTGGGACAAGTTTGTACGACTGTCCGGCCATGGTAGCTTCGATGACTTCCTCGACCAGAAGGCTAAGGTCCACCGACCTTATGTGCAGATCAGAAGATCGCAAGTTGTTGTTGGCGGATTCGAATGAAAGTGTCCGGGCATGGCCGCCGACAGTTCTTCGCTTGGAATCGCGAGGTCTAAACCTTGCAAGCTTGTTGATTTTTGCGAAGTCCAGGATGTGATCGACGGTGTCGAGTAACGTCTTTCCACAAGTCTCGATTGAGTTTATCATGCCAACCTGGAAAGCGTCCACGGTAGTCTCTTGAAGGAATTGAATACCGCCCAAGATGCCATGAAGTGGAGAACGGAGTTCGTGGCTTATTGATGACATGAAAGTTGTCTTGGTGACATCAGAAGTGATAGCATCCAAGCGCGACAACTCTACCATCACGCTGTTGCCAAACGCTCGCATATATTGAAGGTCTGTACCGGAGAGTATACGTTTCTTATCGGAAGACCACATGAAACATGCCGCAAACCATCTTTTCCTTGAGAAATCCCACAATGGGAGAAGTATGATACTGCGCGCATCGGGGGCGATTTCCAAGATAGTTTCAATCTCGGTTTTCCGGCCGGGTTTTGGTCTGGCTTTCCCGGAGATGTCTTCCGCTGCGGAACCGGATTTGGATTCACAATCGTCTGAAGACAATGCGCCGTCATCATTAATATTGAAGACCTTGCCAGCGGGGTACTTTTTGAGAAGCTTGCTCAAATGCGATTCCGCAAAGGATAGGTACCGCTTATTGGCAATATTCCCGGATATGCTTGACCGGTCCACATTTGAGAAGCCCAAGATTTCGCAATGTTTGATACGAGATTTGTCTCCATTTCGCTGATCGGAGGGTCGTTCGTGCGCATATGTCTCATCGGCTGAGTGATCTACTGACGGCTTGTCGTTTGTTTCGCTAGTGTCCGAAGAACCAGAAATAAGACTGCTTTTTCTTCCGGTATGACCATCACCCTCATCATTTCCCGCGTGGCGAGTTGAGCCTTGGAAAGATGAAAGTGCAGCGTCGAAGATGAGAGTCCCGTCAAGCTCACTTGTCTGGCGGAGGATATTCGCCGCGCGAGAGAACATTTTTTTGGCATTCTGCGGCAACATGGACTCCTGCAGTGTAGGGGATTGAGCCTTTTCATGGTCATCGGACCATGATTGTTCGTCGGGTGGCGGGATTGTGTCAGGAGACGGTTCGTTGCTTGGACTTTTTGGCCTCTTGGCCAGTGAGATAGGCTGTTCCCCTTCGGAGGACTCTGGACGTGCTTCGGAGTCGCCACCATTTGGTGTTTTCCATTGCCATATCTTGTTCGGTACAGGGATTAGCCTCTGCTCTGAACCAGACCCGTCATCGAGGAAATCCGATCCCGTCATGAACGATGTGAGCCCTCGAATCATCTGCTCCCCGCGTTTGTGCTGTTCCTGGGCTTTGGATAACACGAGGTGATCCATGACGGTTGCTGCCGTGTCTTGAAGAAAAATGAGTTCCTGCTTGCTAATGCCATGACGCAGCTGATCGTGAAAGACAGCATACGAGCCCAGAACGGCGCCGGTTGGGCTGCGTATGGGGACTGCTGCGAAGAAGCGAGCATCAAAAGTTCGGCCGAGCAGATTGCGTAAGGGGAAATCGGGGACATCGGCCAGGTCCTCAATAACAACCACATCTTCGCTGCACGACTCGGTGTCGTCTTGGGCGCAATGAGGCAGATCCAACACGCGCTCGTCGATGCCTCTGCGCCTGGGTATAGTAACACTTCCAAGCCATAGGCCGTCGGTCGTTGCGTAGCGAGAGTGGGCGCGCAGCGACAGATCGCGGGTGGCTTCGGCGAGGACCGACTCGATATGGCCATCGATCAAGGAGATCATTGCCCGAGAGACATTGAGGCGGAGGGCACCCAGCTGGGCAAAGGCCGTGAGGGCAGGATCTTGAGAAGGGACGGGGGCGAAATTGGTCGGAAGGCCAGCATTGGCATGTTGATTAAGAAAGTCATAGAGGTCTTGGGGTTTTGCTGGGCTGCTTCTGAGATAGCTGCGACACGACAAGGCCAAGTTAGCAAATCAAGGGCGGGAATTGCGGATCGCAGACTCACGAGAAGACCTCTCTCTCCCGCGCAGATTCGCTTACAGGTGCGCTTGTCATGTCCGCATCAGCTCAGCCACAGAAGAATCTCGGCAAAGAGCATGGACTTGAAGAGGTAAGGTAGTGAGCAGATATGGGGCGCGGCCGGTAATCACGGCGCCGAGAAAAGTCGCAATTGTCAGTTGCGGGAAGTAGGTAAGGCGGGGTGGCCTGGCGGGTGGCAACGACCGTGGTACCGGCGTCGCCACAACGCGCGGATCATCCAGATCTTCTCGACGATCAGTGGGCTGTCGGAGGTGCGACCGGCCGCCGCAAAACACGCTAGATGCTGCTGGAAAGTGCCGTGATGGATAGGAGAAAAGGAGACGGAGAGAGAGGGAGAACGAGAGAAACGGGGCAGGATAGCAGTTGCTCCCTCTCTCCTGTCGACGCGACAATGCCAAATGCAAATGCCTCTTGGCTTTTTGCAGATCGTTGGCCGCCAAGCCGATTCCTTCGCCGGGTCGCTTTGCCGGGGCTTGGGGGAGTGCGGGGCGCCTAAGCCTCCAGCTGACTCGTGCTGTCTTGATTTCCTCGCCCAATGACTACCTTGCGCAAACCACCATGATCCTACGACACACTGCTGCCCGCATGGCACCCGCCAACCGCCTCATTGCCATCATCGGCGCCACCGGCACGGGCAAGTCGCAGCTGGCCGTCGACATTGCCCGCCGCTGTAATGGCGAGGTCGTCAATGCCGACGCCATGCAGCTGTACACCGGCCTGCCCATCATCACCAACAAGATGCCCGAGCACGAGCGCGCCGCCGTCCCCCACCATCTTCTCGGGACAATCGCCCTCGACCAAGAGACCTGGACCGTCACCGAGTTCGTGAGCCGCGCGCGCGACGTGCTGGCCGACATACATGGTCGGGGGAAGGTGCCGGTGCTGGTGGGTGGGTCGCACTACTACGTGCAGAGCCTGCTGTTTGAGGAGACGCTGGTTGACGGCGGCGACGAACGCGGCGACAGCAGCGCCTTCCCCATCCTCGACGAGCCCACGCCCGTCGTCCTCGCGCGCCTACGTGAAGTCGACCCTGCCATGGCCCAGCGTTGGCACCCCAACGATCGCCGCAAGATCCAGCGTTCGCTCGAAATTTTCCTCAAGAAGGGCAAACCCGCCAGCCAGACTTACGCCGAGCAGCGCCTGCGCAAGCAACAGTCCGATCCCGATCCCACATCCAAGCTCACCGATTCCAGAGCCCCGCCGTCGGGCATGCGCTACTCCGCTCTCCTCTTCTGGCTTCACGCTGACAACGCCTGCCTGCGCGCCCGCCTTGATGCCCGTGTCGGAAACATGCTTGACGCCGGACTGCTCGATGAAGTCGCTGAACTCGACGCGCTCCGCAAGCAACGCGAAGCCATCGCCCCCGTCGACCTTTCTCACGGAATCTGGGTTTCAATCGGATATAAGGAGTTTGAGGTATACCAGCATGCGCTAGCCGCTGCAAATGGTAACACAACCGGCAAGGGCGGAGAAGTAAGCAATGCTCAGGCCAAAGAACTTGCGCTTTTGCGGGACGAGGCAATCGACCGCACGCGCGTCGCGACTCGCCAGTACGCGAAGCGCCAGATTCGATGGCTACGTATAAAGATGCTGCGGGCGCTGGGGGAGCAGGCGCGGCGAAGCCTGTTCATCCTCGACGGTACGGATGTTAGCGCCTGGGACACGGCGGTGAGCGCACCAGGCGTTCGTGTCGCGCAAGCGTTTCTGGCAGGCGAGGAATTGCCTGATGCATGGGACGTAGTCGGCGCAAGCGAAGAGGCACGTGCGCTGCTTCGGTTGTGTGAGCAAGGTGGCGAAGGCGCAGAAGAGACAGGCGTGGGTGTCAGGAGGGAATGCGAGCTTTGTGGAACGATAGCTGTTACGGCTGCTGATTGGGAGAAGCATACGAATAGCAGGAAACATAAGATTAGGACGAAGAAAACTAGGGATATGAAGGCGAAGGAAGTGACAGACGTGGTAAGCGGTCCGGACAAAAAGGATGGGGCTGGTCGGAAGCGAGAGAGAGAAGAGACACCCGACGCAGCTGTCAAAGAGCTTGAAAGAACGCGATGAGTCCAACGTCAAGGTTGAGGATGATGCGAAATAAACCTTTCCTCACATACATTCACGCTTCGATAGTAGCGACGCACGCCACCCTTGGATGACAGTTGTCCTCTCGACCGATTACCGAACACCTCAGCGACAGCCGACTATCATCGGGTCGCCAGCTGTATTGTCGTACACTCATTCATCCTTCAGCCATCATCACCCGCCTACCAAACTCACTCTGGTTGACTATCGACCAACCATCGCCTCCGATACTCCCAGGTATATGGCGCATTCGAGTGTGGTCTAGAAAAGCGGAGCAGGAAGCACGGAAAAGGAAAAGATAGGCGAGCGTGGAGAAAGGGCAGGGAAGAAAACAAAACGGAACCCACACGCCCACATTAGCATAGCAAAGTCGCCCCAATCGCAATTCAGCCTCCGCTTCGCGGCTGCCTATATGTGTCGCAAGACAGGTCGGTCATCGCTGCTTGGTTGTCGGCTGAGTGGTAGGCATAGAGCGGAACGGTAGGAAAGGACGTCGAGTGCATCGCGGCGTGGTGTGTAAAGCAAGATGCGTGAATGGCAAGGGAAAAGACAATGCCGATACGCGGTACGCGGTGCCATGCTGGACATAACGATAAATCAAAAGAGACGCAAATATGGAGAAAGACAGTACCTTGACCATTATGACCGGATTGGACAATCTCTTTCTATGCTTCTAAGCATCAACAAGTGCCCAATGGCATCCATCGATTCCTTCCCGTATCTTCTCGACGGACCAAAGCTCTCCTTATACATTTCATGTCTCTCGGCAGCCATCTTCAGTGGAGGGAATTTATGGAACTGGTAACAATTTACAAGAATTCACGGGAGTGCCAGGTCCAGCCCATCTCGGCAATATCTGTGCAAGCAAAAAGGTTTTTATCTCAACAATTTAAAGCTATGAGTAAGAGCTATGATAAAAACAGCATTGGGAAACGATTGCTATCTAGAGAAGCTGTGCTAGTAAAGCAGTGGTCTAATAAAGCAGTGGCCTACAATGACAGTGGTCTAGAAAGCAGTGGTTTACAATGGCAGTGGTCTAAGGAGATCAGTCAGCGAAAAACGAAAAGGCAAAGAAACCATTGGTCAGCGCTTAAATGACCAGAGGAGAGATGTCAGAGTCAGTACGACTAGTAGCCCGAAGCCGGGGTACAGGAGGAGAGTGGGCTGAAGGAGCCTCAAGGACTCTGTCCGCCAACTGCTGCTCCGCCTTCATGGCCTTCTCCTTCCAGTAATTGAGCTCGCAGGTCTGGTTCCCATAGGCCTGCATCATCACGTTGTGCCTGTATTGCCAATAGCGAGCCATCGGAGGCTCGCCCTCTTCAACGTCCGACTCGCCTTCGCCCTCGTCAGAGTCGGAAACACTGGAGGCAGTATCATCAATAGGAGACGACTTCGGCGAAAACATGCCGCAGAAGGTGGGGGATTGCAGCGTAGGACGAGGCTCTTGCTCGGCAGCAGGCCATGCCCATTGACCGAAGAGGGCCGACGCCGCTGACTCCACATACGCCTCTTCCAGTTCCTCCGCTGACATCCCCTGCCTCTCATTCAAGTGAATCAGTTCTTCCACGGAACGCGTCAGCTTCTTGAACAAATCGCCAGAGAGACTCTCTTGTGTTGATGACTGGGCCGCCATGGTGAGTGGGTTGAAGAATGTCGTCCTGATAGTCGGTGAAGGTATGGTTTGTAGTTTTGTGTTCAAGATGTCGAAGCTGACTCTTTCGTTGCTGCTGCTGTTTGTTGGTTGAGTTCCTACTTTTCCTAAGCGCTTTCACATTGCTAAAATAGTTCTGGGGCAATGGTTTCGTTTCAATACAATTACCATTGTTCATTGGCACTTACTACGTCTAACATTGTTCATATGGCGTATATAAAACTCTTATTGTCTCCCATTGGCTCAATTCTTTGTTTGTTTTCTTTGTTTTGTTCCTTCGTACCACCTTCTGTCAAGCCTGGTTACAATGGTTTGGTTAATCAGCAGCTTCCGACTTTCGAGATCATGCATGCCAATCATTATGCAATCCATGTCATTTCCCGGACATGCCATTGAAACCGAACACAGATTATCCGTGGGGGCGGTTATTGCCTGGCCCCCAAACTACAATTGCCGACCCACTTTTTAGCCGTCTGACATGGCTGTGCAAATAAATTTACAAGCGACCCTCCCCGCCTGGGTTTTTGCAAAACAACCTCACTTCTCTGCCAATGGGACACCTATCGAAAATGAGCGCGAACCTGGACTTACTCCCCACCGAACTTGTCGAACATGTTTGCAACACCTTGGAGACAACAGATATTTCCCGTCTACGTCTGGTCTGTCGACAGTTATCCGAGAAGGCGAGCCGATCACTTGAGCATGCCTGCTTCAAATCAGTTTCAACATCATTATTTCCGGAATCTCTGAATCGTGTCCGTCAGATCTTGCAGCACGAACGAGCCAATCAAATCATACGAAGCTTTACCATTTCAGTACCCCGCAGTTTTCCATGTGAAGAAGCATGCTCAGAGCATTTCCAGCTGGTCCAAACCCAAGGTCGCGACAACTTGCCCCTAGGTATTTTGCAACGCCTGCCAGGGAATTGTAGGAAGGCACTTTTCTCAGCAGAAGCAAACAAAGCTTTGCGCGAGCTCTTCACTGACGGCAGCCTCCCCAACTGTCGCTCGTTCACCATTAAGGGCACCTGCGATGACGAAACCTTTTTCCCCACCATCCACGGTAGTGCAACGGACGCCCTGCTCGCCCTGTTATCTCATGTTTCCGAATCTCGTAGGCCGATAGAAGCTTTCACCCTAGAGCTCCTTCACGATGAAGCTGGTGCCCTGGACCCGGTACGAATACCAGCAAGTTGTTATCGCAACCCGGGATTTACGGAAGCCTGGGGTGGCAATCTTCGGGAACTTTGCCTTAGCTTCTGGGATGACCGAAATCTGGACCCTATAATCGGGTTGATAGCATCCGCTGTAAATCTTACAAAACTCGAGTTGCGCACAACGACATATACCGGCTTCGATAAAATTTTGAACGGCATTTACGCTTATAATCAGTCCTGGGAGCCGCCGCTTCGCCAACTAAAACTACAAAGATTTAAAGACGTTAATCCAGGTGGCTTTTTGACATTTCTTCTGTCTTTCAGGGAGACACTACAAGGAATCTCTCTCTCGTACATGACTCTCAACTCGGGAAGCTGGCATCAAACCTTGTTTACCTTGCTTCATTGTCACCTGCATCTGGACAGCATTTACTTTCTCCTGCTGTGCGAGACGTATCCTGATCTCAATTACAGGGTTAGATTTTGCCCGGTGGAGAGTGAAGACCTTCCGACCAATGTCCCGCTGAACCTCGACAGCTGGAGGCATATATCCAAGAACTTGGTCATAGGAGCGAAAGGCCTGAGGTATGAGGGACCTGAGGTCGCCGCCGTCTTGAGGTATTTGCTCAGCACTAGCCATGTTTACGATCCTCACCGAAGCATAAAGAAATCCTGGACGGAATTGAGAGGAAGCGAGGATTGAGGGCTGACGCGTGCTGGGGCTAAAGTGGATGGAAGTTTGTTTATCAGGGCTAGTTTATGAGAGGACACATGGCACTTCTTTGACATCGATGTTTCAAATGGTATCATTGCCATGCAACACTGAAACACACACAGACAAATCAATCACGTTCATCGCCAAAAACTACATGGTTCAACGTCTACGAGATTCTTCCTAGGTATGATCGGAGAATGTCGCAAACGACGGTGCCAGTGCGTGCCTAGTTGGACATGTGCACGACGAAGGTGCGGGTGAGTCCATCAACACTGGTGCTTCTGGATGCCGGGAGTTGTTGGGGAGAGTGAGCGAAGGAAAGAGAGGTCAAAAGAGGGGGGGTTTATAGTCGAAGATCGAAGGGTCGTTGCTGCCGTAAAGGGATGTTTTTCAATCGAAGCCTCTTGCCTTTCCCGGACTTTCGCCTTAAGACGGGAGGCAGCAGCCACAAAACAGAACAGTTTTAGGCTGTCAGTTCTGTGGTCAGGCATTTGCGACAGTGGCAAAACTAGATAGGCACGCAACAGGAGGTATGTTTGATGTGTCACGGAACGCCATCATAATCACCCGGCTCGTACAAAACTAATTGCCTGTCACCATTCACTTCAAAGGATTAAATTCATGGCGCCTACAAGATTCATTTCCCGTCTCAGCCGCATTCATGAAAGCATTTCCTAAAATAATCAGTGACAAATTAGGTACTCAAAACTACTGTTAGACCTACTAAGTATTGATCTAATTTTCCTTTTCTCCTAGTCTCGTCATCGAATCCTCCGCGAAAGAGAATGTTCTTGCGATGCTGACGCTTTTGCACATTCTGTTTGCTACTATTAGCATGTTCGATTTTTAGCTTTAACGTCAAACTTACCTTCTCCACTGTATTGTTTACAATGTATCGAACAATTGTAACTGCGTTTTTCTGCCCAAGTCGGAGAACACGCCCAATGGCTTGGTTCTCCACGGATGGATTCCATTGCGGCTCGAGGATATGTAGACGGTCCGCAACAGAAAGGCTGTTCAATCTGGTGGAACCTTTAGTAAAACAACAAAAGGGTCAAAAGTTTGTTTGAATTCTCACCCCACTGCTCCGGTACCCAGTGTCATGAGGAGAACTGTAGTGTCGGTGCTTATTTGGAATTCCGAGAGAACACTTTTCCTTGCACTCGACGATAACGATCCATCGACGCGAAAATATGGAATATTGTTGTCCCTGAGCAAGTCGCCAACAATATCGAGTGTCCTCTTCCAGAAACTGAAGACAACACTGTATTAAAGGTTAGTGATTTATAGACAAGATTAGGTTGTAAATGGTGACGCTTACCTTTTGTGTTGCTTGCGGTGCTGTAAGATGTTCTCCAAAAGCACAAGCATTTTCGTCGGGTAAGTTCGTCCGAAAGCACTATGGTGCCGTACAGAGTAGGTGCTTTCAATTGACTGTCGGTAGTGGTTGTGAGTTCCGTGGCACAGCGGGCATGGAGCTTCTTCCTGATCTTGGTAGCCGTTGAGGTCATTCCAGTACGTATCCAGGCATTCACCGCACACAAGGTGACGACATATAGTAACAATCGCTGAGCTTGGGTCACCGGAACCTCCAAGGGACACGACATCGCATGAACAGTAGGCGCAAGTTGCGTCTCCGGCCTGTAAAAGTGAACTGAAGATCTCATCCGGGTCCATTCCGAGCGAAAACCCATGTGTATCCATCGCTCTTTCTCCATTGTTGCAGAACAGGCGTAGACGTAGCAAGGCCTCTAGAATGCTTCGATGTGCCTCCTTGGTCATTCGTCCGTTCACAGCGCTGACAATTGCATTCTTACAGGTCTCCTCCAGTCGCTGATACTGAGCTCTTTCGGAAGGAGTGAAGTCAATGCTTTGCCAAGTCTCAGTCCAGTTCTGTGTATCCCGGTACATTGGAAGTACTTTTTTGGGACGCCGCAGACAGATGGAACCTAACAAGCTGCGGAGGTTTCCAAAAGCGTCCTTAATAGCTCCTTTGTCGAAAGTCTTCTTGGTAATGAACTGACGGAACGTCGCTCGTTCTTCTAGAATTGGCACCCTCAAGAATTGTACCAAAGCACCAAGGTCGTCAAGGGAATTCTGAATTGGAGTACCACTCAAACACCATCGGATTTGAGCAGAAATAGCAGTAACGGTGCGAAATTGTTTCGTCGACCAGTTTCGGATGACATGGGCTATAAAAAGTAAGCTGAGTACCGCCTACAGTTACTGACGGAGCTTATGTCCTTACCTTCGTCTAGAACTAGACGATACCATGTGATGTGGTGGATTATACTACGCTGACGGCTGAATTCAGAAGTGATAGTGCCATAAGTTGTTAAGACAATATCGTTGTCAACAAGCGTCGAGTATTCCACTTCTCTGCCTTTACCGTGGTATATATAAAGCTTGATGGTTCCAGGAAACAGATGCCTAATAATTATTAAAAGGAAGCGTATACGGTTTAAGAAATTAAGAGGATACCCACTCGTTGATTTGATCCGCCCAGCTGTCGAGCAGAACTGCAAGTAAAAATATATTTAGAGACGCTAGCTGATTTTCCACATATAGACAGGAGAGGAAATTCACTTACGTGCAGAAGGTACGACTATCAATGTAGCCTTTGAAGTGAGTGTAAAGTCACCACCCACAGAAGAACCAGAAACGCAAGATTGCGAAAAGGAGCCTGCAGAGTTCTTTGATCTCAAAATTGCTGCGATCATTGTAAGTGATTTCCCAAGGCCCATCTCGTCCGCTATCATTCCTCCGCGTATGTCGCTTGGGATCGAGCTTTTGGCACCTGTGATGATATGCTGGAAGCTGAGTGCTTTTAGTTCTGGGTCGTTTAGTATACGATAGAAATGAAGCATACCATTCAGAGTTTGGCCCAATGGTCTCCCACATATTGCGGAAACTCAGTGTAGCCTCTGACTCCCTGAGCCTAATGAATTCCAGAGCTTCTTCTTGGTGGCTACACAATGTCAGTGAGTACCGACTTCTTAAGGGCACATGCAACTTACGACAACAGCGCATGCTTCATATGTATATCAGATGCAGCTTCTCCAAGGTATTCGTGCTGAGAAAACTCATCCAAAATTTGATCAAAATCCATTTCATCTGGGTCCATCGCTGGGTTATGGTCTTCTCTAGCCATGAGCGTATCAATTTGGAGATCTGTTGAGTGATATTGATCGAAAACTGCTGGTGGGACCACTTTAGAAAGATCAAAATATTGAGGATTTTCATACGGAGCCTGAACAATAAATAAATGGGGTTTTTGTAGAAAGAGGCCCGATTTGGAGAGTTGTTTTGCAATATCTTTTGAGTGTTCCCGTGAGCCGTAAAGGTGAACGCCAATATCTATACATCGCAGAGGCGCTTTCTGTCTAGTAGTAGGTTGCTTGGCGTTCCATTCGTCCCAGAGAGCCAGGCCTTCAAAACCGATTGTTCCGATCTCAATCAATGTTTTAAATGAGCGGAAGCATTTCATATTGAGCAGAGCAACGTCATCGTATTGAGTTTGAATAACACAATGCTCGTCACGAAAGTCAAATTTCAGTGTAAGGTACGATTGACCGTCAGGGCTTCTGATGGGCTCGAGTGTGTTTTCAGATGGGATCCAACGAAGCTGAACACTGACATTGCAAACCTGTGGTAACAATAAGCCGATATTAGATATGTTGTTGATATAAGGTTTCATGGAAGAAAAACAATGAGAATTCAAATACCCACTCACCAAGCCGTAACAGATTTTGGTTACTGCTGAGGATGCCGACTCTTGGCTATTCTCAGCTGGGGTATAGCTTGCAGTGAAGGTCTCGCAAAGGTTGCCGCCGTTGTTCCAGCTTGGTTTTGGAGAAGAGCGCTTTGAACATGCGTCAAGTAGTGAGTTATCTCCAGGATCGGAAAGGCTACTCCTGGAGATATTTTTGTTCCACTCGTCAGGTAGATCCGGTTGATTGCGGGGAAAAGGACGTAGCGGAGAGATATCGCCAACAATGTTGGTTTCTTTCGGCGCCCATCCATCCTCGGGAATAATTACCAGCATCGAGTTCTTATCGAGTGTGTCATGTGAAGTTTGAACGACGCTAGGCCTGGAAGGATGTTTAGTTGATCGGATATCTCGTGACTCTTCTGCATCGAAAACTAAGGGCCGCTTCTTTGTATTCATGACGTTGGTCTTAACCTTAACGTTGCTATTTTGTAGTTGGGTGTTGATGGTAGAAATAAAACATAACAGCAGATTCCATCTTTAGAAGGTCAGAGTGAGAGCTCGAGGATGATTTTCATTTTCAGCCCCCATGACTGGGGGCTGTGCATAACTTGGTTGCTGCCTTGACCGAAGCGAACCCCATTGGCTGCCTCGTTTAAGCCTGACATGTTATGACGCATGCACTGCGCCCATTCAATACTTGCAGCTAAGGCAGCCTGGCCCTGGAGGCAGCCTTGCGAGTAGCTTTCTGCTGATGCTATTTAGTCACCACTCCCCCCTCTTTGCTTTCAGTTTTTCATTGATTTATAACCTTCTGCTCCTTTTTTTCCACGTAGCCCATCGCATCACCAATTTACCCAGTTTTTTCTAGTAGAGTCATGGACACTTCACAAACATCCCACGCAATTGAATTTCAAAAAGTGCTTAAAGCCTTCAAGTTAAAAGCAAATCTTAGTGCAAATGAGGAGATGGAGTTTAGCTTTACGACTCTTCAGGACCTTTACAACGCAATTTATAAGATGCAATCTCATCACGAATCTACTAGGAAAATGGTTTACATGAAAAGGTTGGCTCCCTTCTTGGAGACCATGGAACAGTACGGTAAAGTCATCGAAATTTTCACGAATGCAGCAGACGTCGTTGCGTTTATATGGGTATGTAGTAAAATATTACCTATGTATCAAGATTTTGTTATTCACTATAAAACCTAAATCTGACTGCGTTAAGGGCCCTATGAAGCTTCTATTACAAGTAAGTTTACGTACTTTATTATACTACCTAATATATTTCACTAATTAAACGAACGTTTAATGTCTACCCTACTGACTGTAACCCTGCTCTAGATTGCTTCGAATTTCTCTGAAGCTTTAAGTAAGCTCCTTGATGCATATGAGAAAATTGGAGAGAACATGCCGCAAGTGCAGCAATACCAAAGCCTCTTTCAAGAGAGCCCTCATATGAGGAAGGTTTTGACTATGATGTATGAGAATTTGCTGGATTTCCACCAAGAAGCATTGAGATATTTCAGGAGACGAGGTATCATCGTATCACACATCTTTCCATGCTATTTACCGATACTGACAGTGAAAAATAGCATGGGATAAACTTTTCCAAGCCACTTGGAGAGGGTTCACTTCTAGAATTGACGAAATTGTGAGAAACATGCACCGCCATCAGGACCTCCTGCATACCCAGGCAAACATCGTTGAGTTTGAAGAGATAATCAAGATTAGAGCGAAGATCGATGCCGATTTCCAAATCTCAAGGGAGGAACAGCAAGGACGCCAGCGTTCGGCCATCCAACATTGGCTATCCGCTGCAAGTTCAGAGGTAATCCAAGAAAAAGGATGTGAAGTCAGAGCAGCCTGCCCAAGTTCAGGGCATTGGTTCTTGGCAGATAGCCGGGTTTTGAAATGGTTCAATCCAAACTTTTGTACAACACCACTGTTGTGGTTGAACGGTATTCCGGGAGCAGGTTTGTTTCTTGGAGGAAACGCTTCCAACAAATGTACTGATTGCATTAGGGAAAACCGTACTAGCCTCACTAATTGTGGAAAAAGCCCAAAACATTGGCGTAAACATCGCATTTTTCTACTGCAAATACGAGGATACAGATCGGAACTCCTTTATAGCCGTTGCTAGAGGTATCCTTTCGCAACTGCTACAGCAAAATGAAGACTTGGTATCATCGTTCTACGAAAAATTATCTCGAAGCGGTGAAACAACGCTATCTAGCGCTAAACTCGCAAAAGAGCTACTCGATCTTGCTTTTGGGGCTTGTGGCAAAACATACCTTGTACTTGACGGGCTTGACGAGTGCAATAGAGAAGAGCGGAGGAAAGTTTCGGAATACTTCCGGAATGTTGTGTGTAGTCTTCCTCGGGCGGATGCAGACCGCATCCGTTGTCTTTTTGTCAGCCAAGATGACGGTTATGCAAGAAAAGATCTAAAAGACATTGTCTCCATCAAGCTGACAGCAGAAGATAACATGGAGGATATCAAGAGCCTCGTTCAAATCTGGGAAAAGAAAATTCAGGACAAATTTCACTTTGATACGACTGGGCAAGACATTGCCAGGACGATCACTGAAAGGTCTCAAGGTGAGATATGCGTTTTAAACATAATTCGTTATTTGTTTCCATCGACATAACTGCAGCTGACAGAAATCCTTTCAAGGGATGTTCCTGTTTGCGACATTAATGGTCCAACATCTCTATAATCAACCAACTCTCAAAGATCTACAGCAAGAGATTCAACCAGATACTTTCCCTCGGGGGCTTAATGAAGCGTGAGTTTCAGATCAGATGTACTATATTGACACTGCTTATTCTTCTTTTTAGGTATGACAGGATACTAAAACGCATTTTCGACGACAGTGTATCATCTCAGCAAGAACGCAGTAGTAAAATACTACTCGAGTTGGTTGTCTGTACAAAACGGCCTCTGGCATGGCATGAAATTCAAGGTGCAATATCAGTCGATCTCATTGAGCGGATTGTAGACGAGACACGCCGATTAACGGGTGACTGGAAAGATTGGGGGAGCTCTCTACTCGAGCTACGCTCAGATGAATCTGTGGACCTTGTTCATTCGTCTGCGAAGAAGTAAGTAATAACTTTGCACCTCCATCAATCGTACCTGCTAATCTATGTTACTTCAGATACCTAATTGAGAAAGGATATGTCAAGACTTCCGAAGTTGATCATAATCTCAACATGAAGTGCTTGGAGTATCTTTGTTTCGATTATCTCACTCTCCCAGTATTGGAAACATCAGACCCGGACGTCATAGAAAATGTTGTCTTGGATGGATATTTCGCATTCATGGAATATTCCGTAGCTCACTGGGTATCTCACTTCGAAGCTGACGTAACAACTCCGGGCCACATTTGTCTACTGGAAAACCTGGAAGAGCTTGTAGAAGACTTCCTAGATATTCACTGGTCGAATTCTACCGCGGAGCACTTGGCAGTCTCCAACACAATGCGTACCAAACTGGAGCCATTGCGGTCTTGGCCATCTTACGATAAGTTGACACAAGCAATAATCTTCTCAAGGAAGCAGCTTGGGTTGTTTGGGAGAAACCCGTCGGATGACGATGTCCTCGGCTTGTCTCGTGTTGTTTCAGGAGTTCGACAGGTACTGGAACGTACTGCTTTATCTGCTCAAGCTCTACCCTCAACTCACACAAAACTGGTCAGCATGTATGGGTCGAAGATTTTTAAGTGTCCAAAGATCAACTGTCGATTTTTTCATATCGGCTTTGATACCCAAATACAACGAGACCAGCATGTTGCCAGACATGAACGAGCATTTCTCTGCACAATCGAAGGCTGCCCTGGCGCGACTCTCGGCTTTGTCACCTTAAAGGTCTTGGAGAAACATTTGCTCGATAACCATGATATTGATGATACTGACGAAATTGAATTTCCCAACGTCTCGACACCTGCTGCTAAGCAAGGAACTGGGGACATTCCATGTCCGGAATGCGGAAAGAAGTTCACTAAATCCTACAATATGAATGCTCATCTGAAGGCGGCACATCAGAATCAAAAAAGGCATTGCTGCGATGAATGCAACAAGAATTTTGCCAGACGCTCCGATCTTTTACGACACATGAAGTCGCACTCTGGCGAGAAGGAACACGAGTGTGGTGGACTGCTAAAAGACGGAAACACTTGGGGTTGTGGAGCAAAATTTACTCGTGCGGACAAGTTGAAGCAGCATCTACAGAGCGACGCGGGTCGCCGTTGCCAACAACCTTTATTCGAGGAGCAGGCCCAAGAAAAGGCGGAGCGACAAGAAGCTGAAGAGCGGGAGCGTATTCGAGCAGAGCAAGCAGCCTTGGAGCTTGAACGTATCAAAATCGAAGAGGAGGCGGCTCGGGAACGAGCAAAGATAGAAGTGACAGCACAAGCAAGAGAACAGGCTCGCCGCCATGCAGATGCAATGGCAAAAGAATGGATGCGGATACAGCAAGAAGAAGAAGGACGGAAGAAAACATTCAGAAACGCACAAGAGCAGAGCTGGCGCGATGCACTTGTGAAAATCCCTGCTATCACCGGCGAGCCACCCTCCCCACCAAAAGGCTCAACTCCCTTGCCTCCTTTCTCTTCACTATGTAATGCTTTCCCTGATAAAGAGTTTGATTGAAGAAAGATAGTTTTACGCATATTACATAACCATAGTACCTTGTGGCAACACACCTTCTACAATAGCGAAAATTGTCGTTATGTGCTTTTAGTTGTGGAAAAACATGTGGGTGGACACTATTTCTTTATCTACAGCACTAAAAAAAGTGCAGGGTATGGCGTTACTTGTTCTTTTTTTCTTGCCTCCAGAACGCTCGCTAAGGCAAACATCAAGACATGATAGCATAAACCATACTAAACATTTGAAATAGAACATAATGAAAGGGTGAGAGGAGAATCAGTCGGCGTGGGGGCATGGATGCGTGGGGGCGTGGGGGTGATAAACGGTTCCATTTTTTTAGGAGCTGTTTTTGAAGGGCGCAATATTTTCTAAGCCAATATTTCCATTTTGGGAAAACATTTGGGGGTCATGACCTGCACACATCCCACGCCAAGGGAGTGGGGGCAGTGTACATACATGTTTGTAGCTCATACCTCATCTACAGAACGTCCGCATTTATCCATGTTTTTAGGGAATACTACCTTAGCACGACAAAATTTGACCACAGCAATAGAAACATGTGTCATCTTGCCGTCATGTTGTAGATAAAAAAAAGTAAGTTTTGGAGCGGAGGATACCAAAATAATACAGCCAATATGTCAGTCCAATGCTAACAGTACTGAGCCACTCATTCTCTCACAACAGGCCTCAGTCTAACCATCAAAGGCGGCTTCATCCACAAGAACAACACCTTCTGCTCCGTCCACTCTTTACTCTCATCACAAAGCTCCACATCAAAATGCCACAACAGATACGCCATTATAAGGCGCATCTCATGGTATGCAAGACTATCATGTCACGACATTAGTATTTTTCCGGTGCTGCTTCTGAGCTTTCAGTGAAGGAGTGCGTACTTCTGGCCGATGCAATTCCTTGGTCCAATTGAAAACGGATGCAGAACCTCTTTGTCGTCGTTCGCAAAACGTGCGTCGGCTTCCGTGCCTGTCAGCCAGCGCTCTGGGATAAAGTCATCAGGAAGCGCAAAGTTGCGCGATGAGTGGTAAGCGGAGTATTGGTGGAGGCCGACGGTAACCTAACAAAGTATTTCTATCAGCACTGTCGACTAGGACGATGAAGATCATTCGCTGGCTATAGGAAGCGTTTCTTTTTGCAGGCACTCAAACAATACTTGAGCAATGTGACAAAATATGCTATTCTTAACTGGCCGCAGGCTTTGTTGCTGGTTTTTTAGATGCCTCTCGACCGCAGCCAAGTTGAATCTGGGTGAAGGGGTAAAAAAGACAAATCGGGTGGCGAAGGTTTGATTCTTAGTGGCACTGATAGTGTAAGACCTTGTCACTTACATTTCGGGGCACAGTCCTTCCTGCAATAGTACAACCTCCCCTTGGTGTCCGACGAGGCAAGCCTGCTGGTGCAGGAGGGTATACCCGTAGTGCCTCCTCCAAACACGCATGGAGATACTTCAGCTGCATCAGGCCCTGCAGCGTTATATCTTCTTTCGAATGGAATGTATTTCTGATTTCTGAGATCAGTCTGTTCATTTTCTCCGGGTTCTTCAGAAGATGGAACGTTAAGCCCGATAGTAGCGTGGCCGTGGTTTCAGATCCTGCTAGCATAAACGTCCCTGCATTTCCATGCATCTCTTTAAGGGTAAGCGTTGCTTGTCCGCCATCCTTTGGAACAACGAGACCCCAGATGTCCGGCCGCTCCGTTTGCCGCTGAAGTCGTTTGGTAACGCGCTCGGCAGCGTAGCGGAAGTGATCATCTCGCTTCTTTCTCAGGCTCGGTGGCAGTAGATGAAGCAAAAGCTTTACCATCGTGGGGAAGTAGAAGTGAAGGGTGCTAACGAGGCAAGCATATTTGATTGCATCGAAAGTTCCTTTTACCCAGACGTCGTAGACAGAACCACGTAGCATCTGCAGTGGCTCACCAAAGGTAAGGTCTGCCATGATATCGAAGGTTGTGAAGTTGTACATGTCGACTATATTGACCTTTTCGCTCGTGCCGCTTTCGGCTCCGTCTCGCGGCGAGGATTTCTCAACTAATTTTTCCATGAGCAGTTCGGCATACTCCAGGAAGAGATGTTCCTGCTGCTTTAGTGCACGGTCTGAGAAGGCGGGCGCAAAGGCACGACGCTGGCGGGTATGATTTGCCTCATCAGCCACAAACATGCCAGTGTCCTCTGGTGGTGACCCGCCGTAAGCATCGGGGTCTTTTTGTAGGATCGGCTTTCCGGAACTTGAGTGGCTGTATATGTCTGGCAGTTGGTTAGCAACAACGAACATAAGCGTTGTATACAGCACGGCATTTTCAGATAAATATTTACCTTTCCACGCATGGCTAGTAGTAAAACTGAGTTCACTTGGACCTGTACGGACTACTTCACCGTATCGGTCGTGCAGCTGGCGTAAGTAGAAAACGTCTATGCCCTTCGTGCGAGTGAAAATTCGTGGAAAAGAGAATGCAGCGAGGATTTTCGGTCCTGGAAAGGATCGTAAGGGGTGAAAATAGACATTGTATACACAAGATCCGATGAAGTAGAGTGCCGGGTAGCACGTCAGAACAATAGGCGAAGACTTGACTGATGCAACTTACTATGGTCAATATCCCTACCGCTGCGGTATTCAGTTCGATTAACTCAACGATCATGCCGAAAGCACTGACGTGATAAAGTTGGATAATATGAAATGGATGAAGCTAATAAGACGTGAGGCGGGAAAACGTTTATGATAGAGTAGGTATTTGATAACTTGGGCAGCGGCTGTCAGTCTTACACGTCGTAAACAGCCGAGCCTTCCGCTGCGTCACGACTGGCACTGACAAAAGATGAAGCGAGTGGAGTTGTGGTCTCATGTTCAAAACAAGCCACCAACAAGCCCCGCAGTTGCGACTGCTGCCTAAAAATCCTACTCGAGCTCTGCACGTGACGTCTTTCAGAATGGACATGCTTGCGAGTCAAATTTCGAGCTTCCAGCTTGGAGCTTTGGAAAATATCCGAGGCTGGTGACTAATTATAGGCAGAGCTGCATATGAAGTAGATCCAAAAGAGCCATGCCGTAAATGCTTACGCAAAGAGGTTGATAGATGCTCACCATGACCTCAACAAACACCAAAAGGCCTCGATGCCAATGCCGTCTTACTAGAACTGTTTATATAGTCGAGCTCTTTTTTGGCTTATAATCACCATAATCAGCGACAAGGGCACCTGAGAGAAGAATAGGGCACCGGAAAAAAAGTGCCGTCACGTGAGTTTTAGCTGGAAGACGGTTGGGCCGAAACCCTGCAATCCGGCCCTGTCGCTGCACGAGACATGATGGACAGAAACTTCGATGCGACAGTTTTGGTGGGAAGTTGGAGCGTAATGGATGAACTGAGGAGCCTGGAAGTTGAAAGCGGAGAAGGCGTCTGAGAGCTGTCCACGCAGATACGCTAACCAGATTGGGTGGTGTAGCCCTGAGGACCGAACCGTTCCTCAAACAGTTTTCATTAGTCTATCTAATCATGATCACTTGATAGACTATTTCCAGGTACCTGCATTGTCTTTGGCAAGGGATGCAGCTAGGCCCTATACTCCAGTCTCGTTGTAGATCGGTGCAACAGTAGCAGGCCAACTGCAGCGGTTGACGCCAGACGAAGACGACTGGCATGTAGCCTCTTCGGGCTTGTACGTAACGCGACCGAATTTGCGGTGGAAGTAGGCCACACTAATAAAACAATGAGCAGTTATCGTTTTGAGGATAATGAAAGGAGCACTGACCCATCAATCACATCCTGGTAGCCATGTACTAATTCCAGATCGAAATCCGTGCGGTTTTCATAGCGGGAGTAGTACCAGCTCCAGAGGGTTGAGTTACATGGGATCTATATTTGATAGTCAGTAAGTAGAATACCTGATGGAGGAGAGCTCTTACGGGTCCATGCGGCCAACCAGCTGAGCCTTGCTCCCAGCTCAGCTCGCAAAGGGCGGTAGTGTTGTCGGCCGTGTTGTCCGGCTCCGAAACCTGGAAGCGGCAGTGCTGGAAGGAATCGCCTGGTCTGCCACTTGCAGAGTTGGCCGACATAGTACTAATCTGGAATGTCTTTGCTGGCTCATCGCCCTGGGCAGATACTGTGCTGCCAAGAAGAGCGAAAACGCTCAGAAAGCTGGTGATGTACATCATTGTGTCGATTGAATGGTTGTTGATGGGTTAGGTGGAATCGGAACTGCGTAAGTGCCTTTTATAGCTAAATACCTCGCAACTAGGATGCCTGAATGAATCAGAATGATTTGTAACGGTACGAGACGGCTGAGTGGCAATCTACGCCTAATCACACATTTATCGCCTCCTCCTTCCGATTATATGAAGCCACAGAAGTGACGATGTTGCGCAGATACGAATATACGAGCTGTTGCGACCCTCATTCCCCGCTCTTTGTGTCCTGAAGGCAGCTAGCGCTTATCAGAAGGCAGCTCAAATTCCTTGGTTTGATGCAACGGACCGAGAATTCTTTATACGGTGGAGGAAACATGGTCGCATGGGACGATAATCATCTCGCCATTGCCAGACGAGAGCTTATTGTTGTACTCCTTTGCATTACCAAGAAATTCATCTTCGAGTGAATGCAGCAAGATGCATTGTTAGTCATCGTCTGGTTGTATTCTAAGGCTTCACAGCTGTGACAGGGTCAGCGTGGCCTGGTGGTGGATTGTGGGAAGATCCTGAGCAGACTGGTCCTATTTTTAAACGATCTCATGCAGGTGTGCGGAGTTAGGGCCGCGGCTGTATGCAAGATGACGTGATTTCGCTCAAGAATGAGCGTCATTGCTCCTCACTTGTGGTTGCCTAAAAAACTACACAATCACGACTGTAACTCAGTGGATTATTCTGACCTACGGAGTACGAGCGCAACATCGTACAGTATGGCTCATCCAAGAACAATCTCTTTCCACTCTGATGGCCCACCAAATCCGTTCTGAAATGCCGCCGCAAAAACCTTGCCGAGAGCGACGCGAGTCCAAATGCCGTTCTTCTTCTCTACCAGGAGCACGTAAAACAAGTTCCATTCCGATTGCCTTCTTTCCAGTGGAGTGTAATAAGTCCAAGCGCTACGTTCCTCCTTCGTGAATTGTTTTGCTTCAGAAAGTGCCAGAAACTCGTACTGGTTGGTATCCCAGCTTTGTTCCGAAATTTTTTCTTGTTTTGCCGCCCAGGTGCTAGAGACTACGGTTGAACCACATCAATCTCCGGAAGCGTCCGCAACGTTGAACCTATGCAGGCCATTGTTAGGACTGTCTCGGTAATCCAGAGTTTGCGGACAAAGACGGAAGATGGCTGAATGGGTCCAGAATTGCAAGATGGGAGATTCAGGATACTCCGTTTCTTTCTCCGGTGTAAACTCTGCCATATTAACAGTATAAGGGCTCTCTGGAATAGTGCGAGAAAATCTGTTGTCTTTGTCTGGAACATGTGATGGGGTGCAGCGACTATACAGGTCACGAGAATTCCTGTGATCCGTATGATCAATGTCAGGTACACTCGTGTTTTCCGGGTTTTGTTGGTATGCATCTCTGGGAAGAAAGCGGTCTTCGCCCAAAGGCATTGGCGGTGGTGGTGATGGCCGTGGCCGTGGCGGTGGTGGTGCCATTGAAGACCTTCTAACGTGTTCACGGTGTGAGTATCTCTCCTCAGGCCTGCTGTAGCTATTCCGGGCCCCCGGGGCTGTGTCTCGAATCGAAACAGGATTTAAAGCGTGGTGTACTTGTTCACCTCTAGAGGTAGACGTACTAAAACTATCGCTAGAGCGTCCTCGGACTTGGGAAACCATAATTGGATCGTTCGCAAAAGTCGCGCCTCTTTCTCGCGTTCTATGCTCCCGTTCGACAAGGACACGATGCTCCCCACGATCATAGACTCTTGCCTCTCTCCTCCCGTCACCGTCTGATCCCTCATATGTATGAGGATAAGAACTTATCTTTTCTGGACCGTAGGAGTGGCGGTTCTCGTTGGTATTGACTTGATCATCAGGGGAATAACGGATAATGGTAACTCGTGGCTCTCGTTCGGACTTATAGCCTTGCCACTTGAGATTCGAGCGTCTGTCTCGTAGGGCCAAATTAGAGTCCCAGACGGGTCGCAGCCGACCACGTCCGTCGCGAATGTACCATCTGATCCACGTATGGCATTCTAGCCAGTGTCGAATATCTCCCAAGCAATCGTCTATCATGCTGTTGGTCAAATAATCTATGGTTGCGCCTTCCCAGCCACACCAAGACCAACTCGGAAATTCTGAATTGCTACCACGGCGCTTAGAAGCTTGTAGCGGAACCCAAAGCATAGCGAGGTCAAAATGAGAACTTGGTAGGGCGAATATCATTGGTGAATTGAGTGCTTCTTCGATGCGGTTAGACACACCATTGAATGCCGCAATGACGTCGTCTGGGCTTGAGAGATTTCGTGAAGAGTACAGTGGAATACAACTCATATAAAACCATATAGGGCGACAGCTCAGCTCACCCAAAAGCTTAAGCGAAGACTGCACAAGATCCTCAGACATTGTAGAAGATCGGCACTGGAAGAACACACGGCCTTCTGTGAAAATGAGACAACGTCGAGAAAGCAAGCGCTCTTGGAATGTCCATGCTCGCGTATTCCATTCGGATTTTCTGATGCTGGCTTCGGCCAAACGACACCATCAGATGCACACCAGGCGCGCATTCAATGATAACTTGCGAGTTCGAAGGTTTGCTTAGTGCTCTCAGACCGACTGTAGCATCTTTCCCGTCGGCAGCGCAAATTTTCAAATCCGCATTGCCGTAAATTGAGTCCATGACTTCCGCGTTAAGTTTCCAGGAGCTTTTGCTGTCTTGGACAATGCAAAGCGAGTCGATCCATAGATACCGATAACCAAGCCGACGAACAAGCTCTATAAAATCTCGGATGATTTTGGGCATCCGTTTAAGAGGCTCTTCCAAGCCTCCTGGAAAAAGCCGGCCCAGAAGGTTGGTATTGACAGTCGTCTCGGTATTCTTGCCACCCCAAACGTAACTTAAAGCGACGTATGGCTCCCTTTTGTCTCTTTCAGTATCAAGACTGTTGACATCGTATTCAAACTTATACGTCTTCAAGTGGGTAGATGTTTTTTGAGGAAGAGCGGTCAGACACATCTGCTCCACATCAACGACACCGAAGTATGATTGTTTGGTCACCTCTTGAAGGGCTCTCCTGTCCTCCAGCGAATGAAGGCATTTTTTGTGGTTGTTCAGGCATTCATCCAGCCAGCTCTTGATCAAAGTTGCTCTACTTGCATCTGACAAAATTCTTCTTCCGAGAAAGTGTGATTCCGGCTGCCAAATGTGCCGCGCATCAGAACTAATCAGCTTAAACTGGACCGGGGTTACCAAGACGAGATAAGTATCTTCAAATATCCCGTCGCGCCATTGGACATGAATTCTCCGAGTGCGCGCTTTGACTGTCGATTGGTCTTTTCGAGCACTTCGACCGTCAATCTCCCAGGTCAAATAACAAACGGCGTTGAGTTGCTCCGCGGTCATGCAACTACTGTCCACCTCTTCCGATTCAGTAACCGATTGAGAAACAAGGCCGCAAAATCTGCAGACGTCTTTTCTGCTTGATATCTCCTCATAGGTACCAAGAGCATAGCTGTTGTTTGCCGATCGAGGAGAGAATATCGAGGGTAAGCTTTCTCTCATATAACTGCTCTTTGTCGGCATGACGCGGCTCCGAATCAGGAACTTGTCGATCTGCAGGTCGATCTTCGAACAATTTTTACAGACCATCTACGCTTGTTAGGATTGAATGTTGCTTCAGCGCGCATGCGTATATTTACTGTAGGAGTGTTAGAAGATGTGAAGCTGGGCGCGAGGAATTGGACGCCGCTTGTCCTCCTAAATTACTACCACCTATGGGGGTATATATGCTGCTATCTAAAAGAACACGTTTTCTCTTTAAGATCCTTATTTCCTTGCAGTGGATAAACGTGTGGTGTAAGGGGTAAGGCTGTAGTGTAACAACTGACTGTAATAAGGCTGAAAAACCGAGAGTTATCGGAGTGATCCTGGCTGACAGAAGACAATCTTATACCAGAATTCTGAGCAAACCTTTCACTGGAGTCCGGACCTGCGTGGCATCCCGGTTATCACGGTCACTAAAGAAACCTGTTTGGCAGGCTTAGAGCTCGGGTCAGGACCTGTGTCCATTTTTGTACTGTTTCGGATTTCCCCCGTGATGAATTTTCAATAGGAATTGAAAAGGGAAGAGAAAGGATATGATAGTGGTGCGTCAGCAGCTTATGGCCTTCGCTTAGCTGCATTGTCAGCCGCAGCTGACATGTCATAAGCGACGATTTACCCGGATCACCGGCATCTGATTGTTGCTTCTTTTTGCAGTTGGTTGATTGAAAATTTAGGCTAAATCGGACGCTTATTATTGTACAATTCGTTTGCTTTTTGTTTTAATCAACCAACCATACAATGGTTGGTCTTATGATAGTTGTAATTGGTCCGAAGTCCAGCAACCACATTTCTTGAGAGTGATCATATATATCATCTGTACATCACAGAACTGTAATTAAATAAAGATATAATACTTGCTTACTATAGCTTTATTAACACACACTGTAGTTTCATAGTAGGTACAGTACGAAACTTTCTGTCAGCCAGGATCACTCCGATAACTCTCGGTTTTTCAGCCTTATTACAGTCAGTTATTACACTACAGCCTTACCCCTTACACCACACGTTTATCTACTGCAAGGGAATAAGGATCTTAAAGAGAAAACGTGTTCTTTTAGATAGCAGCATATATACCTCCATAGGTAGTAGTAATTTAGGAGGACAAGCGGCGTCCAATTCCTCGCGCCCAGCTTCACATAAACCAAATACGTTACGTTGAGTTATATAACATGCTAGTTACAGATTATATCCGGAACAAGGGTTATATGAATATATCGGATAATGAAGGCGATTATGCTAAAGTATCTTATATAAAAATTCGATGTTAGTGCAGACCTTCAGAGCAATTTAATGAAAATATGAAATAAGAATGATTTAGCCTTATTTTGATAAGGCTTGTGTACATACTGATGAGCTACAAAAGAAATAATACTCGGATGTCAATGAAATTTGCTCGGGAGCGAGCACTGGTCGAGACCACCGCCAAGGCACGTACCGCCCCCTGGCCCTCTGGCCGTCCGGCGTTCGGCTGAGGTGTCACATTTGATGGCAGCTGATCAGCCACTAATAGTTACTCTGTAGCGTCACGAAGGATAACCTCGAACAATGCTTTAAATCTGCATCAGCGGTTAGATTAAGAGGCTGCCCTCAGTAACCAACGCATGAAGATACGTGATCTTGGGATTGCCTAGTCGTTACTATCCAATGGCGTCTCAAATTCTGCTGGTGTGGTAGTACAAACTGGAGATTGACCAGGGTGGCACACGCCATGAGCAGGACTCCCGCGTCATGGGTAGTAGAAGCGGGATCCAGATAATGCATATGCTCTGTACGATGTGAAGGAAACCATGCATCGGTGCGGCTTCTCCGACGTGTTTGTCTCCTCCCGCATTGCATTCGCAGCACTCGACCCGGGCTGCTTTCTCCAGTACCCAAGCTTTAAATGGACCCACCTGTAGGAATTGTGCAACATATGGAGCCTCCCGACCCTACAGGAACCTACCAAATTTCAACAGTACATAGTAGCTTAAACAGAAGTATCCCTTGGAGTCTGGTCAAGTCCATGTCCAACTAGTTACGACGTGATCGACGTCGGCTCAAGTTGACACCGGAGTTAAGATGCTTGCAAAATGCGGACGCATGCTGATATTGACGTACCTTAACCACTGAGGCGAATTTTTGGCGGAAGTGTCGAGGCATTGTTCCAGCCTGCTGGTCAGGGATCAGATATGATGGTGCAGCCAGCCTATCGTGCATCTTCCCAGATCTTAGATTCGCAGAGCTTCTTCCGCATCCAACAGTGCGACACCACGCGTCCTTGGAGCTTTGGCCTGATCTTGTACCCATCTTTTTTTTTTTCCCACTAGACCTTCCAGTTTCACGCCTACTACTGCATTTTGCAGGACCCCGTGTCACTACAGTCACTGGGCGCCGACAGAAGTAACAGACCAATGCTACGACAACCGGCTTTGCACAGCCGGTGCCACTAAATGTATTTGGGCCAAAGAAAGAAGCATAAACTTGCATTGCATGGTGCAAGTATCTTGTACCGGGAGGTGCCGGCGCAGATGGAGATATAAGTATCGCTGGTCCCCGCTTCTGTTCTTGTGAGGACAAAGAAACATCCAACGTCAGCGCACAGAAACAGTGAAAGCGAAAACACAACGCACAAATCTACTCTAAACTCATTGCTGCTTCACCCATCCTACGAGTTCCCTTTTTTAATTTCTGAAGAATCAAAATCCAATCAACAAAATGTCCTTGAAACCATCAGAGCCCAACAACTCCTCCACTTCCCGGCAATCACCCATACCGGATACCAAGGACTGGGTAAAGGCATCTAAAGAACTCGAAAGACTTAGGCTTGATGATACCTGTCGAGAAAACGAAGTGTACGTAAGATCATTTGCTGTAATCCCCTTGATAGGCTTCTGCTGTAACTTCAAAGACTGAAGTTTCCAGAGCACACAAAAACGCAGGCACAGCACTAAAGGCCGAAACGGTTGGGCGGCTCTGGGAAGGCATAACAGAAGAGGATGAGCATCCAGAGGGATGCATGTGTTGGACTGTTGAGGCTCAATATCCCTCAAAGATGCGGTCGCAGATATGATGGTAGTTTTAATAGCGCTGAGTCTGTTGTACCTGTAGCTGTTTTATTGCACTGCTACTATGTTAGAGCTTTTTTCTTGGTAGTTTAAATTATCAATAAGAGTCTTCATATCGTTCAATCTGCTTTAGACGAGCATATATACTATCCTTGCTTTTATTCCGTCAGAGGTTTCAAGTAACCGGAGTGACTACATTAATCTACTTGGAGGCGCGGTGATTGTTGAATATGCAGAGCAACAAACTAACGCCTAATTATCTTTTAAAGTGTGTAAACAACATGCCATAAAAGACTGAATTAATTTTTTTGAAGTCGAAATTTATAAACTTTATTACATAGAGTGTAACTCAAAGCGCTATACTGAGAGTAAGGACCCTGATCGACATTCGATAAGGTACACACATCGCCTTGCTATGTTTATGAGTTTTTGCTGAGAGTAAGGAAAATCAGCCTTGAGAGGTAGCACACGGGGACGGTAAGTGGTCCGAAGCACCGACGTTTTCCCGGACCGTCTTGAGCTCGGAGCTCGCCACCTCGCTCGCAACTCAACAACCACCCATCACCTCATCCGAGGCTCTATCCAATCTATCATGTCGTTCATCATCAAAGCTGCGTCCAGTATCATGATAAAAATTTGGCATCAGAACCGACCTCTCTGTGTCCCATTCAACAAGTTGTCTCTCGCTCCGACCGTCGTTAGAGAGAGCTGACTGAGTTTCGAGGGATTGCTGGAGAACAGGCCGGAGCCAAGCCTTGGCCCTAAGCTACAAAGGTAAAGCAACTAAACTCTACACGTGACCATGTCCAACAGGTACCTGCTGTGCCTGAAAGACGCAGACGAAGATAGAAGTATCTATACACTAATTTCAAGACAGGTTGTTTGCGCTGACCTTATTTTCTTTCATAAGAATACAGGCAAATTTGAGCGATGATGGCTCTGATCAATTCACGAATCGGATTTAATACCTTTTTCGATTGTACGGATCCGTACTGCATCGGCTATTTGTCGGCAGTGCGGATACATGCAAGTAAGCTCACAAATGGCTTCTCGATTGGCTACGGTGAAAGCACATGTTTCAGCTGATCAACTGCTGCCTTGCGCCCTCGTCGCGTGCGGCGGACGAGGCTGAGTACAAGCGACGATGTGTGAGATTTACTTCAGCTCGAGCCCTCACTGCATGAGTACTCTTATCGTGTACTCTCATTTTCGCCATTGTGCAGCCGGCGCATGCCATTTGCATTGCTATCGTTATGGAGCCGTCTGCTTCCAACGGACACGATCATGCAGCGGAATCCAACCGTCAGTCGCGTCAGCGGTCGCAGAAAACTCGACAACCGCAATGCCCAGCTGAGCAATCACCAAGGGATTCCAGCCCATATGGTGACCTCGGTTGTTTCGATCGTCAGGATTCTGGTAACTTGATTGACCTTGACGGCGATAGGAATAGAACAGAGTAAGAAAATCTCACTCACCATGGCCGTATAAAGAACTAACATCATTGGAGGTTACAAAGTCTATCATTCACTGTGCAGCCAACATTGTTGGACCTCGACGACCGAAGTTCCGATCAAGATTACCTGTATGAGCCACCCGGGCAGATAAACGACGCGGCAGAGCAACACACTTTTCCAAACACATGCGAAGGAATCGATTGCGACAGCCGGTTGATCAACTTCTGTAACCCATGCAGTCTCGTCTTTTGCGACTCATGCTGGAACAAACAACCGCAGCATAGGCCGGGCAGGCGAATACCGCTTGGAGGATGCCATGAGAAAACGCCCATATCAATAGCTTATAAGGTACAGAATGTCCTCGATCCTCCAGAGGACGAAGCCATTCGGGAGAGGTTACATCTTAAAGATGAGGCAACATCCTGGTTTGGGATGTACAGGCCAGATGATGGACCTCCTCTATTCCAGGACTACGGCCGATTCGTCGACCTTATGGCAAGCACCGAGGAAGGAAGGTCTGGGGCATGGACTGGGTTGGGTAATGGCAGAGCATCTGGGGCAACACGAGATCTTCGAACGCCTAGTCTTGTTTCCTTCGTTGGGGAAACAGGAGCAGGGAAAAGCACGTTGATCAAGCTTCTTATTGACCTCAACGCAGAAAGCCATGAGGCATATCCTACCCCAGTTGTTGGCGCCTCTGGCGTTAACGTCCCCACCTCGGAAGATGTCCATCTTTATGCCGATCCGTGCACAGCCTTCAGCGAGGAGCCCATTCTTTTCGCCGATTGCGAAGGTCTGACTGGTGGAACACGAGAGCCTCTAGGTGCGGTTTTCAGAAACAAGCAAAAGAATTCTTCAGCATCGGATTCAGCCAGTCGTTCTCCCCACAGAGGGAGGCCAGTTTCGGAGAGGGAGGTCCTATGGGCAGACAACGCAAGTTCGAGGACAAGAGAGTACGCAACGCGGTTTCTCTATCCGAGACTTCTCTATACCTTTTCTGACGTTATTGTCTTCGTCCTCAAAAATCCCCGGTGAGTCCAAATGATCCAATCCATATCTACTCGGTAAGACTAGAGTTACTCATTTATCTGTAGTGTTGTTGAAAGTGTGTTTGAACAGCTTGTCGAATGGGCGGTGGCCGCATTGGAAATGTCGTCTAACCAGCCGGTTTTGCCTCACGCCGTTATCGTCTTAAATGCTTCGAGCAACGACCTTGACCCTTTACTATGGGAGCCTGAAGTTTCCACTGCGCAGATTCTTGAGTCGTTATCGAGAACGGTGAATCAGAATAGGGTCTTCAAGAGACGGGCACAAGAGTGGCGTGAGCGAGGAAGACAAATCGAAAACGTTGAACAGCTTATGCGTTCATACTACACATCAGTCTGTGTGAGTACTACGTATATTATTTCTCATCTTCAACTGCTTGACAATTCATAGATCATCCGCATTCCAGCAAAAGGGCGACCAAACCTTATCCAGACGCAAGCGCAAAAGCTTTACAGCAATGTCTTGGATGCTTCTGCAGAATCACGGATGAGGCGATCTCAGCTACGGATGCTACTTGATGTTGAAGAGCTGCAATCTTACCTTGACAACGCGTTTGACCATTTTGCAAGGACCCTTGACGCGCCTTTTGACTTCGTTCAGGCATCTCTGGCGAACAGCCCTATCCCTTTGAATTTTGGAGGTAACGTCCTCAAATTAGCCATCACTCTCATGAATTTTTGGAAAAATGAAACGGATGCACGCAAGATCTTTGATGAATTCAGCCATATGGTGGCATCGTGTATCATGTTTGATTTGACACGAAACAAGAGCAAAGGTATAGTAATTTCATTGATCATGGTGATGATTATATGCATGCGCTAAGTCATTCCTGTTAGGCACGGCCGAATCTCTCTTTCCGCCTTACGTCCCGCACCTTGATGCTGCTCTCGAAAACTTCTGCAACAGCCACTGGCCTTGTGAATACACCAAACCAGGGAGCGAAACTCGCTGTGTGAATGTTCGAAGCGGCCATGCCAAGGGACACCAGGACAAAAATGGCAAGGTTATAGCTGTTGGTGATTACTGCTCCAAATTTTCATACGACTCATACCATCAAGCGTTCCAGATGAAAGTTTACCTCAAACTCAGGGAACTCCTTAATTTTCTTCAACTGAAAACTTTCGACGGGAGGCAGGAAGAACACAAAGTTGCCGCCATAATCCACCGGGACGCCGTCATGACAAGCTTTTTCCGCCGTTGCGCAAGGGGCAAAGACGCGCACTTTCAGAGTCACACGGCGTGCTTCTGTTGCTTGTTCGAAATCCCCGAGCACTCTTTACATTGCGGACATATCATTTGCTCGCCCTGTGCCCAAATATATGGCTTTACAACAGAGGCCAAGGAGCTGTTCGTCAATTGTCCGCTTTGTGGGGACAGGAAAAACCCATCACCACCTTCAAAAATCTGCCTCAAGCCAGCAACAGCCGGCGTGCGTGTGTTGACGTTAGATGGGTATGTCTCTTGAACGACACTATGAGGAAGCTCTTTTGGATATACTAACGTTATCTCGTCAGCGGTGGTATGAGAGGTATTATTGAGCTTGAGATACTCCGTCTACTTGAGCAGATTTTAGGTGGAAAGTTGGCAATTCGAAACTTTTTCGACTTGATTGTCGGAACGAGGTACGTTATAGTAGGATAATGTTTGTGTATGATGCATTTGCTAATGTTTTTCCTCTGCAGCACTGGAGGCCTCGTTGCCCTAGGGCTTGGCGCCAAAAAGTGGTCTGTCAGTGAATGCATCACTCATTTCGAGCAGCTATGTTGTGAAGCCTTCACTCCACGCACGGGTGGTGGTGTTCCACTTATCGGTCGTCTCATCAACAATTATTATCACTCAGTGTACGAGACAACGCCGCTAGAACGCGCTTTGGTCAGCGCTTTTGGTGACGAAGATTACCTATTTGGCGGACCGCGAACGGCTGAATCATTGGATGGATGCGTAAAGGTAGCGATAACATCAACTGCAGCAGCCACCGGTACACCAGTTGTTTTATCGAACTACAATCGCCCAAGCATGGAGAAAGGTCTGTGCTACCGCTGATGTTTTCAATGTATATGACTGAGCAATTTCTAGCATCCTATCAATTCCAAAGACCGGAAGCTCTTTCATCGGAGTTGAAGATATGGGAAGCGTGAGTATTCACCTCCACTTGATTTGCTTGCTTGTTAATATCCATGTAGGGGAAGAGCTACATCGGCTGCACCGCGGTTCTTCAAGTCGTTTCATCATGAAAATTCAAAACAAGTATATCTGGATGGTGCTATATACTACAACAACCCGATCGCAATCGCAGACAGAGAACGTCGACTTATCTGGCCGGATTTGCCATCAGATTCGCCAGACATAGTTCTCTCTCTTGGTACGGGGGCTTCCCCTCATGCTCGATCAGCCAAAGCAGCACCAGCTCGGCCAGCTCGGCCATCTCGGCACGGTGTAATTGCCCACGGATTGAATCTTGTAAAGATTGCTAAGGATCACATTGATTCTTCGTTGGACTGCGACAAGGCTTGGGACGATTTCATGGCCGTTTTGCCAACCTCATGGGAATTTTCAAGGTTTGTGCGCATCAATCCCGAGGTTTCAAAGGTGCCGCGCCTCGATGAAATCGGTAAGATGAAAAGCCTCCAAGAGACTGTACGCACAGCTTGGAGTAGTGGAAATGGAGGTGCACGGCTACGTCAGATCGCTCGTCGTCTGATTGCTACCATGTTCTACTTCAAGCTGAGAAAGCCTGTTGGAGAGGATGGCTTGGTCAAAGGTATGTGGCTTCAATAACACCACACCTGGCGAATTTGCTAACCTTTTAGGTGTTTTGTTATGCCGCCTACCTGCAGAGTCTGATGAGATCCACGAGCTAGGTGATCTCATTCAGACATGGGCGTTCGCCGAGCAATGCCCGTTCTTCTTTGTACGAGAAAAAGACTCACCTGGCAACGCCCAAAAGATCACCTTCGACGCACCCACTCTAGAAAGGATGATATTATCTAGGCGGTTTCGTGTACCAACAGTGGAGCTAAGATTGTCTAACAGACTTGCAGAAACTGAAATCCATCTGTGTTTCAATGATGGAGAAGTCTTTCCAATAAGCGGTTTCCCGCGTTCTTTGTTCAAAGAGAAAGTTGGAGAGCACAATGGCGGTAAGTTATGATTTTCAAAGAAATCATACAGACTGGATCAACTGATTCAAAGCAATAGCCATTCGAAGAAATCTTGATATTACAGGCTCCAGAAAAAACCGATGGGTAACGCAGCTGAGTCCTCGCCCACGATGGACACCACCAGATGAAAATACATTGAAATCTCATCAATCGATTTCCATTTTGGAGTACCAGAGCAACCAATCAATTCCCGAACTCTCAGATACCTCCATAAGAGCAGAGTCACAGACGGAGCAACTTCTTCGATCAACACCTGAATCTGCACCGGAAGGTACTTTAACATCCGGCTTCGTGAATACATTACGCAATTTGGTTAGAGGGTCAAGGCCGCGAGTTCCTGGTACAACGGAAAGCAGCTCTGAAGATCGGTCAACGAACCCGACTTCCGATGTGGAGGCCACCCGAAACGAGACAAATTTCGTCCCCGAATTGGATGGAAGATCTATCGTCAATAGCGTAAAAATAATACCTGGGATGTTCGAGGTGCTAGGCGATACTGCTCAAGCGGTAGAGCTCTCTATTGATCCACCTTCCCATGCCTCTACGGCTCTACCCGACTACGACGACACAGAAGAACTTTACCGTTTGTCTCCATCACAACGACTTAGTTCCAATCCATCTACTTCTTCATCAAGAGGGCAACGGGAAACATCCACACCGGCGACATCTGCGACATCGGGATCAGAATTAACAAACGTAGTTACCCCAGCCGGATTTTATGGCCAGCCAGAGGCGCAGGATGACAACTCAAAGTTAGAAGCTGTTGTCTCAACAGCAACCATAAGTCCCAGCCACATCGACTCGTCTACTTTGATCGATTACCCGGGACGGTACGGAGAGCAAATCTCGATGCCGTTGCGTGGGAAACTTATCCTCCGGATCCCAAGCAAAAGTGACGATGCACATGCGGACAAACCTCCTCCACATGATGAGGCACCACGCAGATTTCCTCATCCCAGTGTCCCTTCGGACGTAACTGATGTGGTGATCTGTACAATTTTCAACAATCTGTACAGTCTGGACGACATGGAAGCGCTTGCTCTCGTCAACAGAGGGTTTTATGGTGTATTCAAACGATACGAACATAAAATTGTACGAACTGTCTGGAGAAACCAAAAAAGGCGTTGAGAGCCGACAAGTCCTGGAGAACTGTTACACTTGTCTACTGCATCAAACCGCACGCTTCGCATTCTATCGTTCATAGCCCTACCTTGGGTCTTTTCTTCATTGGCCGGCGCTTCCCAGCCACGTTTGGCATTCTGTTGGTTTGACAAACCAGTTAAGAGTAACTGAAGCTTAAAATTTCATGCTGGCTTCTTTATTGCTTGTACCACAAGGCAAATCGGCTCAATTTCTTTGTACTCTCTTACAATAATCTTGTCTTTACCAGGAAAGTTAGCTTTGAGGAGCGTCTTTGTCTTTTCCCTTAATTATATGCTTTAATTTATCTCCCGTTTTACTACTTTTTTAAGACAAACCACGCATACGTTGTATTTGTTTGCAGACGAGCTCATTTTTCTTTTTATGTTGAAACTCGCCTCCGGGGTATTTCAAGAGTATTTCTTGCTACCAAATTTTTGAAAACATGTTCGAAAAACCTACACAACTTCCTTCTCCGCTCACAACCATGGAAACTTGCGAGCAGATACAAGTGCGATACCTCAGAGTTATGGAGGAAATCTTCCGGCTGAGAGCACTACATCATCCTTCCACACCCGCCGACTCAGCCGCGACCAGTGAGAAACCCAGGCGAATAGGCGAGACCTAGAAATTATCGAGAGGATAGGTGCCAGGAACAAGGGTATGAAAGAGAAGGTCACAAAAATGAAATGCTGCTCTCAACTCTACGCCGAGAGCCTCAATACTCAAGGTGATTATGCTTTGATGACGGGTAAAGGCGACGTAAACGACTTGAGCATGGCAGTCAGTGTTGATGATGGTACCGCGCCACCCCGAGCCTGCCCGATTCTCAGCATCGATACAAACGTTCCTCTTGCTAAGGATGACAATACCGCACAACGCGAGGCCTGCCCTATGCTCCGTATCGTCACCAATGTTCCTCGTGCAAAGGATTACAATAGTTCTCCCACTCACCTGGGCCGCCCAATGCTCAGCATTGACACGGATGTTCCTCAGGTTTTGTATCACAGCAGCCCTGAGTGCAATGACGACCACACTTGGTTCTCACATGGATCAGCGAGGACTACGCCTACTTCTGTGTATGCGGAAAGCCCGCCAATTGAAGACATGGGCAAATGGGAACCTGAGCATGATGACGGCCTTGACAACAGCATACCGGCTGAGCGTGCCATCAATGCGTTCAAGGATGTGATCTTTGAAGTCCATCGTCTTGAAGCGGAGGTCGAGCTCTTGAACTTTGACTTGTTCTCTCCAGACGCAAAGGATGACCCACAGGCTTTCCGTCCCATTTGGCAATGGGAGGCGCGTAACTTCTCGAAGGAACTGATGACGGAACTCGATCAGAACATGTTCATGCGGGACCTACCCGCCAAGCTGGTGAGGGAGATTCTGTCAAAGCTTGGGCAAAAAGAAGCTGTGACGGCACTGGTTGAGGAGCTGATCCAGATGATGGGGTCTTTGATGGAATTTATTGAACTCAAGGTAACGCAACTCACCTACAAGAAATGACTTACGAGCGGCTGAGCATCCACTAATAATTCCGTTGATGACTAGAATCCCAAGGCGTCATATCAAATGAATGTGAATTTGATAATGATTTAATAACACCACTTCTCATTAATTTTGTAGGGTTTTTTTCCATAGTCAAGAAACTTATTTTTCCCTTTCGAATTTGTCTGTTTAAACAATCAGTGAACTTGTGTAAGCATTAAACGTAATAATAGTAAACTGATTTAATGAGCAGGTCAATAACCCAGAGGTTCATGCTACGCCTTTCTGGTTCGCCGTAGCACTGCGGCCGGCGTAAGAGACCGCATACGTAGAACACCCCACCTCCACCTTCACTCAGAGACCGCCCTGACACCCTCCTGCATTTTCATCAAGCCATCGGTTGTGAGCATCTTTATACATCTATGAAGCTGCATACAAACATGAGATCTACCTCCGTTCGTGCGATGGCTTGTAGTCGCTCATAGTCGTCTTGTCGCACTGTCACAGCATCACTTCAGTCGCGTTTCGGTCTTCATTTCATTTCTGGCACTTCCATGAGCTTGACATCTCGACGTCTCAAGCTCACTAGCATAGGCAAGTTAAAGGATAACATTGTTTGCTATCATCAGCAGTTGTTTTTTTCCACAAATCCGAGCAGTTCCGCAGCACCCGGCAAGTAATCTCAAGTTTAGAAGCCGTGGCAATATGCAGGAAGATTTATCCAGTTAACGAAGCCTCGGCTCATTTTTGCATCGATAGTCTCGCCAGGAAGAAAAATCCTGAAGCCCGCAAGGAAGAATACCACAATGTCACGCTCCCAGCACGTGACCCGCCTCAAACACCGTCGCATACTCGTCGAACAGCCCGACTGTCTGGACGGCCATCACCATCACATCACTGGTGTATGAGCTTTAATTCTGATGCGGTATAGAGTAAGACCGGAAACGATTACTTGCTGTCATGCTACTATTCAAACTCAACATTCAGTCATCACGTGCAACTTGGACTACCACAATGAACAATTACGATAACAACGCATCTCTCGGGATTTCGGCAGATTTTTTGACATCTCCACCTCGGAGGCACCGAGTCGAGCCGTCTCCAACACCTTACGATACGAAATATTCAATTTCGCTGAAGGGTTTGGGGGCTGACCACAATCCTTCGAGGCTTCCAGCAATATAGAACATAAGGCAAGCGGCGAGACTTAGCTATCTTAAGGCATCGGGAGGCGTGGCGTGCATGGTGGGTACAGTTCGGCCCCAGCCGAATCCACAAGGTTCGTTACGCTCCGCGGAGGTTCCTCCCGGCTTATGTTGCTCCGTTCAAATGTTCCATTGGAAAGACGCCCTTTTAAAGTCGGGTCTTTTTTTCACCCACCTGCCAACTCTATCTGTATGACTATTTCCATATATTCAAAGGAAATTCTCATACGAAAGCTCATGTCCAGTTGAAAAGTCGTGCTTTCCGGCCCCCGCGCGATGCGGTGCACGGCCGCCAAAGACAACCCACCCTTATTAACCTAAGTCTAAGCCGGTGGTGGCTGCTCCAAGATCGGGTTGGCCCCGGCTTGGATCACTTGAATGTCCTTCCTTTTGGGGTATCGGGTGAGTTTGAAGAATCTTGGAGGAGGTGAAGCACCGAGCCGGACTTTCTCGTTGACTATTTGTATTTAAGACTGCCCACGAGAAAGCAGAGCAGTAACACCTCACTGACTTCAGTCACTCCCTACCATCCATTCAGTCGCTCTCTATATCAATTTTCACCATCCCAAAATGTCTTACCACAAGTTTCTTTTGCTGTCGCTGCTCGGCAGTGTTTCCGCATACACCCTCACTCCTTACTCGGACGCCTCTTGCAAGAAGGAAATCAAGAATTACTCACCTGCGGGAAAGTTCGATGCCGGCGAAGGCATCAAGTCCATTACCCCCGCTCACTGGTATGATGAAGCCAATTTCCCGGACCAGACAGTCTATTGGAAGGTCCCTGAGCTGGACTCAAACTGTCGTGTCGCCCTTATGACACAATATGCTGTGGAAAACTATGGCACCTTGCCAGGGGATAGGGCTCCCGGAAAGGTCATTCTCAATGTTGGCGAGCCAGGCTGCTATTACTCCAGCTTGCCCGTAAGTGTTCAGGAATTCTAAACCCCAAATATTCCAAGTATGCTTATTCATGGCTATAGCATGGGGGCGACATTGCCTGGAGTTATTGTTGTGGCTCCGACGAGTGTGCGATCCTCGGGGGTAACAGCGCCGCACTTTCAAAGAGGTCTGATGTAAGATTTATGTTCGAAATTTCTGTGCGATTTTCAGAAACTGATGCAGACTGAAGGGAGACGAAATTGTGGATAGCCCTGAGGCTGAAGGAGTGACGCCCACGGATGACGATTCTGTTGACGCCGCCAAACGCTCGCTGGAAGTGCGTGGTGACGACGATGACTGGAGCAACTGCGAAGCTGTTGACGTCTCCAAAGGATGGACCACGTCGGGTGATATGCACATGGCAGCCAACCTGCAGACGTGCACCGAGAAGAATGGTTGCAAGTTCAAGGCCTCGATGTCGATTACCACCTCGACTACCGTCACATCCAGCAGTTCCCAGACGATCAACAACACATTCAACGCTGGTCTCAAGGTCAGCGCAGGATCAAACCTGTTCGGTCTCAGTGCTACTGCCAAACTCAGCTATGAGTTCTCCAAGTCCGTCACCGAAAGCCAGGGAATGTCGGTTCAGAACAGCACGACGTTCACTGCTAGCAACGAACTGCCCCAGCATGAAGGCACCAGGGCCTACATGGCTTTCATCCCTTGGTACAAGTGCTTCGATGCCAAGATGAAGTGTGGCGATACTATTTCAGACGAGCTGGAAGTCTGCACCCCTGTCGTCGACGGCAAGCAGCCGCAGGGTGAGTACACAATCGTCTACACCAATTAAGGCGCTTGGAGGAACTTGGTGCGGTCTTCGAGTTTATTATTCGTCACTCCACCCACAAAGCACGCAAACTGTTCGGCCTCAATGGAGATCATGTTATAGTAATTTCGAGTCTCCGGCGGCCTACTGTATCTATCTACGCCACGAATTGGCCAAATATTCTCAAATATTCTCACTTTTGCTCATCAACAATGAGTTGTTTCTCTAGGTTCTACGGTATGCCCACCTCTGTTTGATTGGCCGCTATGTGTCATTGTCACGCATCTTGTGTGACTTTGATCACAGTCTCACAAGGATTATGTAACGTTCCGACACGGTATCAGTGGAAGGAATGCTTGTTTCCTGGACGGTACGCGCTCGCTTACAGGAAAAAACAACCAAACACGGCTGGCTGTGAGTGCTTTTCGTCTATCCGAGCGAGCTGAATGCAGCCAATGAGCAGCCTTTAGGTCTACGGCGGTGTAACACTGCATTTCATATGTGCAGGTGCGGGGTAATTTTGTCGCTCAGATACTCGCCACAGCGTGCAAATAACTCATCTGCTACCTCCATAGCTAGGTGGTTTTCTGTTCTTATAAAGCCTTTTCATCACGCAGATAACCATCTACAGTGAGTTGTCACGATGTGCGGGATGGCCTTTCAGTACCATCATGAAAGATATGGCAAAAGGCTGCGATGACGGTGGCCTCCTCACATCATATACGTGCTTCTGCACCGATAGCTGCACGCACATGTCATCCATCCTCATCGTCGAAGTTTTTTCGAGCTGCGTACAGGAGCTTGGCACAGCAGAGGCCGGCGCTCAGGGCGCCAGCGCGCAATATCCTCTACCAATACTATCAGCTGGGCGTGCAGAGAGAGCTTGTTCCGGCGAAAAGAACGGATGCGGGTACGTACATACATGAGTGATCCTTGCCGAGACGTTGTTGTTGACCGATGAAGTTAGGGTCTCGAGGCACCTCTGTACCTGCTTCCGCTTCCGCAAGTCCAGCAACGGCCCACGAGACCGACGCATCTTCCGCTTCCGCAAGAAAGGACAGCAAAAGTGCAATCTCTAGTGCGGAGGGCGTCAGTTTATCAATTGGTGACCTTGCTCCCGAAGGTATCTGCAACTGATTTTTCTCGCGTCGACGTCGGCTCAACAGAGACCTAATGACGGCATCCTACTTTGAGAAGGCAGAACTTGACGGTAAATCGAAAGATCCGGCCGAGTTAGCTCATAACGAAAAAGTTGAGTTGCAAGCCGATGAGCAACGAAGGGTTCGAGCGAGATGCTACATCACGTGGATTGGCGTGAGAACAATCCTTGTGGGATCAATTAAATCTGGCCATTGGTTTTATAAAAGACCCGAATATTGTTGATAAAAAGCCACAAATACGTTGAAGCAAAATGGTCTTTCAGCTTCTTCGAGATTTAGATACAAATTCGCGTGACCTCGCTAAGCACTGCTGCCTACCAGGCGTGCCAGGCTTATAAGAAGTTAGCAACCCCGCATCAATCACCTCGAACACAACAGAGAAAACCCTTTATCGTCGCAACCTTCAGTCTGCCATGTCCGACCAATTGTCCTCAAACCCTCTTGTTTCGGTTGGCAATGATGGAACAGTCGACCCGACCATATCTCAGGACTACACGGCAAGCAAAGATGAACGGGACAGAATGCTTCTGTCTGGAGAAGCTCCCAGACAAACAGTCGCTAGCATTGCCAGGCAAATGTCATCGAAGGAACGACAAGACTATTCGATGCAACTGATGCTATTAGAACAGCAAAACAAAAGACGTCTGATGTTGGCACGCCAGGAGCAGGATGCGTTAACGGATACACAAAATGCCACCCCCACAACTGCCCTTCCGGCAAATGCCCCTCCCGTAACTACCAACCCCCTTACTGCCAACCAAGAGCGGGCACTTCCAGACTATGAGAGGCAATTAAAGCTATTAGAACAGCAGAACAGAGAGCGTATGTTGCTGGTACGTCAGGAGTACGATCCACGAAAAAATGGCCCCCAAACATCCGACCGAACAATCCCAATGCCATCAAAGAGAATCAGAACGGCGGAACAGCCGCACCTGAACGCTAGAGGTCCTAGCCATCTGGCAGAAAATCACTGCACCAACGAGCCCGACCATCGAGCGATGCGCAATCGGATCATAGAACTCGAAGGCCAAAATTCATTTCTACACACTCAACTAGCTCAAGCAAATTTCAATCCACGACAGGATTTACCCTCACGATGGATTTTTCTGCACAGATTGGCAACAGGCATCTACCTCGATCAACCACACTGGGCAAAAGATGCCAAAGGTGATTGGTGCCTCGAAAGTCGGAAGCCAGTGTACAATCTTCGGATGTACCTGGAACGAGAAAAATACCATGGTGCTGCCTTTGCCGTCATATGCGAACATCACATTCCTTTTGACCGCCCAAGGCGACCTTCTGAAAGCTTTGATAGCGGGAAACTTTCTTCAGAAGGTGTTCTTCCACTGTCGTACTCAATACATATTTTATGCGATGTCCTCCGGGATGCATGGCGCCTGATTCTTGGCCAAATTGAGCCTATGAAAGAGGCTTACGATCTCTCCTGCAGCATGGGAACCATAAATGAAGACATTCCAGTTTTCAACAGTGCCGAGGCGCTGTTCTTCCATTTCCAGTCCGATATCCAGCACAGCATCACCAACATAGAAGAACCAAGGAGAAGGAAGCAGCTGGGTTTTCTGGCTCTGTTCTTCCGACAGTACTTCGAGTCAGAGTTCGACAAAGCCAACGAACTTTTTGGCCAAGGGCTGGTCACCGAAAACACGATCAGATATTTGTTCAAACCAGGAAGTGTTCTCGTCCAGCATCAAAAAGGGCATGAAGTCGGGCGCATGCAAAAAGGATTGTTCTACAGAGCTGGTCAATATTTTCGGGTCAACGCTTATTCATGGGACTTTAACGGCAGCTTCACGAAGTCCGAAGAAGTGCTCGGAATCGATATCAATGACAACAATCGGGGTGACAAAGAGATACCGATATCTTCATTGGATGTATGCCCGCTCGCCTACACGGATCCAAAAATCCAACAAAAGCTGAGCGCTCGTGGTCAAACATTTTGGAAGTGTCGCAAATCTGCCTATGTTTCATATACAGGACTGGATATGAACCAGGAAACGACATATGTAAGTATCCAGCTACCATATTAAAAAGGAGATTCCGAGTGACCGAGTTTAGGTGGATTCTCGCTTCCTCGTGGACGTTCGTACGTATCGGGCAATGCACCATGGGATTAAAGAATTTGTGCCCGATGGAGACCAACTAAGCGAAGATATAATGGCGTCTGATGAGCCCTTCAACGAGGATTCATTTTTGTATCTGGTACCGGCAAGCATCTTTGGATTTGACATACAGGAAAAGAAATGGGGTGAGCTTCCTTCGTTCATATTCGCTACACCGGGTCGCAAGGTATATCAGAACAAAAACTAACTTGACGCAGTCAATCTCCAGGTCGATAACATACACCCAGTGAAATGGAACAAAGAGGCGTTTGAAAGTCTTGCCATGGACGTGGAGAACAAAGAGCTAATCGAAGCTCTGGTAAACAACAAAATCACCGCAGACAAGGCTACCGATATGGTCAGAGGCAAAGGAAACGGCCTCAACATTCTTTTGCACGGCGGGCCCGGTACAGGCAAAACCTTCACGGCAGAGGGCGTGGCAGAGATTGCAGAGATGCCGCTCTACCGCGTCACATGCGGCGATATTGGAACGGACCCGCGAGAAGTAGAGAAGTACTTGCGAAAAGTATTCCAACTAGGCAAGATCTGGAACTGCGTAGTTCTTCTCGACGAGGCCGACGTCTTTCTCGAGCAGCGAACCCTCTCAGACCTCTCGCGTAACGCACTGGTGTCGGTTTTCCTTCGCATGCTCGAGTACTACGACGGCATTCTGATTCTCACGAGCAACCGGGTCGGAGTTTTCGATGAGGCGTTCATCTCCCGCATCCAGCTCGCGCTCTACTACCACAACCTCACATTCGCCCAGCGCAAGCAGGTCTGGGAGAACTTTGTCCGCCGCCTGGACACGCTTGACGAGGCTGTTGACACGCAGGCGATCCTGGCCAACACCGAAGAGCTGGCGAAGCACGAGATGAACGGCCGTCAGATTCGCAATGCTATCACTACGGCGCGCCAGTTGGCGCTGTTCAAGAAGGAGTCGATGGGCATCAAGCATTTAGATCATTCGATCAAGGTGTCGGGGAAGTTTAACAGGTATCTGCGTGATGTAAGTGAGCAGATAAGGAATGTTGACGATGGAAATACGCAGACGGAGTGGCAGGCTGTGAATGGCTCTTCCATCACTGGTGGGATGCTCGATAGATGAGCAAGTGGAGAAGGGATCCATTGGTTCGATGCTTTAATGGGCACGAGTTTTTTCTTTGTCTGTCGGGCTATAGGCTCATTTGGAGTTTGGGGCTTCAGATCATGATAAAACTGTCAATGAAAAATAGTTTAAGGCTTTGTAGTTGGGAGAAGACAGAATGGCTTTCACAGAGACAATCAATCGCGATCAATTCGTAATCAATCTTTAATCTCTAATCAATCCGTAATCATTCAATTCAGTCAGACGTTCGAAATTGGAGGCTCAGGCCGCTTTCCGCTTGTGGCTAGCGTGCCCAAAAGGGTTAAGTCTCTGCAGCGCCAACGGATAGGTATGTTGGCACTCCTTGTAGCCATGTAGGCGTCAGAAAGTCGTCTTTGCTTCAGCTGTAGTCGTCTTCTGCAGGAAGGGTTTATAAATGAAGCTATCAATTCAATCAAGTATGCAAGATATGGAGTCCCGGTGGCCCGGAATCTTGCATCCGTGCTCCGCTGCTCGATAACAAAGGCAGGTCTGTTTTTAGGTGAAGACTTACCATACAAAGCAAGAAGATCTGCTTGAATAGGCGATCTCACACCGGTCTCTCCGCTATAAATAGAACGCGAGATGACCTTGTTAATACGCAAATTAATGTTTTCTCAAAATTATTTTTAAGAGCTATCCTCATCAAAGGATTACGCAGCGAATTATGAGAACAACCATAAGCCTCTTGAACCCTGACTCCACACATATACAAGTACAAGTAGAAAATTGTAGAAATGGGTTTCGTACGTTGCTTTGGGGATATTAAGCGCTCTCCGGCTTTTGACCATAACAGACGTGATAGACCCAGTTGATATGCACGTCCGGATCTTTATACTCTTTCTGCATCTTGGCCATCATGACTTGAACCTCCTCAGGTCGGTAATCCAACACCCTCGTGAACAATGCCAAGCAATATGCCTCAATGGCCTCGAGGACGTGAATCAAGGTGTACTTGCCAACTTCTCTCAGTTTATCGTCCTGGGTCCATGGGCCCATCGGAGCCTTCGTGGAGTTAGCTTTTGAGGTTTTTGTTACGCCTGCCAGTAGCGTTACCTACTTCATAGACGTCATCTGTCACATTGACGAATCCAGCCTCTGTCATCCATTGCTTTTGGTGCCGTGCGACGTTCATTGGCCTTCCAATCGCCTCACTAGCCTTCAATGACAACAGTTAATTTTAGTAGAGTTTGGCATTGGGAAAGTCCTCACTTTGTTTAGGCTTTCGATGTAGAGAGCCAAAGTCGGTGCTTTGGTCGGATAGGAATCGTCATCACAGCTATAACCGATTTCGAACTCTTGTATCTCAACCCAGCCGCCAGGGTTGAGGTTTTTATACGTCTGAGCATATAGATTGGACCAGTCTTTAATGCAACCACTCATGGTGCGGCCGTGGACGAAGTCAAAGGTCTGATTCTCATCCCACTCGGCTTCAACATCATCAACCAGGAAGTGGCAGTTCGGAGGAACCCAGACAGATTGAATAGGGCTGAGGTCCGTTCCGATGACATTGCAGTCAGGGTACTCATCGGCGAAGTCAATAGCCCAGATCCCAGTGCCGGTGCCAAAATCTAGAACATCCTTGGGGTCCTTCCGGAGTGGTGCGTTGAACAATCTTCCTGTTTGGCCTGTTACTTCTGCGCTCTTTCGGGCCTGGATCTCCACGTACCGTCGAGGACCAAGGTGGAGATGTGGTGGAAGAGGTCCATGCGGTTCTGCTCCCTCTCATCGTTGGGCCCGAAGTATTTGCCTTCACGGAAGGCGTGGTAGCGTCGGCCATTCTCGTACGTGTAGTCTAAAATACTGGAGGTGATGGAAGACGACGAGCTTGCTTGGCTGGCGATGATGGCATTGGCTTTACTGGTGCGCTCCTGGTCTGCGGTGAGGCGCAATCTCCCTTGGGAGGACGGCTCGCTTACGTCGGCTCCAAGGGTAGGACTCCTAGCTTGAACTGACATCTTGGTTTAGGGTTCACCGCGAGGAAGGGTAACAGGGAGGGGGTGGTAAATGATACAGGCTCGCATGGCGGTCACAAGGGTCGCTTGGCCGCGCTCACGCCACCCCACTTTAATGTGCCAGACGAGTCAGTTTGTAATCTTCGGGACGCATCCGATCAACCAATGGGAAATTACTGCCGCGCGAAATACCATCTAGCCTCGAGAGTGCTATTGCAGTGGTCCGTGAGCTCTAAATCTAGGCTCTGAGGATACTAATTTTGCACTTAAGCCTACAGCCGTATGTCTAAAGTGGAGCACAATCCGGAGTCTCTGCCACATCTGTTAGTCAAGATTTGTTGCCGAGTTTTGCCACATATATTGGTGATATCATCTTCGTACATATTTCTCATCCTCGGGGATATATCCCTGCTCCTTCCTTGCTTCTTCCAATCACGGCGCTTCAACCGATGGACGATTTGGGAAGGTGAGCGGACTCCAGACAGTAGCCAATGGGGGATTCAAATCGTCCCGATGCTTTCAGAATTATGAGGGTCTTATTGATTAGTGCCAAGTAAATACAAAAGCTGCAGGCCAATTTTTGCTGCCAGACTCTACCAAAGTGTTATGACTTATTGCTGAAGAAATAGCGTATTGATCGTTTATGCATTCTCCGGTTTTTGGCCGTAAACGACATAGCTACACCAGAGATTAGCATTGTCCTACCAGACCTATCCTCGGAGAACTTACAAAGTATAGTATGAGTGCACATTCTTACTCTTGATCTCCTGGACGGCTTTTGCGATGAAGACCTGCACTTCTTCTATACTCCATCCCAGTGCGGACATGAACAGGCGGTAGGAGAATGCTTCCATGCCGTCAAGGACCTGCATGATGTTGAACATGCCAACCTCTTTCTGCTCCATGTGTTAGTCCAAAATTTACGCACGCAACTAATCTTACGAGGGGCTGCTGTTCTCACCAGCTTCCGATCCTTCGCCCAAGGGCCTAGCGGCAACTTGAAAGAGTGGACGCCCACGTTCACAAATCCCGCCTCTTTGAACCAGCCCTCCAGCCCCGGCCCTGGATATAACTCCTTCCCCAGCTTTTCGCAACCCATCTCCATGGTCGCAACAAACTTGTTGATTGATGAATCCGGGCCGAGCGAACCGTCATCGCTCTTATAGTGGGTGTCGAAGGCTTGGTATTCAGCCCATCCACCGGGGCGCGTCTTCTCAAAAGTGTTCCGTAGGAGTGCCGGCCAGTCGGAGATTGCGCCATCCATATAGCGACAGAAAACAAAGTCGAAGGGCTTCGCGTGCGTCCAAGGAGATTCGACGTCGTCGACTTCGAACTTTACGTTGGGAGGCTGTTGTGGTTTGCGGTGTCAATTGGAGTCTCGGAAGTATTCAGAAGACGCAACTTACCACCCAGGTTGGCTGCACCGGACTGAGGTCGTTTCCGATAACCTGTGCCAACAATTAGTTCAGGCGAATTTGTTTTCAAGCCTTCTGCAATATACCTCTGCGTCAGGATAATTGTCCGCTAGTATCTTCTGTCAGCCCAGCTTTCTAAATCCTAGCGATGCGACAATCACAAACCCATTTCTATCGCCCAAATTCCCTGGTATACTTGTTAGCCCTTATCTTCCATGCCCGAAAAGCATTCGTACCGTTCCAGTGCCAACGTCAAGAATCCTTCCTTTGCTCAACTGCTCCTCCTTTATCGGGCACATGAAGCTCTTGTTGTCCAGCATCAACTTCAGCATATGGTGCATCATATCGAGGCGGTCTTGCTCGGACTCGTCGTTAGGCATGAAGTATGCTCCATCCTTGTATGCGTGGTAACGGCGCCCATGTTCAACCGGGTATGCGACAACACTGGAGCTGAGGGATTCGGAGAATGCGGAGCTGTGAACTTTTATCAGCGCGCAAGTTCTCCGCACATCGCAGCGCAAATGCGACAACGTACAGTTGATCATCGATAGAGCCTACGGCAGAGTCGCCGTCAAACTACTCCAATCAGCTTGGTGAATGAACTTCCAGCGATAGACGCTCAGATCAAATGAAAGGCGTACCCCAGAGTCAATTTCGATAACATTGGACGCCATGGTGTCGGATAGAGGGGGAAGTGAAACGCGCGAAAGAAGGGAAGCGGGGTGAAGCGGCTTACTTATAAATGCAGATCAGCAACATGACAAACGGTGATCCGACTGGCATGAGCAAAGAAAGGCGAACCTCCGCGTCGTAAGGAGCTTCCAAGTGGCGTGGCAGCTCGACCAGAGCGGTGGAGACACTGAGACATCTCCACACGTGGCCCCACTTTGCGGCGCGAACGCTTCGAGCCGCGCCGTGCACACTACGATTTTCGCGCAGAACCAACGACCTGATTTAGAGCCAACATCGATCACAGACCTCTAAAGTGTCCTCCCGGAGGTCGAAGACCAGCAGTAAAAATCTACCGGGTGCAATTCGAAGGTGCGGGCGTTGAAGCGGCGCAGCCGGAACAATCGGAATGGAATGCGGCGTCGCCCCTATCTTCAGCCGGAATCTCTACCTAAAGCAGTAACATACCGTTTATTCTGATGACAATGTAGACCACGCATTCGGAAAGAATTAAACTAAGTTTTAAAATTGATTTCTGGAACAGCACAGGAAATTAGCATACAGTACTACGCTCCGCATTATTGAAACTCACCTAACATCAGTCTTCAATGTAAGCTTGGCCCCTATGAAGCTTAGCAACTTCGCAACAAGGTAGCATCAGAACAAGAACCATTATACCTTCGTATCGTATCCTAGAATAGGACTTTGCAGTATAATTCGACACAGGAGTGTTTATTTGAAGTATTGCTGTCAAGTCTGCAATCCCTCTTGGGTGAAAAGCTATAGCCGTAAGGATACAAAATTATTTGTTAACGCTGCTTCGTTTGAGGATTCGGATGCCTCAAACTTGAGAATGCGTAGGGGCGTATTTGAACGCTTCTTCAAGGATCCTAGGAAATCGTTTAGTTTGTGGCTTTTAGGGCCAATTATTAGCTATATCTAAACCAGATAGAACTTTTGCAGTGATTCTTAGAGAGTTGTTTGAAGATGAAGTGACGTTAAGATTATCCCGTCACAGATTTGCTCTAGTTTACATGGAACGAGGCTAGTCAAGGCGGACTGAAGGTCTGGAAAGCTTAGGTTGTGAGCTACCCCAAATAGATTAGTCTTCACTTAGCCCACACAGATTTTTAAGCAACCCCACATCTACGGAGTACACTTACCGTACGTCCCTCAAAACAACACCAATGGACGACACCACCAATATGCCTCTGGAACGAAAAAGACCAGCTGAGGAAACATTAGTGCAGCCATTCGCCTCACGCATCGTCCTGGAACAGCAGAAGCGTGGACTTAATGACCTTCCAAATGAGCTCTTGGACGAGGTCCTCAGTTACTGTCATTTCAAAACAAGACATTCCTTACTCAAAGTATCCAAGAGGTTCCAACGAGTAGCTGAGCCTTGGGCATACAGAGAATATAACTACTACCACCATAATTGGAGTAAGTTGGTTTGGACACTACTACGCCGTCCTGATCTTGCGCCTCATATACGAGATGTGAGCCTCAGCGGGGATGCTTCCATATGGTTGGTAAACGAAGAATACGATAACGGGTACTACTTTGACCCCTCGCCGCATGCAAAAAACTTGGATGATTTCCTTCGAGTTGCGTCGAGAATGGAAATTAAACACAAAGATGAGTTCTTGCAGTATTTTGAGAACGGGAGGCCGTCCGCCGAAATTCTTGTTCTACTTTACCTTTTGCCTAGTGTGAAAACGCTAGACGTATCACCTCCCTGGCTTAACTGCAGTTTTCGGGATTTAACAGACCCCTCCTTGGCATTTTGCAGAGATTTGTTTCTTGACCTGCGTCATGTGAAACTACAGGATGATATGGTATATCACACCATCGACGCTGATTTCCTTCGCCGGTTTCTCGTCCTACCTTCTGTTCGCCGAATCGAATGCTTTCGAATGACTAGTTTCGATCATAGTGTAGAAGAAACTCCATGGCCAGCGGCGTCATCTAATGTTGACGACCTGGCACTAATCGATTCTGTCATTGACACCGTCGGTATCAAAAGCATTTGCAATACTTGCAAAGCACTCAAGTCACTCACTCTTGAGTGGGGAGACGCGACCGTTGGCGAAATGGGACCGGATATAGCTGTGTTTCTACCGGCACTCGCTTTCCACCGCGACACCCTGGAACACTTAGTCATCAACATTAGTGAATCCGTTTTCTTCCAAAGACACTACGGACCTTCCTGGATTGACGACGGAATCATTTTCCCATCGATTGGTTCTCTAAAAACGCTTCACCGCCTCAAAACACTGAGCATCTCTGGACTTCTTCTCACCGGACTGGAACAAGAATGGGAATCGAACCATGTCTCTATTGTTGACATATTTCCTGCTTCCCTTGAGTTCCTGAAAATCAACGAGGGAAACAATGCTGGCCCACTTAAGTTGTGGCTGACTGAGTTTGCATGGACCTTCGACAGAGAAGTCCTACCAAACCTTATGCAAATCGAAATTGATTACAGCGTGTTCGGATACGTTTGGGATGGCGAACCTTCTGAAGATAAGAATGAAAGGATATGCCCTCAATTCCTAGATGGGCTCGGCCCGGGTTTTGCAGCGAATAATGTCTGTCTGGTGTTCGCAGAACTTTGATGATTTCATATTTTGAGCAGGAACAGGGATAATGTTCATTTCATAGACTCAGATCGCTTTTATGATAGTAGCCGCCAAAGGCTTTGATTCTATTGCATACTAGCCAGACCGCAAATACCAGTGTTGCTTGAGATTTTTGCTTCAGGATGCCATTCTCCAGGTCGCTAAACAGGTAAAGGTTAGCAATCCACGCTATTTAAAGCTTCGAAAGTCTTTCCTCGACGTCAACTTGCGTTAACATGTGTTCTTATTGAGTACTTTACAATGCGGTACCTGCGTATCATTGCCTGTCTGCTCCCTCTTTCGTGCTCATCTTCTCCGGTCACGGTCTCTGTAGCAGCCATCCTTTGTTGAGCCAGCAGCCTTTCGTTTCTCGCGCACTCTACACTCACGCTTCATTGCACATAATACTGCAAAATCGGCACGTCATAAACATACATCGAGCGACACCAACAAACACATCCGCTCCCAAGCGATTCCGACTGCTGAGCTTGAGCCAACAAAATCCGCGCCGCGTTGGTTGCAATGGTGCAGCGACAACATTAATTTCGGTTACATCATTTATAACGCATGCTGCGACAACATCGACTAGGAGTGGCATGACGTGAGAAGTACTGCGAGCAACTGGCTATTTACTAGCTAGAGGAGCTTGGTCTGACTCTCACGACCCGGATGATGCTAGGTATGCCTATGATTTTCCGAACTGGCCACGACCAGCCATGGACGGGGCTTGGCTGCGGTGGGTAGAAGACCGTGAGACGTTAAATGCTACTGACGGTCCTACATACGTAAGGAAGTAACCTACTGTTGCTTAAGGTTTTCAATCCCTTTAACTTTCTAATATTACATAGACACTTTTCGAAATTCACCAAGTAGCATGGAAGTCCTGACAATTTTTCCTAGCACTGCGCCCTCTTGATTGATAAAACATCCTTCGCTTCTACCAAAGCCGTCATTGAAAACGAGCCAGTAAAGAGCGCGCATTTGTCTGGGTCGTTGAGTTATACTACGTCAGCCCAAAGGAGGAAGAGGTAAAATACACTGGACAGATTAACATAAGAGCGGAGCGTATTTTCCATGATCTTTTCCAAATCGTTCATGAAAGTACTCACCGAACTGAAGGCTCACCTCAAGACCAGCAGCAGATGGTATTGGTTACCTAATATAAAAGTTTTAAGGTGAGTTTAACCTGTATTCGTCACGTTCGTCCTACAAAATGCAAGATGATCACTGTTTATTTTCAGGACCATGCAATAAGACGTGGAACTGAGACCATAACTACTAAAGAGTGTAGTATCGTGGATTAGAAAACAGTCAGTCATATAAACCCTGACAACGAAAACCGATTCCAGCAACCACCTGCTTAGAATCTAAGGAGCGCAACAATGTTCATGTTAAAAGGGCTCGGAGGTTTGCATTTGGTCCGCGCTGGCCCACCGTAGCCGACATAAAGTCACTCTACGGCTGAGCGAGACGGCTAGTAGCGCAAAACCTCCGAACAAATGACTGCCGAATCTTCCTCCACAGTAGCTCGCCATCCCGCATATATCTACCGGACCTTCTTTGCGCGAACAAACAGCTCATAATCCGTATAAATGAGACTACTGCCAGCATCCCTTTCCCAAACAAAGTTCTTGTTCAGTAACTCAAGATCATATCTCCAAAACAGCCGGGCCAGAATCAGCCTGATGCTATTCTGGGCCATATTCCTGCCAATACATGCTCTGCTTCCGATAAGGAATGGCCGATAGGCAAGCCGTTTGTCACCTTCAAAGCTGGTTTCCCGTCCGTTGTTGATCCATCTCTCAGGATGGAATGCAGACGGATTATGGAAATACTCTTCTGAGCGCTGGATGCTGTAGAGGTCCGCGGAAACCAATGTTCCGGCGGGAACTCTTATTTCTCCTATGAAACAATCCGGAGCCGTACGTTGGGCCGTCTTGCCGTTGGCTGGTGGCAGCAAGCGCAGAGTCTCGTGGACGCACGCATTTAGCAGCGGCAAGCGGAGAAGCTGCTTACCGGTTATCTCGGATTCCTCGGTGAATCCAGAACGAATTTCATGGCAGAGCTGGTTATAAACACCCGGATGACCGAGGATATGGTAAAGTGTTGCAACAAGAGTTGTCGCAGTAGTCTGGTAGCCAGCCAGTCTTCTGGCTTGTCAGTGCTTGGGTGAAAACAGTGGATGAGACTACTAACGTAAGACCCATGGCGTTGCTGAAAAGAGCATCTGCATTCAAAGAAAGCCCTTGCTTCTCGCTGCTCATGATCGCCGTAAGGAAATCCTCTCTGCCATCCTGTCGCTCCATGCAACTACGGGCCCGTCAGCGATTGATCGAGCGAGATTGGGTCTGCTTACTCTCGCAGCCTAGTCGATGGTACAAGTTTCGAGAGCTGAGATTGAAATGGCAAGGCTGAAATTAGCGAGCTGATGCTCTGAAGAAGCTCAGGCACTCCGGGTAAGGTCGTCAGGTAGCTGAGAAGTTCTACCATTGGCATTGTGCTTTTCCCCAGCTCTTTCAGGGCTTCATATACGGCTACAGGACTTAGTTAGTCTTCATTAACTATTACAAGCAACTGCTTACTTACGCTTTTTACCAGACATCAGCGGTTCTCCAAATGACAAGTCGCCGATGATTTCCCAAAACATTGTTTCCAGGGTCAAAGTCAGGTTTATCGTCTTCCCATTTCTACAGTCGCTCTCAAGCTGAACAAACGCTTGATCGATGTGCTGGTTCTGGATTGGTTCCTGTTTCGCGAATGCTTCGGGAGTGAAAGCCTGCTGAATGGTGCGATGCAGTTTCTTGTGCAAGGCCGGATCAGGAATTGTGATCAGTGTAGGAGCATTCAACACCAGATCAGAGAAAAGCGTTAAAAAGGTCCCCTTTTTAGAGAAACGCCCATCTTCTTGTTTGGCATAGATTGCTGTTTCGGCCTCGAGTGTTGCAAAGGACACTTCATTCGGACCAATCCTAACGGCCGGTCCTATATCTCGTCAGAACCGTCTTCGGGAAGAATATGATTGAACCTACCATATTTCTGGTGAAGCTCTTGAAGCTCAGAGTTAAATCGTCTGCGGTACAGAGCTCTCATTGCCCATAGCTACAGACGTCAGCGCCGCCACGATACTTGGATTACCGACGAGCTTACTGGAGAAGTTTTGGCCACAAATGGTCCCGGAATATGAGCGATAGGGTGCAGAAAGCAGTTGTAGGCCACAAACAATATGAAGAAAAGTAGCGACTATAGGTTTCATGTGAGGATCTGTTCACGATGCTGCCTTGAGGCTACTTACAGTTATTACAGTAGTGATCAGGACCAATTCCACATCCCAATCAATCAATGGGTTGCGTAACGGCCAGAATCCGAACATTTTTGCACGCGTTTACAAGTATGCTCCAAAGGCTAAGCGTTATTGACAAAAAAATCTCTTGGAGTGTAGGGGAAATGGTTGCTCAAGCGAAGCATTCCAGTTTCGCCCCCACTGACATAACGCTAAATCCTGCAGCATCACCCACTTTTTGCATGCACAAGATCGCACATACATACTTGATAAGGTAGTGTGAAGGCTTACGTGCATTCTTTTTCTTGTGCAGTCTCCACGTGGGGGGTGGTGGGGATGACTCAGCCACGGTCTAGAATTTACAAGAGGACAGTGCATTGCATGTTGCATGGATGCAGTGGACTCTTCAATCAGGCAAAAATATGATAAGCAACGCATGTCATCAATCAGTAAGCCTGACGACAGTGGATTAACCGTCGATTTGGTATTACCCGTCTCATAAATCCTTTAGCGATCGAACAAATCACTCAACGTGGGGCATGGCAGATCACTTACAGGGTCTACGGGTAGCCCTACTCCGAGCAACACTTCAGGCCTGGTTCAGCGCCACGTACGTGGTATACCAATATCATCCGGTGATTCCCGGTGGGAAAAAAGGTATGATACCATCCCGAGGGCTGAATGGCAAGATATTGGCGTTGATAGCGCGGATCTGGTCTTAACCCCAGAGTCCGGGTCGCTTAAAAGTAGAGATTAGAAGATACTGTGCCATGCTGTTGGGGAGACTTAAAGCCATCCACCGGAAGCATCTTACCTGGCGCACGCTGAAAACACCAAAAAAGCACCATGGAAACTCCGTTTGAACGGTCATTGCCAGTTTCGCCTGAAGAGGCACAGAAAACGGGGTCTTTCACGACATTACCTATTAGGAGACATCAACGCAATGACCTGGCAGATGCAGCATCGTACCGTTTTATCAAAGACTGGGCCACTCATGTTGGCGATGGCAGAGAAAAAAAGACTCATTTCTCTTTTTCTCCCGTCGGCAATTGGTCCGCTCTGATTTATCCAGAGGCAATCCCAGAAAGATTGGGCATTTTGACCTATCTTTCTGATTTGGGTTTGATTCATGACGGTATGTCAATCTATCATTGAACATGAACTTTTGCTAACCTTTGATGAAGATGCTGGCGAAGAGCTGAGCGTAGAGGAAGCCCAGGTTGAACACGATGATCTTCATGCAGCGCTGGATCCCAATGACAGACGTGAACTCGCAGCCAGTTCAAAAGCCATGAAAATGAAGAAACTTGTTTCGCAATGCATGTTAGAGTGCATCACCCTGGACCGCGAATTGGGGTTGCAAATGCTGGCGGCATTTCGCGATCTCTGGCTCGCAATCAGCGAGAAAGATAGCGACAAAGAGGCACAAACCTTGGAAGAATACTTCCAACAACGCCGTGACAATGGCGGGATGCTGTAAGTAGCTTTTGATTAATGTTCTAATCGACACTAACAGATTGCACAGAGTATTTTGGCCTATGCTCCAGTTCAGTATGGCGCTGCACATGTCAAAAGATGATCACGTTCTTGTAAAGCCAGCTATTGACGCTGCTACGGAAGGCCTTTTATTGGCCAATGACTGGTTTAGCTGGGAACGGGAAGTTCGGGAGCTACAATCTGGAAAGTCTCAAAGAATAGTCAGTGCAGTGGAACTCCTAATCCGGACCAAAGGACTTTCGACAGAACAAGCAAAAGATGCAGTCAAGGACATGATCATCACCGCGGAGCGTAACTACTGCCTGCGAAGGGATGAACTTTACCGAACACATCCGGGCATCTCTACTCACATAAAGAAGTGGATCGATTGCGCGGGTTTGGCCGTCTCCGGAAACCACTTCTGGTGTTCAGCTTGTCCAAGACAAAACGCATGGCGAAGCGAACATCTCGAAGATCATGGAAAAAAGTCCGAGCGAGCAGTTATCAACAATAAAAGGCTCTGTGTCACCCCGGAGCCTGAAGCATCCAACAAGAGGACGAGGAAGGACTCAGGTGCCTCAGAGCCTTCAGCTGTGATGCCGGAACCGAAGACACCATTTACACCGGTTTCACCATCCACTAAGCTTGCGATGGAGGTTGATCACTCCAGTCCTTCCCATCGCGTGTGCCAGTATCCGGCTTACAAGCCATCGAGCCTAGCTATAAAAGCACCGTCGACATATATTTCAAGCATGCCGTCGAAGGGGGTGCGCAGCACGCTCATCGAGGCTCTCAACACTTGGCTCCATGTTCCGCCTGGGCCTCTCAAAACCATCATGTCTGTGGTTAATAACCTCCATAATGCTTCACTTATTCTCGATGACATTGAAGACAACTCTCCCTTGCGAAGGGGCAAGCCAGCCGCACATGCTATATTTGGCCAAGCCCAGGCAATCAACAGTGCAAACTTCATGTTTGTTCAAGCAACCCAAGATGCAGCGAAGAAATTTAGCGCGGAAGGGTTGACGGCTTTGCTAGAAGAGCTTGAAGGGCTCTACCTTGGCCAATCATGGGACCTCTACTACAAGTACAACCTCATTTGCCCAACAGAAGTCGAGTATATCAACATGGTCGATCACAAGACTGGTGGTATGTTTAAGATGCTTCTCCGGCTGATGCAGGCCGAGAGCGCGCTGGTAGACACGTCGGTTCTCCCGAGCTTTGAGAAGTTGACCCTTTTGTTTGGGCGTTTCTTTCAAATCCGGGACGACTACATGAATTTCGGAGACTATGCTGCAAGCAAGGGCTTCTGCGAAGATTTGGATGAAGGCAAGTTCTCCTTTCCGATTGTCTATTGCTTGGAGAACCATCCGGAATACCGCGGCCATATTCTTGGAATTTTCCGGCAGCGTCCTACTGCGGCCACAAACGTCCCTTGTTCGCTGTCCAAGGAAAGCAAACAGCATTTGATGGAATGTTTGAAAAAGAGTGAGGCATTCAGTGAGACGCTCGAATGTCTGATGGATATGGAACGAGAGCTTGAATCGGAGATAGAAAGGTTGGAGCATCAGACTGGAGAGACAAATCCGCTTCTGCGGCTTTGCCTTGCCCGTTTGAGCATGAAAGGAACAGTGGAGATACGGTAGATAGAACGTATTTCATTAGTGGAGTTTTTATTGATATCATTCCATTGCATACAATCTTCAAACTTTAGCATGCAATGAACCCGCTTCCAATATCCTACCTACGTAAAAGCAACAGTGTGCATAAAACGAATTTTTTTCGATGGTCTAGTTTCCCTTACATGCATAATCACAGCTCACAGAATTGCTCGGTTGGAGCCTCAGAACGGCCTATTTGTTTTACGACTAGTTTATGCACTTCCTCCTTTTGGTTATGACCGCAGTTAAAGCGCCGACTGGTGTCTCACTAAGCATTTAGCCGAGCACGGCAATGAGATATTCGACATACCATTGAGTTATTTGTCATCGATAAGACACAGCTCTCCAACGGATGAATAGTGTTATGTCTTTGAAAATTCTTCCGTGGCGCAATGGGACATCTATCAGCCCCCACGGTAAGAATGGGGGACCCCCGCATAGGGCGGGATCATATGTATCGTGATCATAGATCTCAGACCGGGCGATCTGGTGGTGGGGAAAAAGCGGGTCACTCAAGCACCCATCGATCGACAAGGGACTTCCCCGTTTTGGACCCCACGATGCAACACACGCCACCGGTATTAGCCCTGGAGATTGCCTGTATGCTGCTCTCCGTTGTAATAAATGACGGTAGGTTGTAGGAAGACAAGTTCTCCTATCTCTAGCTTTTGTCCGCCTGATCATTGCTGACAGGAGAAGACATCATTCGAGAAATCATGTTTCTCCGTCCTTCTTCTTGCTCCACTTTACTACTTTGCCTCGGGCAAACGGTATCTCAGCAGGTTGAGGCCAATACAGCCTCTTGCGAAAATGCGGTGAGATTATTATTATCTCATGATTTAGGTTTATCTTTGTGTCAGTTCTGACTTACGTAGTGTAATTTCTTGCGAGACAAGCAACTCCTCGGGGCGACATCGAGGCTCCCAGCTCTAGACAATAGTCAACTGCCGGATTTTCAACAGGACTTATTGCTTTCAGACAGTGAGAGCTCTCGCCCACTGTTCTGGGCGCAGCAGCAATCATCTACACAGCCTGCTTGTTACGTCCGGGCGTCATCAAAAGAAGACATCGTCTCTGTTCTCTCCGCATCACGCGATTCAGGCTGCCCATTTGCCGTCCGAGGCGGTGGCCACTCTGACATCTATGGCGCCAGCAACAGCCCTGGTGGCATTACTATTGATCTTTCCGGCCTAAATGAGATTGAGATAGTGGAAAGTGAAAATCTTGCAAGAGTTGGAGCTGGTTTGACTTGGGGAACTGTTTACTCAGAGCTCGAAAAAAGAAACTTGACTGTCGTTGGCGGTAGGCTTACCAGTGTTGGTGTCGGTGGTCTCACACTGGGTGGAGGTCTCAGTCATTTCTCGGGGATGCATGGCTGGGCTTGCGACAATGTCAAAAGCTTTGAGGTATGCCCAAATCCATCCCATCATCTCTCTTGCAATGCTGAGCCACCGTAGATTGTATTGGCCAACGGCAGTGTTATCGAAGCCTCAGCGTCCACACATCCGGATCTTCACCGTGCCTTGCGCGGCGGAGGTAACAATTTCGGCGTCGTCACACGATTTGACCTCACCACTTACAAGCAGGGCCCGATGTGGGGAGGTCTTCATGTTTGGCCATACCAGCCTCAAGTGACCAGCGCCATCACATCCGCCTTCTTGGATTTCGCGCACGAAAGTCCATCAGATCCACATGTGTCAGTTTTTGCTGGCTTAGGATACAAAATGGGTCTTTTTGCGTGGGCTGCAGGATTGTACGACTCCTTGGGACGAGAACAAGCTCCTATTTTTGAGAGGTTTGTGGACAATGAGGAGACCATTGGCACCACGAAGATGATGACAACAGCCCGAATTACATCACTATCTGACCTTGCGGACGAGCTGGACAAGTCTGAACCGGCCGGTATTCGTAGCAGATTCACTACCGCGACATTCAAAGCAGACAAGGAGCTACTTCAGTTGATGGTAGATGTCTTTGTTCACGAGGTAAATAAAGCTTTAGACGATGGCCTCAAGGAGGATGAGCGCTTTGCCCCAATGCTTGGAATCCAGCCACTCACCCGAAACTTTCTGGAAGAAAGTCAGAAAAATGGTGGAAACGTGATGGGGCTCGATGTCGAGGATGCGCCAATGATCGGTATTTTTCCCTTGCTTTGAAGTACTTCCCCCGAAAGGACATACTATGCTAACGCCTAACTCTGATAGTTTGTTCCTTTGGCTGGGAATGGTCAAGGGAGTCGGATGACGAAGTGGTGATCCGCGGGATCAAGGCCGTCCATGATCAGTCGGTCGTCGCGGCAAAGCAGCGAGGGCTTTACCGCCCGTTCAAATACATGAACTATGCTGCTGCAGATCAAGATCCGATAAGGAGTTACGGGTCAGAAAGCGTTGCATTTTTGAAGAAGGTCAAGCAGTTTTATGATCCTGAAGGAGTATTTTCAAAGCTTGTTCCTGGTGGCTTCAAGATTTTTTAAGGTGACTACGAACATCTTTAAACCAATAGATCGAGAAACAACGACGTGACCGAAGAAGAGAAAACGGGAAAAGCTCTGACCAAGTTGTACCAGATAGACTCGTCAATGAAACCAGTAGCAGAGTATGTTAAGACACTAAACGTCCATAAGTACCCAAGAATATGCCAATTTTGCGATTTGCAGCCGAATCGTGATTTAGCAAAATGGAGGACATAGTCTTCCAATAAAAGGGCGTTTGGTTGGACAGCGAAAAAGACGCAAGTGCCATAAAAGCCCGCTGTTGGTACAGTCATTTTGGCGGCACCATAATGGTAAAGCCCTGAAAGAAGGAATGCAGTATACGACTGGATATGGCGAGAAAGCAAGGAGCCTTTTGAAGCGCGTAAGACGTCTCGCGCCAGGTACTGGCCGGGCATCTGTAAAGCTCTTCGAAAGTTCTGATGCCAGGTACGGCCCCAGAACCTCCCTAAGGTGTAGCAGTTTGCCCAATGCCCCATCAGCGGGTGGAGAGTCTCGATACGGTTCCAGAATAGCCCGGTAGCGGTTCCCACGACGCAGAGGACGTGGTATCCAATATCCATTAACGTGATTGTAGATGCGGCCCATGAGATAACGGCAAGGCTGCGACGTATTACGTCAAGGTCCCATAGCGACGTGCTTCCGCTTTGTGTAAAACGTAAAACCATCGTTGCGCTTATGTCGTGGATGATATATTCTCGTCCAATGCGACATATCAGAAGGAGCAGTACTTCTGTCTTTGATGATTCCTGAGACGGTGCTGGGGGGAGATGTGGAATGCGCCAATTCCACCCTATCCCGCGAGTAGAGAAGCTATTGTCAAATACCCAGTGTACCTTTTTGAGAGTTGACAGTTCATGGTATCTTCGAAAACGTGTTGATGAAGGATTCGTCTTACGGACGTCTCTTCTGCTTTCATTGGGCTTCGATGTTTCCCACCAGTGCTCAGTGTATGGATCGCAAAGCACGAGGAAATTGAAGTTTACTAGGCTGACATACACTACTAGTCACATACTCAGTAAGAGGCCACCGTCATTGAGATCTCTCCTAAACATACCGGTACCGAACACGTAGTTTTTGGCTGCATCTTGTCCGAACGGAAAGTGCGACACCACGAAAAATATAAGACCGAACAAAGGAAGCAATAGCAAGAAACGGTAAGATCTAGGAATTTGGGCGGCGATGAGGAGAATCAATGGTGTGAGTAGCCATATGACAGCCACGAAGTCGGAGCGCTCAGAAGCCATGGTGGTTACTGACTTTGGTGAAAGTTGACCAAGTCTTCAGATGTCCGATCGCTCAAGGTTTTGCACGTGGAGGGCTTTGTTCGTTCTTGCAAGGTAACGCGCTGACGTCTGCGCCCCAACGGAAAATGAGCTTTGGCGGTCACAATCCCTGCTTGAGAGTGCCCATCTTCACCCCACTGTTGGGTTGACTTGCATTCTGCATAATGATTACATGCTACAGATGCATCTTATCTGCATTATTGCCGCAACAAAGAAACAGGGCAGTGCACTACCCCACATCCACTGCATTGGTGCATCATACTACGTGGTATATCTGTCCCCCACAAGCGCCCGTGTCGATCTTCACCGTAAAAGGAAGGTTGGCGATCTGTAAGCATGGGGGCGAATAAGCAAATAGTTCTTTCCGATAACAATGCCGCGCGCCATAAGGGACGGCATGCTCTTCTAAAAATTGAGTAATTTGAAAAAGTGACTGCCAATTACAATGGCGTTCATTGTTGACGTTGTGGAAACGCTAAAGCCGTCTTTGACGGTGACCTCTGTCTCGGTTCTCTTGGTCTTGTATCTCTGCTATTTGACCGTCTACCGTCTCTTTCTGAGCCCAATAGCCAGATTCCCTGGACCCAAGCTTGCTGCCTGGACATATTGGTACGTCTTGCGTTCTCCAGTCCAACCATTTATTAATCGAAAATCAGGTACGAATACTGGTACGACGTTGTTGCCGAACCTGAATATACCTTCAAGATTGGCCGACTGCACAAGCAATATGGTCAGTTGAAAATTCAAATAATTACGAGCAAGTATGTTAACATAAACCAGGGCCAATTCTCCGTATCAACCCCGATGAGATCCATATCTGCGACCCCGATTTCTATGACACGATCTATGCTGGCAGTGGACGCAAGCGCGACAAATGGGACTGGATCACCAAGTCTTTTGGCGTAGATGAAAGCCTGATTGGGACACTTGATCACGATGAGCACCGTATACGCAGGGCTTCACTCGCTCCCTATTTCTCTAAGCAAAGCGTCCGATCCCTGCAGCCCTTGATCGATCGGAATGCATCTATCTTGATGCAGCGGATTCGACAATTCGCCGAGTCGAAGGAAGAGCTAAACTTAAACGTGGCATTTGCCGCATTGACAAACGGTAAGTCGAAACGTCTTTAAAACGGTTTTGTATACTGATTTCAGTGTCAGACATCATCATGGACTATGCTTTTGGAAGGAGTGATCATCGCCTCGAAGCCTCAGACTTTGATCCATCTTTCCAAGATGCGATGCTTAAAGGTGGCAAGGCAGGGCACATTATGAAGCATTTCCCCTTCGTTATGGATATGCTCCGCAAGCTGCCCGACTCCCTTCTATTCAAGCTGAGTCCCGAGATGGGAGCGTATGCTCAACTGCAGACTAGCATCAAGCAACAAGTCGCCGAGATACAGAGTGCGCACCAGCTCCACGCGTACGACAAAACTAATCGCACGATATTCCACGAGATTCTCAACAGCAAACTCAGCGAGTACGACAAGTCGACGGATCGGCTTTGGCAGGAGGGAGAAGTGGTCGTGGCGGCCGGCACAATCACAACCGCGTGGGCATTATCAGTTTCGACGTACTTCACACTCGCCACGCCTTCCATTCTCACGCAACTCAAGCGAGAACTGGAGACTGCGATTCCGGATCCCTCGCAGCCACTCAACCTCGTAGTGCTAGAGCAACTGCCGTTCCTAACAGGCGTCGTGCAGGAGGGTGTGCGCCTCAGCCACGCCATCTCGCACCGTCTGCACCGGATTTGCCCCGATGAGACCCTTCACTACAACGATGGCAAGAAGGAGTGGCTTATCCCGGCAGGAACGCCGTTGAGCATGACGAGCAATCTGGTGCACCATGACAAACGCATCTTCCCGGACTCCCATGCCTTCAAGCCCGAGCGCTGGATCGAGAATCCGCGTCTCGACAGGTACCTTGTGTCTTTTGGGAAGGGCGGCAGAGCCTGTCTCGGTATCAATCTGGCGTATGCAGAGCTGTATCTGACACTCGCCACACTATTCCGGAGTTACGGCTCTGTTGATGTCCAGGGAAAGGATGATGTCGGTGTTTTGGTGCTTTATGAAACAACTGCGGCAGATCTAGTCATCACGAGCGACGAGGTGGCACCAGTGATGGCGGAGGACTCAAGGGGGTTGAGGATTAAAGTTTTGGCTCGGGGAGAGTGAAAAAAGGTGATACGAGATGTTTTTTTTTTTTTTTTTTTTTTTGACCATAACATGAGGATATTTATTGAAATTGTTAGTGTGTTAGAGGTTTTTGTTTTGTTTTGTTGTTCAATGATGTAGAGTTTCCAATTCTTAGGTGTAGATGCAGACGATTGCCAGGACTATAGTAGAAAGACAAATAGTTGAATCTGACATTGCTGAAACTCAAGCAGAAACAGTGTGGATACCTTGATTTTTCTCTTCTTCTGTCTGATCTGTGCGACATTTCGTAGCAACAGGAGTATGACCCGGAAAAGGTGAAATCTCCGGCAGAGGCGCATCAGCAGGGTTCTCTTAGATCTTTTTAAACGTATATATTATATATTAGTATTAGAATAAAGTCTAATATTTCCTATAAAAGCTTTTACACTATTATAAGGGTTTATTATTCAATAGTTTATTTTGATTAACGCCCGTACATAGTTAAAGCTCACTGCTTAAAAAAGCAATATACCTAGCGCCACCGCTATATCCGCTATAGACTCCCCTCTCTCACCCTTCAACAACACATGTCGCAACAGCCAAAGCCAAAGCAAGACGCAACGAGGCACGCGTCCCGCACCTAGCGCTCGCAGGCAGCAGGCACGACCGGCACGACCGGCACGCGCCCGACCACGAAACGCCCACGCCGCCGTAACCGCATTCCCACACCGCGGTCTGCAACACCGCGACGCCATGACTCACATTCATTCTTGTACATATACATACACCTTCCACCACCACGCACACACACGCACACAAAACCCTCACTTTCCATCACACCACCACAACACAACCACCACAAGCATGCCCCCCCTCTTCTTCCACAAACCCACCTCCCCCTACGGCTTCCTCTGCCAATGGCACTGCGCGCCCTTCACGGACAACGCCACCGCCGCCACCTTCAGCAGCGCCGAGCAGTACATGATGTACCGCAAAGCGGCCCTCTTCAACGACAGCGGCAGCCAGGCCGCGATCCTGCGCACGCACGAGCCGCGCAAGCAGAAGAGCCTGGGGCGGAAAGTACAAGGCTTCGACGCCGACAAGTGGGACGAGGGTGTGTGCGTGACGTCAGACTCAGAACCCCCTCTTTTGTTGTTGTTATTGTTATTGGCGGTGGTGGTGGTGTAGCGTTACTAATGGTTAATGGGATGTAGTCAAGCTCGCGGTCGTCGAACAAGGCAACCTCCTCAGATTCAGCCAGAACCCCAGTCTACGGGCCGAGTTGCTGGCGACAGGCGGCCGTGAGCTCGTCGAAGCATCGCCCTTCGACCGCGTCTGGGGCATCGGGTTCGGCGTGCACGAAGCCCTGTCCGTTAAACGTGAGGAGTGGGGCCAGAACCTGCTTGGGGAGGCGCTGATGCGGGTGAGGGAGAGGCTTGGGAGGGAGGAGAGGAAGGAGTTAGAGAAGGAGGAGAGGGGGGAGGGGGATAGAGAGGGGGAGGAGGAGTAGGAGCAGGGCTGAGCGTGGGGGGACTCGGGAGTGCTTGGTTGGTTTAGGGTTTAAGCTTTGCGCTTTAAGCTTTGGCGGGGGCCTGGGGAAGGAGGCGGGTGAGGAAGTGCGGGTTCGGACTGCTGTGCTTTAGGTCTGTAGGATAGGTTTGCTGTAATTCGTGTTAGCTATTTCTCTAACCGTCCATCTCGATCCCTCACGCCCACCAACCCCCCAACCAACCCCACCACCCCCTCCCCCCCTCAACCCGCCCCACAACAAACGTCCGCCACTCCCACGCCCGCATATACCACCCCCCCGTCTCGCAGCGCCAAGCCTCACTGTCCGGAAAAGGCCCTTGGGGCAAAAACCTCAACCGCAGCGCAAAAACGCCCTGCTCAAACGACTGCCTCTGCCACCCCCACCCCCACAGCCCCCGCGCCTTTGGCTCGCTCCCCGCCGCGAAGCTGCCCTTCTCGAGAACGCAGCTAAACGTGCGAGGCGCGAAGGCTGCGGGCAGGAGCTGCGCGGCGGCGTGCGCGTCGGGCTGGCCGTCGTAGCCCCGTGCGAAATACGCACAGTACTCCGGCACACAGCGCGGGAGCAGCGTCATCTCGATCGCAAACTCCGCAACCTCGCCCCTCGCCCGCTTAGTGTGCGTTGCTTTTGCTTTTTCTTTTTCCGTGTCCGGGTTGCTGACGAGGCGCCACATCAGTTCCAAGGCGAGAAAACCGCGCTGGTCGCCGCAAAGGTGGAGCTGAGTTGTAAAGCAAGTGTTAATGCGGGTGTTTGTACGGCGGAGGGAGGGCGTGTGGGGTCTAGGAGGGGAAGGGAAGAGGGGAGAGCGACGAGGGTAAGGAGGTGCGTACCTCACCACCACCATTGTGCCGAAAGCGCAAACGCTGCTCCCCGCCGTCGAAGCTCCAGTCACGGCCGCAGAGAAGGGCGGGGAGCGTCTCCTCAGCCGTCAAAACATCTTTTATCGGAGGGCTGGTCATGCTTGCGTTGCGCTATAGGCGTTGGTGTTGGCATTGGGTGCATGCGGTCTTGGGTGGTGGTTTATATTAGGTGGCCAGGGCAGGCAGCAGCGTTACGTTGTGTACGTGTATACGAGCTTACGCGCTACGCACTACGCAGCCACTGGGACGGTGCTTGAGTTCTTGTTTGAGTTGCCAAGGCTGCGTGTAAGCGTATACTACTAATATTGTTGATTATATTTGCTTAAAGGCTCGCACCTCTTTCCTCACCTTGCTTGCGCGCGCGCTCTTGTGCGCCACCATCCACGCGAATGCAGCACCGCGAGCGTCTTGGCCAGATACTCGCCCCGGGTCGCTCCGCACCTTAGCGCAGCGGTGGCGCGACCACGTCAATAGAACAGATAGGCGTGCTGCCGCTCCAGCATCTCCGAGCATGTCTGCCAGCGTTAGCGTCTGCGTTAGGTAGCATCTCACCCATACAAACAACCAAGGACACAACAACATCAACGCAACGAAGAGCAGAAGACGAAGCAGGGAAACCGTAGCACGGAGAAAAAGAAAAAGAAGAAGCACACTCACAAACTCCATCCACGGCACATTGCGCGCCTCCGCCCCACCCACCCTCAGCGCGACGCCCTCCCCCTCCCCCCGCCGCTCCGCCCACACCCTTTCCAACAGCTCCATCATCGCCCCATGCTGGCACCCCGTCTCGCGCCTAATATGCTCAATGCACAGCCTTACATAGTGCATCTGGTGGGCACTGTCCGTATCCGCGCCCGCCATAAACAGCGGAAACAGCAGACGCTTGAACAATACCGAGCGCCAGGGCACCTCGGCCGCCGCGTCCAGAATCGCTGCCACCGACGCGCGCACCCGCGCATCCGTGCACGGCACCGCGAACGGGTCCGGGAAGCGCAGGACGCGCAGGAGGCAGGCGTGGCGGAACGCGTGCGCGAGCACGCCCCACGCCGCGTCGGCTGTCGGGTACGCGGCGGCGGCGGCGTCGCGCTCGGCGTCCCAGGCGCGGAACCATGCCTCTGCGGCCGCGAGCTCGGCTTTGAACACCTCCCCGTCTAGCAATCCCAGCTTGTACTGTTTCCCCAGCGCGAGCACCTCGCCGATGCGCACGAACATGGCGGTAGGGCAGCCGGCGAGCGTCTCGAGGCCGAGGTCGTGAGCGTCGCGCACGCGCAGGCGCACCGCCGGCGAGAAGGCGAGTTTTTCGGCGCCGCTGAAGCTGCGGATGAGGTCGAGCCAGGAGAGGGCGGCGAGGAGGAAGGTCAGGAAGGGCGAGAGCGGCGTGGTGCGCGCGGCGATTTTGTCGCACAGCGCGGCGGCGCCTGTGAGGTGCGTCCCGTGTGCTGAGATGCCTGTTTCTGTGATCTGAGGGGAAGGGTTAGCTGAGATGGGAAGTACCTAGGGGGGGTTGGAGAGATTACGTCGTGCAATATCAGCAGGAGGACAAGCACGAGCGTGACTTCCTCCTTGAAGGCGTCCAGGCCGACTACTTCCTCCTCGAGAATCAGCGCACTGAGAGCTTGTAGGGCGGCGAGGCGATGCTCGAGAGCGATGGTTTCGTTGGCGGGGCTGGCATCGCGGCCAGAGGAGACGAGATGGCAGGCCGAGAGGGCGAGGACGCAGTGCAGCACACCGAGGTGGTGGTGCGCGAGCGGGAGAATGTAGGTGCGGAAGGGATTCTGCACGCCGGGGCATGCGATGATTTGCGCGTCGCAGAGGTACGTCTCGACTGGCGGCAGATTAACATTCTGATGCCGTTGGAGAGTGGGCGTACGTACAATGCGCAAGCAGCCGTCCCGCGTACGGCGTCGCCGCTATGTCTGCATGCGATGCCGACGATTCTCTCTCGTGGGGCGCCAGCCCCGAGCTCGCCTCGTGCGACGACGGCGGTAGCGACGGCTCCTCCTCCAGCACCCTCAGGCTTTTCGGATCTCGCTCATAAAGACAAAACTGAAAGCGCGGCGGGTATCCCTCGCAGTGCAAGCCCTTCACTCGGCAGCGATTGCAGACGGGGCGGGCACGGTCACAGCGGCGGCATTTTTTGCGACAGGTGCCGCAGGCGGGGTCTGCGGCGTTGCGTACATTACGTTAGGTGAGACGGGACGCGGAGGCGGGCGGCTTGGGACTGCGGGACGCACCACTGACCTGTGCGCATGGCGGTTAGTTTGGGCATGTTGTTGTGCTGTGGTAATGGAGTGGGGAGGATGGTGAGACAGCGGGTGAGACTGAGACATGGAGCGGGACGCGGGGCGGGGCGGGACGGAGCGACGGGGTTGATCTCCCGCTCCACGCTTGATGAATGATCATCGCATCACGGGCAGTGCATCGCATCAAATCCCCATGTTTCATTCCATGCTTCATTCATCCTCCATCGCCCTAACTACCTAAACAACAGTCCCCCACACGCACACCCCCCCCCCCCTAAAAGTCCCTCCCACCCCCCACCCCCTTCAACTCCGGCCTCAGCACGAAAATCGGGTCCAACTCCTCCACATTCCCACACGCAGGCTCGCTCATCGAGTAGCCCATAAACTCCTGCGTGGCGCGGTCATAGCCCCTCGCGACGTCCATCGGCACAGCCAGGAACTGGTTCTCCTCCTGGCGCAAGTAGCCGCGCGTCGCGAACGTGGCGAAGACGAGGCGCTGCTCGTCGGGGGTGCGGTTGTGCCCGCCGCCGTGGAACGCCGACGCCAGCATGATGAATGCGTCGCCGGGGGACATGCGTGCGTGGATGCAGTCGGTGGGGGAGGGCGGGGTGGTGCGGTCGGTGCCCCTGGGGGGAGAGGTTAACTACGGGCTGGCTAGGCGCGGCCTTGTCTTTATTCCGTTCTTTGCGTGCGTAAAGCAGGAGTATAGGTATCGAAGGTGGCTTACCACAGATGGCTCCGCGGGATAAACATCGTCCCCCCATTCTCCCGCGTAACCTCCGAGCCCGCCACAAACATCCCAACAGCGCTCTCACGGTTCCGATCGCGCTCATCGTCCCACTCCGCGATCTCGGCATGCTGGTTATGCGCAATATAGTCGTCGCGGTGCAGGGGCTGTGCCTTGCCCCCGGGCCCTATGCGCATCGCAACCGCCGAGTGGACGTACGGCTTCGAGACTGATTCTTTTTTGTGGTCGCCCCACCAGAACACGGAGCGCGTGGTGAGGAAGTGCGCGACGACGGCTTGGTACAGCGGGTGCATGAGCTGCGTGCGCGTGTACGTGGGGCTGCGCGCGACGAGCGAGGGCGCGCGCTGCGTCTCTTCTGTTGTTGTTGGGGGCGTCAGTATGGGCGTGCTTGCGCTTTGGTGTTTGGAGGGTTGGGTTCCGGCAGCGTACTAGGGAAGAACTCCCCCTCCCACGCCTCGTCCCCGTCCAGCCGCTCGCGCACCTCCTCATACGCCCTAGCGACGTCCGCGCGCGCAACCAGCTTCTCGACAAACACGCCCCCGTCGCGCTTCAGCAGGTAGAGGATATCGTCGAGCGGGGCGTCGGCCGGCACGCGCTGCACTTCTGGGCCGTAGGCCTTGCTTGGGAGCGTGTGGATCGCCATGGCTGGATATCGCTTAATGTTTTCGTTGGAGTAGGTTGCTGTGACGATGCCTGGAGAGTCATGCCTGCGCGTCACGGCGGCGCCTTATTTATACCTACCCACCGCCGAAGACGAGGTGGACGGACATGCAGCCCTGCACGTGGCCATGCCACTTTCTTCTGTAAGGCTGCGCCCGTTGCCCGCTTGGAGCGAATCGCCGTCGTGGTTGAGGCGCGCTGCGGCGCGATGGCGTCGAGGTGGGGTGGAGCGGCTGGGAGTGCTGCTGTTTTGGGCTTAGTGCTCCGTGTGCGCTGCTTAGCTTCGTTGCCGGATTCGGTAGTGCATCCAGCTGCAGTGCAGTGTTGGACCGTTGGTTGCCTGTTTGGACTCGGAATACCGCACCTGTAAAGCTATAGGGACGTACTTCTGTAACACTCTCTTATTTGTCTCCTTTTACTTGATGCGCGAATATTATCAGGCTTTGTCTGTCCAGAAAAGAAGGAGCCTGTTGGGAGAGGGTTGCTACAAAACAGCACGGATCCGGCTGTGTGGCGTCAAGCATGTTATTACATCTCCTGCTCCAGTAAACATGTACTGACGAACACCACTGATTTGACGATGCGTATGCACGCGAAGTTGAATGTCGGCATGATAATAATAAAAAGGCAGCTGCAAAAAACCTCAAGTATACAGAAGCAACCTGCCTCCGGGCCTGAACGCAACAACACCAAGGTACAAGCTGAAGTACACACTGAAGCACACTGTCTTCATCCTCAACCGGAATTCTCCGAGCAAACGGCCATGACGCCGCAAGGCCTCAGCTTCTCCATCACGAATCCGTGCGTCGGGTACTTGGTATAGGCAAAGCAACACCTCATCCTCCCAACTGAACCAACCATATGTCACTCACGTCGCTCTCTAGACCGTCTTCGGGCAGAACAAGATCTACAGCGGGCCCCAAGCCACTATGTTCGCGCTTGTTGCAGCGCAGTTCGTCATCACAGCCGGTTTGAGCGAGCTGGGTTCAGCCTTTTTGGTACATCTAAAAAACGAAATGTCGACGCGGATGCCGTGTTAACTAATGGTACCATGGCCAGCCGAGTGGAGGTCAGTACCATTTCTGCTATATCATGAGCCTAGCTAAAAGGAAGCGCTTCGCTGGCTACAAGTGGATGGATGTCAGTTCTGGCTTGGTGGATCACTGTGGCTGCAGTCACGCTCACCGGGCTTATTGCATTCTTGTTCCCGGGCTTTGCAGGGTTGCAGTGGCAGACGTGCTTGATTTACCTCGGGTTAGTGCTTGCTACGGGTATGTCGATTGGGCATAAGTGGATGGAGCGACGGAACTGCTTGGGTCCTTGCTGTTACCAGCTCGATGTATGCTTTTGCTGCAAGCGATGGCGGTGCGTACTGCTCTCGCCGTTTAGGTTGTTGCGTGCTTACTGGCTGTTAGCAATGTATATCAGCGAAGAGATCGCTTATCCAGAACGTCGTGTCCCTCACTCAGGTCATGGCTATGAAATTAGCTATTGGCCTCGTCACTTCACTGCCGGCAACCGTTGTTTTAACACTATAGAGCATCTCCAGCTCTCTCTCCAGGTGTCCTTTTGATATTGGAGGTTGACTCGCACTTGGCAGCGTGCACGGCCACCGAATCGGGGAGCAATACCGAGCTGGCCACACCCTGCAAGCTTCTCCACCTACCACTACAGGCAAAATCTCCCCACGGCGATCTAAAAAAAAGTAACCCGCTTGGGGGCCAAAATCATGCAGGTGAGAAATACGGAGTACACGGCTGTCAAAAACCGTTTCCCGGACGGAGCCGGCGGGCCCCTCGATGTTACTCCTTTGTCTCTTAGATAGTAACCCAATTGCATTCTTCGTGCTCCTCCTCGGCTACTCCGACCTTTCGACCACCTCCGCCGCCCTGGCCGCAAATTCCAACTCGCTTGACGCTCGCTAAAGCTCGCTCGCTGCCCTTAGACGCGCCGCTAATACACCCATCCTCTATAGTTGCGAAGCTTAGCTCGCACTTCGATCTTCCCCAATGCGCTCTTCGCAACTTCTTAGCCTAGCCCTGCTGTGGGCATCCGCGCTTGGGGCCAAGTGCTACTGGCCCGACGGGTCGCAAGCCATTAACAGCTACATTTGCAACACCACCGCAGTCGACAATGGCGGCTACAGCGGGTGTTGCTTGAAGAACGATATCTGCTACTCCGATGGGTCGTGTGCACAGGCTATGACGAATATACCGTATCGCTTGACCTGCACTGACAAGGACTGGCAGGATGATGCTTGTCCGAAAATGTGTCTGTCTGGTAAGACAACACGGCACTGATCGTTTAGTACCAAGTCAAGTCGCTAATCACTAAAAAAACAGCCGGCTCCAAAAACAACTCTGTACTTTGGATACAGCGCTGTTTTCCCCGATCTCGCAAATCTTGCTGCCTTACCGATTCCCCTTCCTGCTGCAACGAAGACCCACCCGCGGGCGACTTCTTCAAGTACGAACCCGGCCTCGTCACCGCCTTTCTGGACGACGACGGCAACGACCGCCTTTCTGCTTCGCAGTCTGCTGCAGCTACGGCCTCTTCGTCGTTAAATGCTGCGGCAAAATCCTCTGCAAGCAGTGATAATACGGGGAAAAATGCAGCGATTGCCCTGGGTGTTGTGTTGGGTGTGATATTGATTGCTTCGGCTGCCAGTACTGCTTTTCTGTGGAAGAAGTATAAGGCTGAGAGCCATTTGAGGTCGGTTGCAGAGAGTAAATTGCTCTTGCCGCATGAAAATCCTCGTGGTGGAGGTGGATCGGGGAAGCCATATATTGCGGCGGAATTGCCGAATGCGGACCGAGAGATTAGGGAAATGCCGAGTTAAGGTCGTTTCCAATTGGGTGCCAAAGGCGTGCTCGTTCGGCCACTGTCCACCCAAACCACACGACTGCCACGGCGGAGACATCCGCTCACGTCTGCCTCCCTGGTGTAATCGCACCGAAAACGGCCTGAAGGAATGGCCCCTGATGCCCGATGGAAGCCTCTGGGATCCTAGGTAATGAAGATCTTGATGTTCCAGATGACCGCATCGTAATGTGGGTGACCCTTGCAGTGCCGTACAGCTATTCACATACCGCACAATTCTGTGGAGTTGCGACCAGGCGCGGCATGTATGGCTCTGGATTCAAATGGTGCTCTGTTGATCCTGCTGATGCGCCTGTGCCGGAGACTTCACCTTCTCCGGGCCATACTCCTATAGCTACGTAAATCGCCAGGATGGGAAATAGATGGACATAGCAACAACGCTAGCTCCACTTAGTACCTTAAAGGAAAGTTGTGTTCCAACTATTCATGTTTATTTCTCTTTCCCATTGTTCGTCTACATCTTTACCTAGAACGCAGCCCCCTAATGTCCCATATAATAATCGCGTAGCAAATGAAAGGAGTATTCCCAAGGTCCTAACAACGTTCCGTAAGACTCGTTTGGAACATTTTTCAATGCCGGACCTTTATTTGTGAGCTCTGTAGACTCAGTCCCTGTTGGAAGACAAGTTGACGTGGGAACCTTGTCCGTGGGCTTTGCAGGCTCGGCCAATGTAGGAAGAGCCTTCGGAAAAGAAACCTTCTCTCCAGACTCTATGGACCTAGTCCTTGTTGGAAGACAGATTGACATGGAAGTCTTCTCCGTGACGGTTTCGGGCTCGGCAGAGGCCTTTTCGTCAAGTGGTATTCCAATTCTTGCGATAACTGACTTGACCACAGCTTTAGCTGTTTCCAAGTCGCATTGGAACCATTCGTGGTGATATTCTGGATCGTCTTTCCCGTGCCAACAAGGTATTTTCTCGTGAGAGAGTTCCACATTCTTAAGCTCTTGTTGTGCCTCACGTTCGATGTTCGTAGGGTTCTTAAAGCACTGGTCAGATTTCCAATCTACCCGTATGTCTTTTAAACGGCAATCAGACTTGACATTGTATGCCCTTTGCGTCACGTTCTTCGAAATCCCCAACTTAACAAAGTCGGATAAGTCTGTCGATGACATAAGGTATATAAACCTTGGTGAGATTCCTTTTGCGAAGAAGGCCTACGTGAAGGTCGTGACTTTCGCGATTTTGTAGGTCCTTTGGTTGGTTTTTGGTCTGGAGATATATTGTCTGAAATGGTTGGTTTTGGATGTGATGGTTCATGATCCAAGAGTTCCGGTTCTCCAGTAGACGTTCTATTAGCCTTGAGATTAGAGTCCTCGGCGGGGTCCAAATCTTCGTCGTCGCTCTCGCTAGCTTCTTCCATGTCATCAAGTCTTTCCTCATTAAATTGTGACTTTAGCCTGGATGCGATCTTGTATGATGAAGGCATTGGAGGATAATGTGTCGTCAGACTTGTTTTGCATGGTGTTGGTGGAGGAAGAATCAGCCCGGGTCGTGCAGGTGGATCATCATGAATAGAGGCATCATCCCCTGGTGAAGACGAGAGTAAGTGCTGGACAGCCTCGCAGTACTTAGACATCCTGATATGGGTCCGCGAGCATAGGAAGATTTTGAGAAGCTTTTTCGATTGTTCGGTGGTATAAGAGCCGGAGGTTTGCGAGTTGATTATATTGTAAGCGGCATCAACAACCTCCTGGGAAGAGGAAGGCCGATTCTTGCACGGACGACTGCCGCTTTTGTCTTTGATTATGACAAGGCATGCAAAGTCCGACATCCGTGGCTCACGGCGGAGTTTGTCGATTGTAGATTTAGGGGACTCCACAAAATGTGTCGTAGACGATGCGATGTTGTAAGGCGAGCAAGGCGCAGCCATCTGAGAGAATGCAGAAGTTGTCCTCGGAATTGGTACAAAAGATATCTATGAGAAATATGAATGGAAGCAAAGAGCTTTCTCCCATAGTTTATAACTTTAAACTACAAAGCGGTGAGGTTCACCACCGACGAGGCTGCTTCGAAGCAAAGACCGAAAAAGCACAGCCTCGTGGAAGCCTGGTTTACGCCTCACATTCCTGCGGGGCTGACTTTGCCAGCAAAGGGTCCACTTTGCTACGCCGCACACCTGGCCTCATCTTTTGCCAGCGAACACTACCACTAACGACAAGTCGCCGATCAAAGCTGCATATAGGAAGTACAGGGTGTAGGCGCATCGGATTGGAATTCGGTGTCTGTGCCTGGGCTTCTGAGTCGTAATTCGTTGCCTCTACATGTATGAAAACCTTTGCTGTTTGCGGCATCGACATTTCTTGCTCCACAACGGCCCCGTTCCACTCCGATGCGCCTACACCCTGTAAGCTGCATATTGAATTCATAGTAGTGTTTTTTTTTAGCGCAGTAAACGCGTCTGGCGCTGCTCTATACGTCACTAAGCGGACGTTGCTTTACCTCGCACCCCTGTTCATGGCATGTATTTCCCTACAAAGCCACTGGAGATGCAGCATCCCCGCACCACACCTTGATCTAGCCGTTCCAGAGACCGAGGTGGATTCGAGCGACATCCGCTTTACGGCTTGTGTCTTACCCAAGTATCCGCGACGCCGACGCCGTCGAGAAATAAGGGCTGGAGAGAAGTATGACGCTGCGAATACTATAACGTTCTCGGAAAATTTAGTTTTGATTTATCCGAAAGAAACACTTATCTCTATCTTTTCTTACGGCACAGTATGGCATGGCAGTAGTAGGGGTTGGCAAGCTTGGGTTGTGGTGTCCCGACAAACGGCTCTTTATCGGTCACACGTCGTGTCGTGCGGCGCAGGAGTGGCACCCTACATGGGAGCAAAGCCACATGGACAACGTCTATATCGCTTGTCGTCTCTTAGGGTCGAAGAATGTAACCTCGTTGTACAGTGAATCCGCTTGAAGTCGAACTTCGATGTTTGCTTCTTAAGCTCAAATCTACTTCACGTTATAAATATCCTACATAGAACATCTAATCCAATGATGTTTCAAGTTTCAAATCCATAGGGATAAAGAAAGCCCACTTCAGGCATTCCACTTAGAATAAAGTTAGATATCTAAAGCGAATTGTACATTACCGGTTATCATGTACGGGCAGATTTGCAATTTCTTATAGAGCAAAGTAAATAGTTAATATAGAAGCTTATATCGATGCTATATGTCAAGCAGCTATTCATTAAATACACTAATGTTTCCGATGATAGTAACACTATAAGCATTGCATAATAAGATCTCTGTTCCAGTTTCTTAGTTCTAATTAGTTATATCAGACGTGCTCTTATCTCTTAAAAAGCTAAATAGGAGTAGATATAAGTACTTAAGGTTTGTTCTTCACAATTTACTGTATGATACTGCTTTCCAGTCATTTCTACACGTGCGTTGCTAATAGACCAGCGCTTTAAAAGAAGATGTAATAGTAGAATATTAGTCATAATTCTGTTACTAAAAGGTATACGGTTACCTCTTTAGAAATACTCCATTTTATAACGGTTGTATGTATTTAGTAGAGAGAGTTGCTTTGATTCTTTATTTTCTAAACCCTTTCAGAAGGTTTATTATTGTTTAGATTTTCTATTAACTTCCTTGATTGCGTATTTTCATAGTCCGTCGCAGTGTCAATTTCATATGCAATAAAGCTTTTGTATGCTGCATAAGTCCGCTTAAGTGGTCAGGTCTACTACAAGATGTTAAACATCATAGGATTAGAAGGTATGTTGTTAAAATTATTAGTATTTCCTGAAGTGCACAGTTTTATCGTGTGCCAATAGATTCATTTGAACTCGTCTGCACTTTATGAGATGCCGAACAGATACAAAAACGTAGGTGCCTGATTAGAACCAGATAGCCCGCCCTATCGTAGAGTGGTCACGGCCTCGAATGAAAAGCTTTGTGTGACTAGCTGGATTACCGCAGTAAAAACTCCACAGTCGTCACAGGCAAAAGCCATCAATAGAAGCAGCATTCCGTCTAGACATTATGCCTACAGCGCATGCCAGCTTGATCACCTGTATCTGAGCGATTTCGGACGCTTTTTTGCATTAGCCACTTCATCTGCATATTTTGGTGATACAGCATATTCAACCAAGACGGATCAGTAACTTCGTGTGTCAAAACAGGACATCTAGACCAAAAAGACACTCCACTACATAGATCTCCATTGCGGGGTACGCAGTGAAGCCTGACTTTCCCCTCTGTGGTGGGCTTACTTGAAACATTAATAGCTACTATTAAGATCAGCCCGCCGTTCTGCATGACAGTATGTCGTACGCACTGCGCTAATGCATACATTGCAGACAATGCAAGGATCATTGGCAAACTTGCACGAGGACACCTGCTGCGATCTGACCTACTCCGTACTGTCTGCGAAGGCCGTTAAAAAGCATAATCGATCACTGCCTAGTAGTGAGGAGCGATACTGTATCGACAGACTTAAGCTCCGCTGTCTGCTGCACATGAGACAATCCGCTTCTAGACTTGGTTTTTCTCGCACGGACTTACCCGAACGGAGAAGGCTGGCCTGTGGCGTTTTGCTTAGCCCTGGGTTATCGTGGGACTCAAAACTTCGGCGTCGGCCTTTTAAAAGTGGGGGTAGTGCGCAGGCCTTCTTACACGCCATGCACTTTTGCCAACTGTATTACGATGGTTACATTCTTATGGCTAAAGTCTGTCTTATCATGTCGAGACCAGGGCTGATTGAATATTTGCACTACCAATTCTTAAAATGAGCAAAGAAAATGTCAGGTTGATCACGTTCAAGTCGCACTTCGCTAAAACACAGGGAAGAGCAAGAGCTTGCACCTGAACAAGAACAGTTCCCCTCGAGACTTTTAGTATGCTTGGTTCAAAGGGTCCTGAGGCGTACAGGAATCTAAAGCACGAAGATAACAATTTTTTACACGAGCTTTCAATGCGTGCTAACTGCACTGGTACTCAATCAAAAATAGCTGTCAAGCTGAAGTAATAGCTGTGGGCTCATTTACAGTTATTCACGGAATATAAATTCAATGGGCAAATCAAAATCTCAACCCAAGCGAGGAGTCCAGCTCCTCAACACTCCGCTTGGTGTAGTTGGTTTATCACGTTCGACTGTAATGGAATTCAATGCCATCGAAAGGTCCCTAGTTCGATTCTGGGAGCGGAGACATTCTTTTTGCCCGCTGGTGCTTAGTTCCGAGTGGGTGGCCTTTTTTTTTTTTTTTTTTGGCGCTAGACAAATGGATAAATGTATGGACTACGGAATGATCCGAACGCTCCTCATTTTCATTTCAAGCCTCCTAAATTCTTTAAAATTAACTGTCTTTTTGCCTCAATGAGACCTTACTGCGGTTCAGCATCTTTGTCGTGGCAAAATTTTTCCGAAAAAGTGTTCGGTGGTTCATCGGCTTTGTGCCGCCTCGTTCGGCCGTAATCAACAATCCTTAAGCTCTGTACGGTTGTCGGCAGTGGCATCCTCCGCTGAATGACCGAATTTAGCGTCTCGGAAGTGGGAAGAGATATCTTATATACAGAGCAATAGACTTAACTTTGCTACACTTTTTGAAGGGGAAATGGTTTTTCCCGATACTGTGCTAATCTATGGAAAAACAACTGTACACCTTTTGATTAACTTCCAGGATCACGAGATGCGCGTCTGCGGGTTATTATTCTATGGACATATGAAAGGGACATTTCTTTTTGTGATCACCGTACCGATCTTAATCCCATGACTATAGCATGCGGAAGCCTTTGCATGAATTCTTGATTTCAGTTCCGGCAAAATCATTGACGCTGCATGTTGGCATTGTTTGCTCATCGCAATCGGCACGTGCCACAGCATGTAAGTGACGCCGAATCACAGCATAGGCTCGTGAAACGCACGGACTGGAGCATGATTGTCTCCGTCGGAGACTTTCATGTGCGAAGTCGTTGATGAGCAGCAGCACAGAAAGAGTTGAATGTAATGATTACTTCAATGCTACACTTTGCCTGAAGCATTCGGTTGTTAAAACCGCCCACAGAAGAGCATGATGACGAGAGCAATAGATGTGACAAGAGTGGTGTACAACATGTCCTTGTCACATGCTCTTTCGCGTTGCCGATTGGGTTGGCTAAAGTCATACCATGAGGAAAGTATATTCCTAAAGGGAGGAATGAGAGAAAAATAAAACCAATCGGAGCTCGTTTGAAGCTGGAACAGACGTTGGCTGTCGAGAACGAAAACGCACAGAAGTCCGTTGGCAAACTCTCAACAAAGCGGAGGTTTTGTTTGCACTAAATATCTTAGAAACCAACACTAGCATCCGCAAGATACAAAACCCAGAGCTAAGCACTGGCCATTGAAACAATGATCCGCGTCCAGTGAACATGTCTCCATGCTGTGCTTGCATCCCGATTATCCGTCGCATAGCCATTTTTTTCTCTTCCGGTGGGCCGACCACTGCTACAGAGCTCTCAGAGGTTTTAGAAAGAGTCATGAAGGCAGAAGTGCATACATTCCATGTGTATGCAAGACGAGGCAGGAAGTGATAGGGTACAGGAAATCGCACTGCAGACCCATCTCCCAACTCACTGTCGCGGGAGAATCGCCTACCGCGGTGATAGGATGTTGCTTGCTTCAGGATAAGAAACAATTGCATGTGATAATGCGTTATCGGCGTGGTCTCATTCCGATGTCGTGTGGAACCGTGGGGTGGATTTAAGGAGTATGACCGCGATCAGCTTATGAAGATTGTTGCGCCGAGGAATCAGTGGATGAATTGATCTGTTCTTCGGAAGCGTTGCTTGAGCATGTGGACCACGAGCGAGAAGTACTGTTGTGATCAGCATATCGGAACCTGTGTGCATCCACGCTCGCAAGTGTTGAACTCACGACTTCTTGCCTGTATCCCTAGCTTCACCCTTGTCCTTGCTACAAGCTATACTGTCCCATTTTCCTGGCTCGGCTTGTTCAAATGTAATCTGGATGTCCGTCTTGACGGAGATGACTCTCTCGTAGTCGGCATCTCGGAGGTGGTATGGAAGATGCTGCAATACTGGCTGCCGCAGTTCGGCATTGACAGGTGAATTCGGTAGGACGCTCATGTTGCTGAGGTTTAGAAGTTGAATGTGAAGACGATGGCTGACTGTGAGGGCAGTGTGCCTGTCAGTATTTGTGGGGGAAAGCTTGGGGCGGGGCACTTGCAGCTGGGGTTTGCCTAGGCTGGATAGGGTTAGCGTGGATTGTGAGCAGACGTAAAGGCAATTGGCCTGGGGAAGATACAACGGCAGCGATGCCTTGAGCGAGTCCTTTTAACATGCCAAAGATTGAGGGGCTCAAAAGTTGGGGAGGAGCTGTTTGTCATCCAAGCTCCCCGCAGCTGCAGCGACTCCTTGTGACCATCATGGTTCGACCTGGGAACGCATTCAGCTTGCCGAGCGGTGTCCGGCCTGTGTCATCTCTTTGCCTCCTGCGCCTTGCCGGCTGCCAAGTGGTCACAACGCGGCTTGTGTCGTGACGCAGTACGTTTTCGGCGGGGGAGACAGTCGCCGCAAAAGCAAGTCTAGGAGAATAGAAAAAGGGTTGCGACAGCCAGAGAGACAAGAATTTGGGCCACAGTGATGCGAAATTAAAGCTGAATCGCATTTGCTGGGGAAGAAGGTTTCGCAGAAGGTTCTGATCGGATGCGCTCAGCCCCTGCAGCTCATTTGGCACCAAGGCCTAATCTATCTGCCGTTTTTGCTGCATACTGAAGAGCTTGGTTGGCTGCCTTGCATCGGGTCTGTCCATGTCGACGTGATCTTGACAATGCACAAGGGTTCCCTTACGTGGTGTTGCCGGGGAGGTCTGAGAGAGACCCGATAGGCTGAGCAGCGCGGCAGATTAACCGCTCGCCCTGTAACCCGATCCTGCTGGCCCTAATCTCACCGCAAACTTCTGTCGATCCCGTATCTGCACGGAACGAGCCGTAATGGCCACCCTGCCTTCTGGATCTTAATTTCCGCCCTGCAGTGACGACTTTATCCGCATTTTGCGTAATCATCGGCACCTCCCGTTTCCCTTGACGTGATGCACGCCGTTTCGCATGTAGACATTCGGTACCACATAGCCGTCCAGTGCGGTCGGAGAAATCAAATTGGGCTCGCTGCTTGTTGGTTGAAGTTAGATGCAAGTAGGCGGCGTAAGGTCCGGCCGCCACTCTGCGCAGAACGCAGTGTGACGGTCTTCCGTAGGCTCCTGACAATGATTGTCACTAACGTAGGCAACACCAGAGGGGTGGGTTCTGGGGTGGGATGCTGCGTGGGGTCAACAGACAATGCCACAGCCGTCCTTTGCGTCACATTTTACATTCCTCTGCTCCTTAACTCAGCTCCTTCAGGTAGCACAACCAGAATACGAGAAAATGGACAGCCCTGTCACTTGTAAGTCATTTTGATGCGCTGGTTGTACTCGGTAACTACAGCGTTGAGGCTCGTAGGGCTGAGATAAGCTTGTTCGGTGGGTCGCTTTTCCCTAACATGTGATAGTTGTCTCTCATGGCTTAGCAAATGTGCCCAACATTAGTTCTAGAAGTGATTAGTACAGCAAGATCCATTAATTTTCTTTGGTATTGGAGGTTATCATTCTGTAACAGTGCTGTTTTTTGCGAGCTGACGATGCAGATGATGTTTGTTCAAAAAATGGGAAGCTTGGCAGAAATTCCGCAAAGGGTTGGTTGTGTAGCAGCTCCATTGTCTGGGCGGGCGGCCGCCCCGTGGTGCTTCAAGGTACTAAGTGATTTGCTCATGATTGCGCACACTTCTGGAAACCATCTACACACGTTGGGGGTTTCAGTTTTTCGACTGGCCCGAATTTATTCTAGTACGAAAAAGGACCAGCTGATAGCGACACATAGTAAGATAGCATTTTCGACTAACTGTTTAAGGCATGTCTTACAGCAAATGAGGCAGGCTTTATCGTGTTGTGAGTAATTGCCGTCCGCCACGCATTATTCTTCTCACTGAAAGATGATGCAGTGACCCGAACAGTTCCAGCTACATTATTTCAAGAAAACGAAGAACAGCCGCGTCGTCATACCTAGCCGCAGTTCGGGCCGTAGGACAAGCACTCACTCGGTATTAGCACAACAAGGGATCTACAAAGATTTTCAATTGAATGAGTGCACCTTCCGACCGTAAGCAGCACAACCCCTGCACGAACTCATATAGTACAATGCAGCTCAATGGAACAAAAAACAAAACTTGGCATTGCAATGTTCAACGATCGGAACCAGTTTTTCAGCATCAGGTGGTCAAATATCCTCGCCTTCTGTGCCTATAACCTTCGGGTTCTGTTTAATTGTTGCCAGCTCTTAATAATGCTTAGGCGCGTTCATTCAAAAGCAAAAGTAAGTCTGCGATACAACGCTCACACTGCACCCATCAACAATAATACTTATCAGCGCCACGCTGAAAATTTTGTCTAACATGAGGAGCATGAGGAGGAAAACAATAATATAATACAAGTAGTAGTATCAACGTCGCCAAAAGAATAATCAAGCCCATAGCCTAAATGGACTGGAGCGGAGGCCAGTCTGCGGAACCAGTCAGCGGTTGAAAATGTAAGTAGGTTGTGCTTACTGACTGCCATGAGCAACCCAGGGAGGACCACGGTTGCAATGATCGCAGCTGTCTTCATGTAACAACTGTTTGTTAGCCCAGCGCTTTCAAGACGCTCTACAAGCCGCTCCATTTGCAGTCTGAACTTGTTCTCTGGCTCCATTTCTGCCTCGGTTTCTAATGGTGTTTCGGGTGCTGTTCCGGGTGCTGTTCCCGATGCAGTTCCGGGTGTTGTCTCGGGCGCTGTCTCGGGCGCTGTCTCGGGCGCTGTCTCCGGTACTGTGTCTTGTTTTGCTTCTGGCTCTGATTCTTTCGCTTCATATATTTTTGCTTTGCTGTCCCTTTGATCCATGATGGTGAAAAGCTATCGCAACGTAAGCTGGTGGATTTAGTTTTAATCAAATCACCTACAGTAGATACATATATCGGGAATTCAGCCGTCTTCAGCAACACCGCAGCCCTATTTGAAGTCTGAGCTCTGGATTGCAGTAAAACCTCCAAACGGTCTTCGAGGTCGATGGCGTGAGGTCTGATTTCGTTTTTGATTGCCAGCGCAACAACATGTTGTGAAGAGAATAAGCTATCCAGGTTTCGGATCGCATGCTGCAGAGGTTCCATAAAAGTGTCTTTCAGCCTTTCGCACCCCAAGATGATATCGAGCGCATCGTCCATGGCGTTTTTGGCTTCTTTGAACTCTTCCATTTGAGGTGTTTCGCTCTCAGCTGTCAGTTGTTTGAACCCCTGCATTCTTGCATCAACATCTGACACCCAAAGCTTGGTGGCTTTCATGTCGCTTTCCGCCATCAACATGGGTGCGAGCAGTGGATGTGTTATGTGTGATTGGGTTTTCTTCAACTCTTCGATCAATGACTCTGCCTCTTCATCCGCCATGAGTAATACTCCTAAAACCGTTCGGCTTGGGACGGAAAAAGATATAGCTCCGGCATGAAGCCATTGTCGCATCACCCATGCTTCCTCTAATTAGCAATATATCAGAGATTACTCGCAGTAACGTACAAATGGTTTTCTCTGACTCCCACTTGTCGCGAATTGTCCAAAAACCGACGTCATCGCTTACACAGGACCGTAGAAATGCGGAAGGAAGGCCAAACTCTTTGATTATACCGGAGAGCGCTGCGGAGCAGAATGGAAAAGGAAACATATCTCCAGAATCCTGATCGCCAACGGGGCTCCCGATACTATGTAAGACGTCAGTGATGATTCTCAGGATTGTTTAGAACGAAATGTCATCTACAGGAACCGTAGTTCAGAGACGGCAGCCTCTGGGCGCTCAAATTCCTCTAGCTATTTACAAATCAGCTTCCATAAATTAGTCCCGTTATTCTGCGCAGACTTACCTTCCATTCGGCCCACTTTTGTACCCGATTGGGTTCAAGCCGCCCATTCCGGAACTCGATTTGCTCGTCCTTCAGTTTCCAAACCTCGACGAAGCGACACTCCCGGGGCTCAAAGAATTTTGGTGACTGCAAAATGTCCTCGCACGAGTCGTAAAGCATTTTGGAAGCTGAATGATCACTGCGATGAATGTTTAGTGTCCGTCGCACGGTCCAAAAACTCTATACAAGCATGCACTTTATACCATTTCTTACGCGTGCCAGCTGTATTGCCAGCTGTAATGCCAGTTGCCACGTATGCAAGCCACGGTTACACAAAGTCACTTGGCAAGGATCAGTGCCTGTTTAAACCCTTTTCACGTCCAATTGACGACGCGAAACACTTACATGGGTATAGTACGAGCGTCAGTTGGCTTATAATGCCTTAGGCCGCTACATTCGTCGTTTGAAACACGCATTCGCTTAATTCTGGACGGTCGTGTCAGTGGAACAGATGTCGCCAGACGTGGCATGCCGCCACGTCACGGGACAGGAAGTTTCCTCAAGACTTTCCTCGCCGGAAAATTATGTATGACAATAAGCAAGCGAGTCCCCTCTCGCGAGGGTCAAATCCGTGGGTGATGTGGTCTTGTGAGAAAGAAGCAATCGGACCAATAAAAATTGCTAGCTCAAGAAAAGCAGATGTTTGTCGGAGATAACCCTCGGAGAAACTGCTCAATGCAAGCGTGCAGGCGTTCTTGAGAAAGCAATGTGGGCCTGTGTCTGAAACCAGTAGCGCAGTATGGTGGAGATGCTTCTGGAAAGCACCGAGTCAAACACCACTGAAATCGTCTCACTATTCGGTACTAGGAGCAGTGGCACTTGCACGCATCTAGGCTTGTGACCGAGTGACGGCGGCATGATTATTCAGAGCTGATTACTATCGAAGCTCGCAGTAGATCATGTTTCCAGAGGATCAGACTGCCATGCGTCTGGCGCGCCGTGGGGTTTGTCGCTAATTCCACCAGCGCGGCTCTGAGCAACACGATTCCTGTGTTCCCGTTTTCCGGACACTGGCACGACCTGGTAGTATTATCACCCGAGTCTGCTCGGACTTGTCGGCCCACAATTCGTGATAGTGGCGGGGCATGTAACATCGCGTCAATGCTTTGATTTCCAACCGAATGGTTGATTGGTAGGAATGCAGACGCCATGTGATCCCGTATCCTTTCCCTTCAACCGAGAGCTTGAGACAATCCTTCACACGGTAGCTTCCACGGACAAAATCTATCAATTTCTTTCTGCATAGCTACATGGTGTATGGGCGTGGTGCCCAGAAATGAACTCTGAAGCATTCGTGTCCCACTATCATTCTGTCGCTCGGGGCGCCTATCTCGCCTACCTTGACCCAAGCTGCGGAAATGGCACCGCTCCTTACCTATATGACGCACACCCCTTTCCCAATATAGCCGGGATAAGGCTAGGATGTGCAAAGATTGGCTAGGGCAGCGAGTGTCCTACGTCCGTAACTTTCTTTCCACCGGCACTCACCAATTCTACTTACTGCTTCAACATTAACGACCGAGATTTTTCGCCTTATAATGAGGATGAAGTGTTCTTTGTGGCTCGCTGTCTTCTGAAATAAGAACGTGGGGACCACTTACTAGCTTGTCGATCGATGCGTTGGCATAGGTATAAGATATCCGAGACCTAACAACTTCCTAAACAGTGCACGAACATGACACCCACAACACCGATCGTCACTTGTCGCTGCTTATTGATCCTACGATCTATTTCCTGGACGATACCCGAACACCGAAACTCCGTTATTCGTTGAAATTTGAGATAGGTTTGCCGAGAAAAGTTCACGAAACCACACAGCAAACGGAAGTCACCACCTTCAAAGGTGTCTAGCTTTCTCATGCACAAAATAAGCTAACGTCAGCGAAGTTGAAATTAAACGCCGAGCATGACAGTAGTCAATGAGATGTCTGTATGCCATCAAGCATTCCAAATGCTCGTGATTGTTGAAATTCTGTATGATTTCAAGCATCCAGCAAGTTACCATCTCAATGTTGTTCTATTTTCGAGTTGATTCCAACAAAATCGGTCATAACTCACATTGTCAAATCTTAGTCTTGAAGGCCGCAGTGAGAGATAACCCTTCTTGACGAAGAGGCTCGGTCTTAAATTTTCCGCATCACAATCGTCTATGATCACGCTTTGTACTTCCGGGATTGTAGCCCTGCTTTAATTAAGTGAGCGAGTTCTAATAAGCTGACTCTCAGCAGGTTTAGAAGCGTCGGCTATGGACAGGAAATATACTATGCATGCAGCGTATCCAAGCGCAGAGCGACGCACAATTCCAAAATAAGAATGTGTTTAACTTTTTTCCTTGCCAGCTAACAAGTAACCAGGAAACCAGATCCAATCAATCCACTCCCAACACAACACTCCCAACGCCATCTGCCACTCTTGTTCTGCAATCTGTGAGGGGCACAGCAACATCCATGGCTTTTCCCCTCAACGTCCTTCCAGACCGCCTCTTCCTGCGCCCTCTGTTAGGGACCCTTGACACCGTCGCCCCGGTATCGGTCCCAAAAACGTTGGATGGCCTTCGTCGCAACATCATCATTGGGATAATTATGGCGGTACAGGTTGAAGAGGCTGTACTCATCGCGAGTTAAGATGTAGGAATCGGGTTGGGCGCGCAACTTCTTCCATATGGATTGTAGCTCGCGATCCAGGACATCAGCGACGGCAGGGTCCACGTGTTCCGTTCCTTCTGATTCGCGCATAATGTTGAGTGCTTGTAGGAGGGTTGGTGCCATGATGATGACGTCGCGTAATGATGTCTCCAGGTGTGGCAGTTCTGTTGGAAGGTGGTGTCGATATTGAGGGCCGAGGCGGGATTTGGTGATGAGATGGTCTTGTTGTTAGAGAAGGGCTTGATGCCAAAAGCAATGTTGGAAGAAGTAGGAGAGGGAGTTGTTCGTTTTCATCAGAATGTTTCTTTGGCAGCGTCGGCCGCGTTGCTTGAAATACCCTCCACGAAGCCCACTCTCAAGCAGCTTTCCCTCATTCTGAAACTACCTTCCACAAGCCGACGAGCAGCTCCACTCGCTCAACCTACTGTGACAATCCTCGATATACTCCTGCCCACAAGATCCTCACTTCTCTGTTTTCAACAATTCTTCACGCTACCAATTTTAACTGCAGCGCTCCCGGTCCCTTGGAACGAGCCGCGATGGCCGCGCTGCATGTCACCAAAACCAAGGATTGCGAGAAGTCGTTAAGATGCAAGCTCCCGGTCAAGCTGCTGGGTTAGGGCGCGTCCGCGGTCAAAGAAAGGTCATGTAGTGGCTGGCACCGGTGATGACGATCGTCGGCACGCACGAGCCGACGGCGTGAAGAATACACAAATGCATGACTGTGCTGGTGCCGATGTGCTTCGGAAATAAGCGAATGAAAATGATATCCGATGTGGACACGAATAGGGTATCCAGTATCCTGCAGAATCGGGATTCCACTATGGAGAAGTGCGAAAACCAGTTTGAAGTGAACGGGAAATCGAATGTTCTAGCCAAGTATGTTAGTTTAGGCATCTCCAAGTCTTGTTCAGGAAGGAGAGCCATGGATAGGCTAGTCGGTGGGGCTTTACTGGCTAGCTCAATCATGATACTTTAGAGGATTTATGTCTCCAAACTCAAAAAATCCTGAGTTAATATATTGGCACTCACCGGTCAGTTCAATTCCCTTACCAAATGTATACTGTCTACGTATCTGGCCACTTGTGGCTAGTTTATATTGCGTTGTGATGATGCAGTGATTGAGAGTGACAGGGTGAGCAGGCGACCAGCTCACATCAAACTCTCTGCTCATGCAGCAGGATGCCCACTTTCGCTTGTTTGTCGATTGTGAGTGTAATACAGTAGCCCGAGTGATCCCCACACCCTGGTTGGCCGGCCCATCTACGGCAAAACAGTACTCTTACATACGACCCGCCCCCGGCAAGCCGAGTCGAAAGGACTCTAACTCTGTCGGGTCGGCGTGATGAAAATTGGGTGGGCCTGGCTTTCGGCATGCCCAAAAGTGGAGTTCTCGCTACACACCACGTGGAACAGCGGACAATGATTGATGTATCACGCCCGCAATCACGAATCCAAGTCAATACGAAAAGCTAGGCTCCGTAGGCTTGATAGGTATCGTGAGAAGGAAAAAAGTATAGCCAAAGCTGCATGCAACCTCACTGTCCTCGTCCAAGGAATTAGATTTCCGAGGTGACGAAATACAAGGAAGAGATGTAGAAATCGATGGACTTCCTGGGTCTTCCAAGACACAAACGTTTTATACATATTAGAAGCCGCTCCCGTTTTCCCAGTTTCAGCCGAGCCTTGATGTGAAGCAAATTGGCACATGCCCTCCCAAGGATCGAGTTTTTGCCACGACCCGCAAAGCAAAAAAAGATGCGACACACAGCCATCACCATCCCACTTACCGGTATGTGATTGGAAAGTGCCCTGTTTTGACTCAACAAGAGCCAAGGGGAGGGTTGAGGTGCGGGCAGGCGCGTTGCCAGGCGGCCGCGGTGGCTTAGTTGGCGATCGTACTCTTCGCACCGAAAGATCGGTCGATCGACCACCAAGAGCAGCTATCTAAGTGCAGGAAAAGATGAACATTGAAGAAGGCAATGGCGAAGATAGGATTGTCTTTTCCTAGTCGAGGCCCAGTTTTCTGTCTCCTCGTATTCGTTCAGGATCATTCACAAGGCAGTTACACATATACTCCACACAAAACTGGTGTTTAGCCGATGACAGCTTCATTGGCGGAGGACTGACCCCAAAGTGTGCTTTTGGTTGCAGATTGCCAGTTGGCGATGATACGGCAACGTATGCAGCGAATCAATTTGCACTCACTACGTTGTGGTTATGGGTCTTCGGGTATTACTACCTTTAACAGCGTAGTTCTCAAGGGGAAGGCACAGCGGCGCTTGGTTGCGTAAGAAAACAGTCTCACGGATTGACCAGCCACCCTGTTTAATGGATTCGGTTAATCCCCAAGTTCTAAGGCAAATCCCATCGTGCGAAAAACAAGGATGCATTGGACACTAGAGATTCGCTCTTCCAGTGCAGATTGCTGATTATTCGACATCACTCCTAGCTCCACTTCCTACCGCCATTAAGTTTAAGGACAAAATTGATGCGCCGTACTTGAAGAGGTTGCTTGAATGCCGCAAGATGAAAGTGAAGATTGCGCACGGCGGGTTCTACAAAAAAGGTCATAATCATCAAGACGGAGCAACAAAGTCGTACACGGACTGGAATGGGGCGGAAATGTCGTTCAAAAAGGTCTTCGGCGCCGATCAGAGAACATTTCGAGCCTGGAGGTCTACGTCCACGGCGCCTACAACGTCGTACGTCTGAGTCGAACTCTCTCTCACGACTCTGTCTCCTATCTCTCGCATCTGGCTAATATTGAGAAACGTGTAGCAAAACTAACATATCTTCGAAAAGAAGAGTAAGGCAAATCAAAAATACTTCCCTGCCAAATCAACAAAGTTGAAGGTCTTTCCTAACACCGTAGCATTTTAACTTGCGAAAAAGTGACTGAGCACAGTTACTTAGACAAACTGACCTTTCCGTCGTCTTTTAGTTGCTACGAAGATTACCAACTGTAAAGATTTTGAATTCTCTTGCGATCGATTCAGCCGGAGTCAGGCCTCCCAGTCGCCCGCCCGCCCGCCTAGTAGGAAGTTATCCGCCCGCCCGCCCGTTGCCTGCAGGCGGGCGGATAAAAGTGGTCTATGCGTATTTTTTTTTTTTTAGGTATTCTAAGATTTCTAAGATCCGAAGAGTCTAGGTTCAATTCCTAGTAAATATAAAAAGTATTGCACTTATTTGCGTTTTATT